CATCAGTGTTCGACTTAATTAAATTAAGTCTTTTATTATTTTTTCATAGTGTTAGTTTACTTTGATTAATTAAACTAAGTGCACACTAATACTTTTACAATAATTTACACAGTAATTTACACTAGTAAATTGCTAGTTAAATTGAAAGCGAATTGACTAGTCAATTAGCAAGTCAAAATGCGGGTCTTTGGCGAAGATTTGAACTTGGATTTTGACAAGTAAATAGCAAGTAGCAAATGGAAAGTTATCCAGTAAATTACTAGTAAATTTCTGATAGGGTATGAATCACAATTGATCTATATTAATGCTCCTTAGACACAAATCTTTAAAATAAACATCTAAGCTTGCTAATTTGAGGCAAAAAACCGACCAAGAAGCACAACAAGTCCTCTGGATTTAAATGTACATATTAAATAATTCAACAAAAGATTGCAACTCACCTCATTCGTTTCATTTCTTCTTTTTCCTCATCACGGTTTAGTTCTTTAAAGCAACATCATCATTTCATACATTCTTGTTAATTGAATTAAAACAAAGTTCTTTGTGGTCTCTTTTTCCAAATTCTTTCGTTCCTTATTTTACATTTTTTTTTTCAATTTCGAATTTCACACTTCGCGCACATTTTCTTCTTGTTCCTTTATTTTGCGGATGGAATTTCTCTTTCTTTTTTCTTAAATTTATATGGATGAGATATGAAAAATAAAGATCAGCAAGTGAATATGCAAAAAAAGCACCTCAAATTTTTCTTTAAAACACAAAAAATTCCTTTCTTCTTGTGCATGATGTGGCACACACAGCGGCTATAAACAACTGAGAAATGAAATATTTTGCTTGTGATAAATTGAAGTGAAAAAAATGCGTCACACATTTTATCGGATTTTTTGTTTTTTTTTTCTTAATGAAAGCTAATTTATGGTTTGATTTCTTGATGTGTAGCTACTATTGCACCTGCATCTCTGATATTGAGCTAGAAGTAGGTTTTTAGGTGAGATCTTAGGTAAAGCTTATTTTTTCGATTTGATAGAATACTTTTTCATGGAATAGATAGATTTTAGGAAGAGGGAAAACAACATGTTGGGAAAAAGTTTTTCTACATTAAAAAAACAAATGCTTGAAAGAAAATCGATGAAAAATTGGTGTGAATTTTCCTTTCGACTTTTTCCATCATGTTGTTATCCCCTTGAATTTTAATATGGAACTCTACTGATATTCTGCTAGGTTTCACCCATCAACTTTTAAATATACCCTAGAAACTTTGAAATGTACCCCAAAAAACTCAATATGTACAGCAGGAACTCTCAGGCACATCCCAGATTATCTGAAGTCAGGCGGTTTCCATATACTATACTACTTGCGATAAAGTAAGTGTTTTACTAGCTAAACATCAATGAATCACCCTCTGACACGGTTTTAAACTATTTGCACTATCCTCAATCATTTTTTCAATTTAAAACCTTCACTTTCAGCCAATTTTCAAGAACCAACAATCATGACGTTTCTAATTTTCTATTGCGTCGCAGCAAATTTTCAAAACAACCGGAAAATTTAAGATTTTTTTTCTTCCAAAACAACTCGAAATTCTGTGACTTTTAATGACAAAAACATTTGCAAAAACTTAAAATAACAAAATAAAAAAAAAGTTAAATAATTAAATGAGAAGTGACAGAAGAGTCGACACAATACGTCTACCCTCGCTTTCAAGCCGCTGTAAAATGTGTATTATTATGTATATTATTTTTCCTTTCGAGTCACAGTATGCCTAAACGATCAAAATATTACCCGAACCCGGTGGATAGATGAAGAGGCAAAAAAAAGAAAGAATATTGTATACAGGCATAAATGTTATACTGTATATTATTCTCGTGTGTCTGTAGTGATGATAAAGTGAAGAAGAATTTAAAAAGACTTGCCTGATTCATTCGATATTCGTGGCCATTACATTCACTCATTACGTGCGCTATAGTCACAACATACATCTTATGTGTCCTTGAACTTGAAAATAATCATCTGGCAATTGAGTTGGCAATCTATATGTATACATGGAAATAACAAGAGGAGAAATAAAAAAAAAAAGTATCAAGTTGGAGTTTGCGCATTAATGCGAAACAGCCTGTGTGTATAGTGAGTACGGACGTACATATCTGCAAAAAAATAATAATAACGCGGGATGTTCATTAATGACGTCTATTACATTAAATTATGATTTATGACAACGCTTTCCCTTCATTCCATTGTATATCATGTCAACTCAGTTTGTGTACCGAATCTAAGGAACCTAGTGTGATCCCTTCCCCACCCATCACTCACAATCACCCCCATATATGTAAAGAGCACTTATTGAATCAGCAAAAGTAGAAAAATCATTACAGAAAATATAAATATGTGCCTACCTACCTTATATCCACCTTTTTTTGTGGCTCGATATTTTTCTAGCTCTTCTTGCTCGATTCTTCGTCTTGCTGTGCCTCAAAAGATTATGAAAAATATTTAAAAAAATAATTTCAAGATAATAATAGTTGTTTCATTCCAAAGACTTGTATGTCTCTGCTGATGTATGATATAATTGAAATTTGTACTTACACAAGCGTGCTGGGTGACTTTTGTTGACGATCGGATAATCTGAAATGAGTTTTGCAGTGTTATGAAATTTAAGTAAATTAAAATTTGATACTTCGATGGTTGCTATAACTTTGAATTTGCTGAGTTTGTAATTGATCGTGATATGATAAGGCTTAATGGATTTAATTATGTAGATTGATTAAAATAGACTTTCTAGAACTATCGATTTGTTGATTTATAGAGGAAAAAAATATGCAATATGTTGTCAAGTATAGCATTTGAATTATAAAATACTAAGATATAAAGTATATGGTAGGACGGAGGGGGTCTGGTATGTCCATAGATATTGTTTGACTCTCTTGATATGTTTCTAGTTTTGAGTCTCCAGGATCTAATGCTAACAAGCCACAAATTTAATAACACAGTTTTCCATCAAAAATGCGCTCCATCCACACTTCACTTCTGAAAATTCCCAACTTGCCCAACTTTAATTGCATCAAAATCCCTCAATCCATTCGTGACTATCAAAATAACAAAATATGAAACTAGATATAAAACTTTAGCATGCATAGTTACAAGCAAACTTCCATTATCAAACTATTAAATCTCCCAATTCCAATAAAAACAACTTTTCATTAAAATTCTTTCCCTTATCATCGAAACAAGCTGGATATCATCATATTTGCGTGAATGTGCAAAAAAGAATCAACACAGAACGAGAGAGAATATAACAATAATAAAGCTCCAACACATTGAAGCAAAACCTTGAACTTGAAATATATTTTTTTTATTTTCATCGTATTTCCCCGATGTGTAGGTGAGCTGGTGTGTTGATATCTACATTCACTCACCAATCGCTGGCACTATTAAAGCTAACGATTTTTCGCTCTTTCTCCTCAACTCGATGTTTTGGTTTTTTTTTTGGATAAGAAAAAAAAAGTATTAAAAATAAGAATTGGTATGAGAGTGGACTTATGGTTGACTAATGGAAGCGCATATGGTTCTGGATAGGATCGATGATTGAAAGACTATTGGGACCGGTTGTTAAGTTATTCTGGTTTCTAGCCTGGTACTTGGATCTAATAAACAACAAACCACTTTCGCAAAATGCTTAAACTTAAAGCTTAGTTAAGCCGACGGACAGACAAACAAACATTCAGTCCAAATGCCATATCTATCCAAGACTATATCCAGGTTCTTAAGTTATTCTGGTTTCCAGCCTGGTAATTGAATCTAATCAAATATCCTAGATTTTAAAAAGTAGTTAAGCCGATGGACAAACAGACATACAGTCAAAATGCACACAACAGAACCATCTATAGCCAAGACTCTATCCAAATAAATTTCTGTGAGGCGAGAAAGGAGGTTGAAACTCATTCTGATGATGTGGCATAGTGGAATGGATGAACTAAACACAACCGAGAGAAATTTTAACATTGAACTTGAACACTTATCTAGCCTGTGAAATTTATAGCTATAGCTTTGCTTTGCATGTATGCAGATTATTTTCATTTCCATTACGCGTGCACAATTTATTGGATAGCACTTGCACGATGATATTGTTGATATTGTTGTTCTCTATAGAATTGAAAAACTAATGAATAGATTCGCACTGTTTTTAGAGACTCGATGAATTGGCAGCTTTGTTGAGGTATTGATTGAACTGGAATTAATCATTAATCCATTTTTATATGCTTGCTTTTAGAAAAATTTAACTCACTATTGTACTGTTGTTATTATTTTCATGACTGTATACATCCATGCAGTGATATAAGTGAATGATGATCTGTCATTTTATTCAATGACTGATGATTTTACGCCGTAAACACATTTCCCCTGATTTTTCATTAAAAGCAAATCCTTTTGTTGTGGTTGTGTGAACTTTGTCGTTGTGTTGGTGACACAACTGTGGGTTGCTGGAAAATTTCGATGTGAAAATTTTTGAAAGAATTTTCTTTTTTTTTGTGTAACGGATTTTTGAGATTTGAATTGAAAGCTTTTTTGTGTGTCTTGGGTGAGTTTTGAGCTTTTGGAGATTTTGCTGTTAAAGTTGTGAGCTTTTGAGATTTGAATGTAATAATTTTTTGGTTCCACAAAAAATAAATTTAACATTTCTTGATCCTTTTGCTTCTTCATACCTGCATCTGCGCATCCTATTATTCCTAATTTCCATTCCAACATCTGCTAGTTATCCTAAAACAAAATATTATCAACTATTAACATGACAAACAGAATGCGTGAAAACTAACAAATGATGTGCAGAAATTATAATGTCAATACCTTATCATTAATTCATACTTAACATCCCATTTACAACATGAACGTAGAAAAATGATTGAAAAATTTGCTGAAAAAAATCCAATAAAATTTTAATTCGACAATTATAGACTGGACATGGTATTTGATGAAGTAATAAAAGAATTTTGTGTCTAGATTTTTTTTTTCACTTTTTTATTTTCTAACATTTTTTCGTTAAAAACAATTTTTTTTAATTCACGGACGAGAATGGAACTGAATTTTTTATTGGAAATTCAAAACTATTAGCAATTCCACTTGTCGATTGTGGATGATGATGATGATGAGGATGTGTTGGCAATTGAGTTGTCACTGCAGATGATGTTGTCCATGTTGGACGTCTAGCGACTGGACGTAGAATTGTGTTGGATGTTGGAAAGAGAGCGAGGGTGTCGTATGGGGTTCTGTAAATGATATTAAGTGTTTGAGGTTATTAAATGATTACTTTATTAATCATCAAAAGTCGATTAATAGTGATACCTTAGTTATATAAAGTTTTATAGTTCATTGAGAAAATTGGGCAACTTTAAAGCTACACTTTATGATTCTAAACCCTTAAATAACTTAATACTCGATTTAGAATCCAATTGTTATCCAGAAACTCTAATCCAGTGAATTTTTGTCACAAAAGCCAGGACCCCCTTTAGTCTAAGTCCCATCCTTACCTATAACTCTGATGACACACATACTGAAAGGCTGATCGCTGATGGAAGTACAGCTCTGAAAATGACTGAATTCTCCTTCTTTCTCTTTCGAAGTCTAAGAATCTTTTGTGAACATTTTGTTGGACTAAAGTCTGCATTTCAGTAATCTTGTTGCTTACTGGTGCCAGTTGAGTTTGATAAGGTGTGTCAGTAACTGGCGTGTGATGAGAAACAATGTGCTTTTTGAGGTAGGATTCTCTGGAAAATGTTAAATAATTTAAAAATTAAAGTTTGATAAAATTATTTTCAAAAATTTATTCAACATTGTTCTTCAAACTTAAATTCAATTTACCTTCGAAAAATCCTCCCGCAATGTGAACATGGAAATTTGTCATCAGCACCAATGATCTCAGAAGCTTCAGAAGGCAGTTTCTTCTCAGAACTAGGTTCATCTGGTTTTTCTTGTGGTGATTTCTTTTCAGAATTTTGATTTCTTGGTTTATGCCATCGTTTATGTGATGCCAAATTGGCTGAAATGTAAGATACACCATTAGATTTAAACAACGAACTTAATAAGCATTTCAAAGGTTGCAACTAAGGGTGAGATGTGCCAAGGAAGTCTTTATATAGAATGTAATGTAGGGTTTTGCTTAGAGCAAAAAATTAACTCATAAAGGAATTGAACCCACATCACCATGAAAAGGATTTCAAGTCTATTATCTAACCACTAAGCTACTGAAGTCTTACTTTCACACATATTATACACTCATACATTTGACAAATAAGCATATATAGCACTAGATATTTAAAATTTCAACTCACCAGGACAATTAAAAACTTTATCACATTCCGAGCATCGATATTCAATATGAACAATTCGGCTACACCTATGCTGTGCCAGCGCAAATGGATCATCATACATGGACCGACACAGCTGACAAATATAATTTCCAAGTTTATTTTCAATCAATGCAATCGCAGCTTTAGCTTCCTCCGTCACTTCCACAATATTAAATGCTGGATCTATATCACCTTTACGCACCACAAGTTCTTCACCATCCTTTAATTTTCTAATTATTGTCCCCGACACTGGACTTGTATTTTCTTCATCAACAATTTGCTTCCGTAGCTTCATTCGTTTCCTTTCATGTCGATGGCGATTCTGAGCTGATCTTTTGGCTGAATTTTCGGAACCTGAGTAGACACTCTTCTCGAAAAGCATCGCAAAGCCATGAATAGCTTTTGAATGATGTTTTGGATCATCAAATATTTGCTGTCCATTTTCCAGCACTCCATGGTCATCAGTGTCATTTAATGAGAAGATTATGGAATCATCATTTGACTCTATATCCACAATTTCATCTGAATCAAGAGAATCCTGATTAGAATCATCGTCCGTTAAGTCACTCGAATGCAAATTTTCATTTTCAATCATTTTTGGAACACTTGATGTGGATGTAAAGTTCTCCATCTCATTATCGGAACTAGTTATGTCAATATATTCCTCAGAATTCTCATTAATATCCTCAATTGATGACGGAATTGAATTATGAAAATATTTTTTGTTATCAATTGAAATAGTTTTAAGGAATTGCGATGAATTTTTTGGATTAGAAACATCGAAAGTTTTTAAGTCTAAATTGAGTAGTTTTGGCTGTTTTCTGGGTGGCGATGGAGTTGTTGGAGGTGTAAGGACTGGTTTAAAGACTGATAAATCTAATGGTATTTCACCACTTCTTATAAATCTTGTGGCACTTAGGGATTCTGGTGAAAATAAAGTTCCTGATGGTGGGGTTGATGGGGTGAAGGGGAATCCAGTAGATTGATGCATGGTGTTTTGGTAGTTTGATGAATTTCAGCACATTTTTTAATTTTATTTAAATTCGAAATTTAAAAATTGATTTTTTCAAAATCAAAAAACTGACGGTTTTAATTGAATTTATTTTTTTTTTCGATTTTTTAAAATGAAATTTAATTTTTTTTCGCTTTTACAAATTTTTATGAATTTTTTACATTCATTTAAATTTATCACAATTTATGATTTTTTCTTCTAAATTTAATTATTTTAAATATTTAAAATTCGATGTGAATTTACAAAGTTCTTAAATTCTTAATAAATTCTGAATATATCCTTGCTCCAAAATGTCCAATTCCTTCATGAACACAAAAAAATTCCAGTCCAACTTTCAACTTTAAACTAATTTTTCCACTTCCTTCAAAACTTTATTTTCTTTCTTTTTCCAAAACGCCGTCTTTATCCTTCCGCGAACGATGAAAAACTGACGAAAAAATAGCATTGCACATTTTCCTATATAATAACAATAACCAACAATTCCCTTTTCTTTGTCCTGCGTTCACATACACAACACAACCAATGCGAGAAGTGGAAAAATTCTTTTTTTTTTGTGTCCTCCATCCATCGAATGTGTGGAAAATTTTTCAGTTCCTTTTCAATATTTAAAAGCTCGAGAATATCTTTACCTTACAGAATGTACAATATAGCTGGGCGATGTGCGCACAATCGCAATATGGCTTTGTAGGTTGGACCAAAAACATGCTGATGTTGTGTTGTTGGAATTTTTATGCATTTCCTGCTCTTTTTTTGTGCAATTTTATGTGAGGAAAAGTTGGTGATTTTACGATATTGTTTGTCTGACAATCTATTGAGTTCGATTAATTTTTATCGCCATTTTTTCAATTTTTTTCGGCAGTTTTTTTAAAATTTTTAAAGACAGTTATTTTTTAAATTGTATATCACCGTTATTTTAAAATTTACTATGACAGTTATTTTTCAAATATTTAGAAAAAATGTAAAAATGCGCTCTAGTACCACTACCAATGTCTTTTATTACTTGCTCATCACTCTGTCGCAATGGGAAAAATCTGCAAAGAAATTTTCTTGCCATTGCTCTTTGGCTGACTCATATGAATGTGCTACATACTCAAAATATGTGTGTGCTTCGCCTCATTCCGATTGAAATTCAACAAGTTATTTTATTTATTTTTTTTTTACGCTGGAAAATTCATTTCAGCCTGTAATCATGATGTTGTTTTTACATCCTGTGATATTTATTTGTTTACGCCTTTTTTGAGCATTAATGAATTGAATATTTTTACTGAATATTTTGCATAAATTTTCAATTTCTTTGTTCAATTTTTTAATTCAATTAATGCGATGATAATGAACTTTAATGAAGTTGACTCTACTGCAAGTGTGAATTTTTCTTTTGTTTGTGAATTAATTTAATTTGTAGAGTTTACTGTCTTTTTAATTGGTATATGATGCTAAGAAGGATTATGTAGAAATGTATGAAAAAAGTTAATGAAATTTATAAGTCGTATTTTAATTTATAGGTTAGGAGTTTGAGGTAGTTTGGGTAAAAGAAAGGACATGGGCATTGTAAAACTCCTCGAAAGTCAAAGATACCCTGAAAAAATTATGGTAAAACCCTTGAGTTGTGTTTAATCTTAGCACCCTAGGACCGTGATCCTAGTAGCTCCCCTAGCCTCGCCAATATATCAGATCAACAAAAGTATCTCCCAATCTTAATATAATCGCTTTAAAAATATAACATCGAAGCCATTCAACCTCCAGAATTAATTACAATTCACCTGCTGACCACATGCACTTCCCTATTCACATTCAATTAAATCAAATTGAAGTCAGACCATACAAGGACTATTTCACATAATTTTCATTTTGCATTTCTATTTTGAATCACAAAGAAGAGATGAAAAAAAAATCTTTAAACACCGCCCATCGCAATTTTGTGAACTAGGATTTGTGGAAAATTCTGATGCTGTATTGATAATGTTGCTATGGCGACCGCCTTTTTTGAATTTTCATGTATTTTTTTGAAATTTTCACAATTTTTCTCGCCTGTTTAAATATTCATGGAAATTTCATTCAAGTAGCTAAGGTATAATTAAGTTAATTTGACTAAGCAAATTGATTTTCAAAACTCCTTCAACTTTTTTCATCGTTGTGAACGAGAAAAATTTGCATTTAAATTGCAACATTCAATTGAGCATAAGCAAACAATTTTCAAAACAATTTGTAGCATAATTAAATTTAAATAAATATAAAAAACATTTCTAAAGTGGTTGTTGACGTACGAAAATTGGCAATATGCCTAATGGAATTTTGTGGAGTGAATTTATCAGACTTGCGTCATTTCGAATGTTGGCAGTTATGTAAAATTTTGAAAAATTCAAAATTTATTTTCCGTTAAAGCATAAAACAAAATTTTGCTTTAATTAAGCTACAGATTATGAAGCTTTTCGATCAGTATCACTAATTATGTGATCAGTAAGTTGTTAATCATTGTTTTAAGTAAGAAAATTCCTAAATTAAGAAAATTCAGTTGAAATTGAAAAATGTCAACAAAAAAATGTAAGTGTGTAAGTGAAAAAATTTCTTGAAAACATTTCTGCAAAAAACTCTTTTGTTTCTTGATATTCATGATTTTAAAGCTTATCAATGTTCATAAATAATAACAATCTTTGAATCTAAGCTAGTTGACAGTAGTTATCATAGCTAAAATGCTCAAAATTCAGCATAGAATTTTTTAAAGTTTTACCGGTTGAATTGAGTTTAAATTTTCGAAATAAATTTCGAATTTTTCGAAGCCAATTTCGAATTTCTTCGAAATGAAATGACGCAAGTCTGGAATTTATAGTAGCTACTTGTTAGTGCTTCTTGGATGAATTTGGGAATGTGAAAGGAATTTTAAAGGATTTTTAAGTTTGTAAAGTTTTTCATGATAAATTGTTGTTTATAGGAAGTAAATTTGAGTAAATTATGGAAATTGAGGAGGTCTGTGTAGCTAACTGTAATTATAAATAATTCAAATTTCAAAAGTAACGGCCACAAACGTTCAAATTTTCAAAAAACGGTCACAAAAAATTTAAATTCCAAAATAACTGTCACCAAAATTTCAAATAACTGTTCCAAAAAAATTGAAATTTTGAATTAAATGCCACAAAAAAATCGAGTGCCTATTAAAATAACGAATTTTAAAATTTCGAAACTTCATTTTTACGAACACTTCATTTTTACGACCATATCATTTTTACGAAAAATTATTTTTTCGACTTTTTTTATAAAATTCAAATTCTGAAATGTCGTTAATTTCATCACGTGTTCTTTTCAATAATAAATCTGCAAAAATAAGATTAATAGAACAAATGTTTTTAAATGTATGGAATTAAAACGTATTTTTTTTTTCAATATCACATTTGTTGTTTTCCATGTGTATGTTTAAAGGAAAGAATTTGTGTCTATCGAAATGGATATTGACAAATGTTTGGCTGGAAAGCCACAAAAGCATAGAATGCCAGGTTTTGAAAAGACAGAGCATTCCATTAAATCAATCCTGAACCGTCGAAAATCCGTGCCACGAGTTGAAACATTAAATGCTATTGCAGGAGTCAAAAATGATTTAAGAGCTTAATTGTGTTTGTTACTCCTTTAAACATACACATGTATTCCATAAAATGTGATATTGAATAAAAAATACGTTTTAATTCTATACATTTAAAAAAATTTGTTCTATTAATCTTTTTTTCTGCGATTTATTATTAAAGAGAACACGTGATGAAATTAACGATATTTTAGAATTTAAAATTTATAAAAAAGTCGAAAAAATAATTTTTCGTAAAAATGATATGGTCGTAAAAATGTGAGTTCGTAAAAATGAAGTTTCGAAATTTTAAAATTCGTTATTTTAATAGGCACTCAAAAAAATCAAAACTTCAAAAAAACACCAACAAAAACATTCAAATTTTTGAAAAATCGTTTAATTATCATTGACAACTCACTTTCTTTTTATCACTGATACCCCAAGTGAATCAACAATTCCCATAATCCCATTCCATATCATTTAATATTCCTAATAATAATCCTAATAATGAATTATTCATAAACTCTTAGTTAATTCTCTTACATTCAATATTAATGCGTATGTTATTCAATTTCAAGAAGGTACTTCACATTATGCTCGTAAAAACACTTGCCAAACACCCTCTTACTGTTCCACATATTGAATAAAAATTCATGCGAATATGAATAAATATTTTTTTTTTTTTTGATATAAAAAAGGGAAACGAAAAGAATTTCTTCGATGTGAAAAACGCTTCGAGGGAAAAAATCATTTCAGGAGCAAAATAGAATCAAAATATTTACGTCAACAGAGAATAAGATATGTATTGAAGAAGCAGAAGGAAGGAGGAAATTGCAGAATGAAAATAGCAACAGTTTGATTACATTTCACCCTTCGACACATCATCATCATCTGACATTGAAAATTAAATTTCATGCTCTTTTGTTTTAGAAGTGAATAAAAGGCTTTGATTTTTGTATTGTTTGAGATTGATTTTTAACTTTTTGGGATAAATTGAATTTGTAAAGTTTTCAGTCCAATGTTATAGCAAAATTGTGATGAAAACATAGGTGCTCACTTTTGTGCTATAATATTATTCAAATAGAGTCACTAAGTGAGCTCTAAACTCCGAGAAATTTGACATACAAAACGCGAGGTGAGCAATTTCTCGAGAAAATGAAAATGATCCAAAGTCAATGATGTGAAATTGGTTTTGAATGCCAAATTATAACATTTTTAATGAGTATAAAAAAACAAAAGAAATTCTACAAATCGAAGCTAGAGTTGTCATATAAGGCCATATATTCATCCTCCATTCCGACTAATTCTATCTCATCAACCCCCACCTTTGTTTATATTCTTAATTGCCATTCTACCAACAAAAAAATTAATAGAAATTAGTCAGCTTAACATTGACATAATCTTATTCAATTATTCAAAGAAATGCTTCCTGAAAGCTTAGTTCTTAATCTTCATATGCAGTCCTACATCTTCCTTCACATACACACATAAGCCTCGATTGTCATTTTAGTAATTTTTCTCAATTTGGAATTATCCTATTGTTGATTTGATGCCATTTGATCTCATTTTCTTTCCCTTAATCTCTCTTTGTACATGTTTAATATTTCCATTGCTTCCTGTCCATCAACTTATATCGACTGTCAATGAATTTCTTTCTTCTGTCCATTGAAAGGTAATTTCCCTTTTGTGTCCGGAAAGATTGATGAAGACGATTCTAAAGAAAAGCCACAAGGACACTTCAAACAGTCGACCGCAGTTGAAATCACTCAGCAGGACCTGAGATGGCATCAAAGGAAGAAAAATTCACATATGATGAGATGGAGGGATGAGTATGCATAGCTATAAATAAACTTTAAGGTTGTGTTTTTTGAAGGTATTGGGAGATTTGTTAGCATAAGATGTGGGAACAAGAATGGGTGGTGAATTTTGACTGGATTCGATTCAAATTTTGTTACAAAATATTTTGAACTTGACTTTGTAGAATCTTCAATCTAATTTTAAGTTATTCAATGCAAAGTTGACATAAATGAAGATGCTCGTAGCTGAGCTATAACATTATGCAATAAAATTCATTAAAGAAGCTTTAAACTTCGAAAATCTCAATCTCAAAAATGCGATGTGAGCAAATCCAAGAGAAAATGAAAATAATCTAACGTCAGTGATGTGAATTCATACTCAATTTATTCGAAAGATGCGCCTCATCCAACATGCTTATATCTAGTATGTTCCTTAATATTTCCCTGATCAGAAAAAAGGTATCTGTCGATAGAGGATTACATAATAATTCCTTCTTCAATCTATTTTGCTTTTGATTGAATTTAAATGATTTTGGGTTCACATGAGAATGACAAGAAACGGAAAAAATGAGAATCGGACGATTAAGTTCATGGAAAAATGATTTTTCTTCAATCTATTGTGAATGTCGCATGGATGAAAAATACTTTCGTTCTATTTAAAATACTATTATGAGGGGTTCGAGTGATTGAATGCATGCATGTAATTTGGTTTACTTAATAGCACATACAAAAGAAATTGAGATGGAATGAAGGGGACGGATGAAGTTGTATCGGAAATATTCGTGAATAATTATTAAATATATTTAAGGAATTTCTCTTTGTAATCAACGGATATTTTCTTCTGTGATTGCTAAATTCCTTTTGAAGATTCTTTACTGTAGCAACAATATTTTTTGTTGTCATTTTCAGCTGGAATTTTTTGTGGATTGAAACATTTTTCTGTGTCAATTTTTTGGCAAAAATTTTGGAATTTTTATGAGTTTATTAACTTTATGGTTGAATGCTGTTGTTGATGAACTAATCATAAAGTATGACTGTGCTACACTTATTGTATAATCTTATCAAATCACATATAAGTAGATCGACAATATAAAATTGAGAAAATACTAGAATGTCTTATCTGAGAAGCTAGTTTCACATACAAACTCACAATTAAATTATAGTTCTTCACAAGTTTAATTTTTAAATAATTTTATTTATCACCAAAACATAAAAATAATATATTCACAATATAATTTAAGGTGTATCAGGTCACAACTGTAACTTCAATGGGGTGCGGACGAACACACTTAATTACTTTGACATTTTAAAATTCCAAATTTAAGCTCTGACAACGGTTGCGATTTCGTAGCAGAAAATGACTTGATTATTCTGATCGAAAAGGGTAAAGATGTTTGTGCTTGAGACTAATGGAGTGTCTGGCTCAACTGGAACTGTCAAATTGAATGTGACTGGTGTATTGGCAGCAATTGGGTTTGTTGATCCGATAATATAATTGAATGGATTGTCTTGCATGTCTTGTGGAAGTGGATGTTGAATATTAAGTCCAATTACACGTGCTCTTAATTCTGGTCTAAGTGCGGTAATTTGACGATTTGGTGTAAAGTCGATGTATGTTGTACCAGATCCAACTGATCTGAATACTGAACATGGCTCAGCAAGGCATGGACTAACGCGTCCACCAAAGAAAACTGCTGTTGGAAGTGGATGACTTGTTCTAAGGCATGTTGACATTGGACTTGCAGAGAAGGCAATTGCTGGAAGTACAGCGAGGATTGTGATGAGTTTGAACATTTTTTTAAAACTTTTTAATGTTAATTGAACCACTGAATTTTTATAACTGATGGTTTTTGAGAGGAACGGAACTACTTTTATATTAAAATGTTATCAAATTTTGATGATTACTCAGAGCACAGGTGTTTATTACAACAGTAACAGCTGGTAGTTTTGACTGATAAGATTATTAGGAAAGATTTTTCAATTTTTGATAGATTTAAGTCTTATGTTGAGGAAGAGAATAACAAGCTTCTAGAAAAACTATAATTATGATAGTTTAATGTTCAAATTCCAGGTTCAATTCCTATTAGGTCCGATTCTCAAAAGTAATGTACTTTAATCAGATCCAAAACAAAAATTCCAGACGTCCTCATGACAATAAAAACTCAAAGACAGGTGGCTTGCCTTTAAACCTTATCTCAATTTTAATTATCAACAAATTACTCTCAAAGAGTCAAGTGCTTAATTGCGAGATATTAACAAAAGAAGAAGAAAAATATTGTTCCGACTGTTTACCCTTGTGGCATGTTCCATCAATAATGACGTAGCAAAATACTTTTCCATCTCATTAACCATTCAGTCACTCATCAACCCCCGTCCTGAATGAAATGATGTTGGTGCTAATTTGCCATGTTTACAATGAGAAAAAATTTTTATAAAGCAAATCAGGAGTAAAAAAATTTACAGCAGGGATTTAACTTCACTCCCTAACATTAACTGTTTGCATTCGTCGGGGAATTGTTTAAATGTTCTGCGGATTTATGTTTTTGACATTTTCCAACTTGAAATTTGATACAATTTAATAAACAGAACCTGATGATGTAATTTAAGTGAATATTTGTCTATGCTGAAATGAAATCCATTAAAAGAATCTTTTCGAATATAAAGCCACACCACACCTGCCTTTAGGCAATCGGAAATTTTTATATTTAATATAATAATCCATTATGTGTAGAGATGGTGTTGTATTCTCATTCCTTGTGATAATTGGGAGAAATTTTTGATTTTTGAACCTAATTTGATGCTTTGGAGGGTGTGCAACTATAAAAAAATTTGATTTATTGCCATCAAAGGGTGTGAAACTATGAAGAATTTTTTGCTTGAAGGGTATAAAACTAAGAATTATTCGGCTTGTTTGAGTCTAAAGGGTATTCAACTAAATCGATTTTGACTTTTTGAGTTGAAGGGGTGTCAAACTAAATCGATAGTTACTTTTTAGATGCAAAGGGTGTAAAACTAAGATAAACTTGATTTTTGAAGTGCCAATGGAGTGAAGCTCAGCAGATTTTTATTTTCTGTCTCTGCAAGGTGTAGAACCATGAAAAACTCAAAGTTTTGGATCCCAAAGTTTGAAAATTTAAGCAAAAAATTGTTGAACAAAGCAATAATAAATCTTAAATTCAGCTCAACATCAACGCCAGGACATCGTCATCTGACAAACTCGGATAGGTAGGTAAGTAATTTAATTCCTTTTAAAATATCATCAAATTGGTATTGAAAAATAGCAAAAGATTGTAAAAAATTTCTTCCGACATAAAGCGATGTGGATTCAATGTACATTAAAAGTAGAAAAGGAAGGAAAGAAAAATCGATGATGAGATTACGACACTGCAAGTGCTGTTCTATATTTTCACATACGCTCCATGTTCTTTAATTTAAAAGCGCGCATAAAAGGAAAATTTAATAATCGCATCGCATATCACATCCTAACATTGTTAGATGTAGCATTGAGAAAATCTTCTTGATCTTCTTTTTGTCTCCTTTTATATTGTCACAAATGTGCAAAATTTAATTCCTTTTTTCAATTCTTTCTTATTTTTTTGCTCTGTGGATTTATTTTTACTAACATAAAAAAATGAGAGAATATAATGGGATATGGAATTGAATGAAAGGTGACGTTTATTTTACTCCCTCGACTTATTACTTTAATTTCTCATACGCAGTCACAATTCTTACTCATTTCTGTTGCGTTCACACACGTGAAATTTAATTATAGTTCAAGTGGAGAAATTTTCCGTTCAACGCACTTTGTGAAATGTTTTGATGTTTGCCATGGTTTGGGAATTTGAAATTTAAAATGTGAACTTTTGTGGATTGTTTTATGAGTTTAATCATGCAAGAAAAAAAATAGCTTTCCAAAAAGAGTACTAATATTCAACAAAATATCCATGATATAATTTTCATTCATGAATTCTAAGGATTCGAACCTTTAGATATCAAGTTCTTGTTTAACAATTTATTTTTCCTCACTTTTGCGATAATTTCAATGTTGCTAAAAGTTCAATATTAATCAGACAACTAGAACTATGAACATAGTCAGGAATGTAGCTAGCAATATCTGAGCTTTAATTATTCAAGCTCAAAACTCAAACAATCCCAACCCTGATCAAACCAATTCCAAGAATCAACTCAAAATCAAAAAGGGTTCAAACTTCCTCAATTCTAAGAAAAATGTATGAAAAATCATCACATACACACGTTGAACATACTTCTTATTTAATTAGTATTGTTGAATAATTAAAAAGTATTTACTCACAAATTAGCAGGCGACGTAGAAAAATTTTCGCAACATTTCCTTCCTTCCAACCTTTCTTTTGTGTCACACAACAACCGCATTTTCACATGCAAATGGTCAATTTTTGAAGCAATTTACATGAGTACTGTTCTACATGATGATTATTAAAAGCACTTCACATGGACAATCAAAAGAAAATATTTAAAGGAAAATAAAGGTCGAATTATCTTCATGTCGTCTACTCATATCCCATCTATTTTGAAATCTCGTGAGACGACAAAGCAATTTTGACCGTAAAAATCTATTATATTAAATTGAATTGAATTCTTCATACATATATAGACAGGGATATTGAAGTTGATTCCTATAGATTAAAGGAAGCAATTTTCACTGGAATTTTCCTTACTCAATAAAATTTGCTTCTATTTGTCATGTTGGATGTTTGTTGTAGGATATAGAAAATTGAGAAAGAAGGGTGGAAGTAGAATAATTTTGATCAGTAGATGGGGTCAATTATAATGATGTAACAATGGAAACATTTTTTTTATTAAATTACGCACACCTTCGTGCGTTGTATTTGAGAGAGGGAAGTTTTGTGGATGAATGGGGTGATGTGGGCTAGGTTTGTCGTTGTGCCTGATGGTTTATTTAGGTATCCTTTTAATTTAGAATACATGCCCCCAATTTCTCAATAATTTATTTAATTTTATTTCAAATCCTAAAAACTTTTTACTATCTTCATCTTCATTTCATAGTCATCCATAGTCTCATAAAAACTGTGTTAAAATCGCTCTTCTTTTAAAACTTTTTTGATATTCATTAATTAATTACCTTTTTGCCTGACTTTTACTCAAGAATTCTTTTCCTCAACATTTTTTAATTTATTCATAAAAGACCACTTAATTGACGATGGAAACATGAGAGAAAAATATTTTAATAAAGTTCAATTAAAAGTCATCTCTTAATGAAAAAAAAAAAGGAAAAATTAATAAATTCCATGAAGTTGATGAGCGAATGTCAGTGGCTAGTAGACCGTAAATTGAACTTGACAGTTTATTAAAAAATTGTTTTTCATCAATGAATGATGATGATGATGGTGATGATGATTATATGAGATAAGTATTGAGGGATAGTGGTCATGAAGCTGTTGGGAAAAATGCATTAGAATAGCCAAGAGGTCCAAGAGAGTCTTGACTGCCAAAGTATAGTAACAAAAATATTTTCTATCTCCAAAAAATCTTAGTAGACAGTCATATTCATGTAAGGTCGATAAATCCCCCGTTACTTCAAAGTTATACATCATTTATCAATGACTCCCAAAAAAATAGAGGTTAAAACGAGAGTTTTAATAAAAAATTATATTTTGCTCTGCTATGGCTGCATGTCTTTCTTATTATCTATATTCAAGGAGTAAAATTCGGCTCCACAAAGGACAAACTCACATTTTTTCTTATAAATTTTATGATCACACATAAAAAAGAAAAATATTATTCAAAATCCATCAAATCAAAAGCATATTTAGGAGCGATTACATATGAATATTTAACGAGATTTTAATGTGTCTCTGCTGCTGCTGCTGCATGCACAGGCAGATTTTGTGTATATCAAAATATGGAAATGTATTGAGTGGAATATGAAAGGAGCATTAAATACCAACATGGATTTAATCATGAGGAAAAATATCTCTGTGATGAAATATAAAAAATGTTTTTGCAACAAAAAATGAAGAAAAAATTATTAAAAATTCATAAAGTTCGATGAGATTTTTTTGCGGAACATTTTGAGGATTAAGGATGTTTTTGATGTTTTTTTGAGGATTATTTTGAGAGCGTAGTTAGTTCTTTAAGCAGGTTTTATGATTTACTCTGTGGTTGAGTATTTTAATGGAATTTGAGCCACGTATCTATTTGATTATCTGAATGTTAAATAATGTTACAATTATCATCAAATTAACAGCTCAGAATAATTAATGTGATGTTCATTTTACAACAATTAATGAGTTTCAGATTTTTAATAATGATTAATTGCAGTTATAAATTGACAATCATTTCATAGTTGAGCTCCAATGATTGTCTAAATTTTGATATCATTGGGATGAATAAGTTGGTCATCATAGCGTTTGTGGGACTTTGTTCCACATTGTTAATTGGGAATGGAGATTGTAAGGTAAGTGATTCTTGAGATTAAGTTGAAAAAGTTAGAGTTGAGAACTTAATAATCTGTTTAAGTGAAGTTTTAAAATAAATTGAAGTGTTTTTAAATGAAAACTTAAAGAACTTTGGATTTAGAGCTGTAGTTAATGGTCAAATGACATATCTACTTTACTAAACTTCCAACAAATCACTAAGTGTCTTCAAATCGTCTTAAATCACAAATTCTTGAATCATTTCATCTTCAAAATATTCAAATATTTACAAAAATTAATTCTATTTCAATTGTCAATCTAGGAATTGGACTTCCACTTCATCAAAATGGTAAAAATGAACGAAAGTGATGAACTCTTCAAATACGATCTCAAATCTGTTGAAAAAATAGATCAAACATCTTTCAAAGTAAATTCTGAGATTGATTTGTTTGTGGACCTGGATGCTGAGTGGCATGTAAGTAGAGTTTACTGTAAACAGTTCTTGAAAGTTTGAAAAGAGTTTCTGAGCTCAAGAATCATATCGAAAAACCTAACATGAGCAAAAACTTCAATTTTGAATTACTTTGTTCAATACAGTTTTGGATTCAAATCTACCGCAATGAAGATGGAAGTGAGAACTTTGATGAAAAACCACTTATATCAATTCCAAAGAAAGAATTCTGTGAATTTATGAAGACAACTTACAAACAATACTTTTGGGAGAGTTTAGAAAAGTCATCGAATTTACCGCCCCCTGAAACTTGTCCTATTAAGGCTGTAAGTATCAAATGAAAGGCAAAATAAAAATAATCATCCAAATTTATATTTTAACAGGGAAATTACTGGATCAAAGACTATATCTTCGATGGCGGAAAGTACAAATCATTTGCAAAAGGTGGTGGATATAGAGTCGACATGTTTGTATCTCAAGATCATGAGGAAAGTCACATTACCAAGATGGGAGTGCAAATATTTGGAAAGGTTGAAGAAAAAGAGTGAATTGATTGAAATGGTTGACTAATATGAAGACTTGGCGATACTTTAAAGGATTCTGTAATGGATTTTGAAAATTAATTTTAGTAAAATTGAAGTTCCACCATTTATACCATGCAAAATAGTGTTTTGTTCATTTTTGTTGAATATAGTAGGAGAATGACTTTAATTTTAGAATATAGCTTGTCAGGAAACCAACTTAAAGAATAAACCTGAAGCTAATATTATCTCTAGTTCTATTATTGAAACCTCAAATTAATCACTGGCCAAATCTATGTGCTAGTTTAACCTCCAAACTCTTAAACTCATCATTTTGAATTGCTTAGTCACACATTTTTTCCATATTAATCCACTTAAATTACATTTTATCTTCAAATTTAATTTATTGATACTCGCAAACTCTTTAATGCTTCTTCTGATTGGACGTAGACTCTCATTAGTAACAAAGATTCTAGTCGTCGCCAAAATCACAAATCTTTCACTGAATAAGAACCAAAATGAATGTCTCTAATGGTGAAATCCAATTTTCTGTTTCATGTCTCAACTTGCGAATCGCAAATCAAGAATGACATCAGAGACTTTAATCCTCCTAGAAATAAAAGCTTTTATCAAAAGGAATTAACCGTACGGCTGATAACAATGAAGATAGTCAAATACACTTTATATAAAAACAAAACAAAAATCTGGCAGAAAATAAAGTCGCTTAGTATTTATTTCGCTGCTGAACTTTGACGAGTGAATTTGTGTCGTTTTGCTGCTCGTGGAAAAGAAAGTCTCTTTGTGATTTAGTGTTTAATAATTAGAAAATATACAAAATAAAAATGATTACACGCAAAAAAATTCTTGTTATCTTAATTTTGGCATTGCTAAGTTTTGAGGATGGAATGTCAATGGCAATAAATGATGCACTTGATTTTCAAGATTGTGGTGAGAGACTTTGAAAGTGAACTTTGGTTTTTAGTGATAAATAATTGTGTTAAATGATTGTGATTTTAGGTAGCAAATATGACATTATCTCGTTGGATATTGCCAATTGTTATAGTATTCCATGTGGTGTAACTCAAGGGAACCTAATTGAGATAACGTATGAGCTAGAAAAAAGTGAGTGTTTAATTTATATGGTGATGATTTCTTTGTTTTGTTTTACTAGGATTACTTGTCAATTAGTGCTATTAAGTTATTGAATTATCACCTTCCCTCGGATATGCTCTAGTGTATAAATTAGGGGTAGGTGAAGGTGTAAGTCTATACCAAAAAACCTGTCGCAGATAAGGGGCCGTTCACTTGTGACGCTCAACATTTAGGGAGGGAGGTGGTTCCAAAAATATGTTTTTTGATGGATGTCATAAGTAAACGAACCCTAAAGTCAATTGAGGTTTTTTGGATTAGTATTTTGATAAGCAACTAGGATGATGTGACTAGGAGATTAAAATACCCTTAACGAGCCTGTTTATTTAGTTTTAAACCTTATTGTTTTAAGTTTTAAAATTCTTCAATTTTCATTCAGTGTCTGAGCCTCAACTTGAAGCATTTCGTGCTGTTAGGTCCAGTTTTGCAATCCAGTTTTTAGGGAAGAACCGAATACATTTTTAAATATAAATTATTAATCTATAGCAAGAATGTTATCTCGTAATTCATTAACAAATCCTTAATTAAGCTTGTTATTTTAAAGAAAATCAATAATTATTGATAAGAACTTTTTGCACGAACTTCGATAAGAAGCGTGGACCGGTACAAATTTGATAATTGCACTTGAAAGTTAATACGAATTTCCGAATTTCATAAAATTGATTAATTAATGATTCATTTCTTCCAGCACTTACAAGTGATACAGATTCTGTGACTTTTGAAGCTTATTGGCTAGTTAGCGGTAAGTTCTTTTGATTCTAGTTTTTATCAGAAAGATTAATTTAATTATATTTCAGGCACACAGTACACAGGTGAGTGTTGTTGAGTATTTTAAGAAATTTGTGACTCATGAAGGTCGTTACTGTTTACTTTTTTGTCAAGGATGAATCGCTTGAATAGTGCAAAGCCTAAAATACCTCTTTTAAACTTGTTGTAATCTTTCTTAGTTCCAAAATGTCTTCAAATCTATAACAACCGACTCTTGACACTAATTTGAGTATACTTTTTGTTCTCATAGCTTTCATTCTGCCTGACAATTGCAATTTAGGAGACTGCTTGTCAATATCAGATAATCGAATGCAATTTACAGTTTTACTTTACGTGCCTGAAATAATGCCATCGGTAAGTACGAAAAAAAAGCTTTTCAGAATATTTACGTGATTGATAAGAACGAACTTTAAATGAATTAATGAATAAATCTAATCTTTTATCTTACAACTAGATGTCAAGTGGCTCTTTATATTGGAGGACAATGAATGCACAGACAAGGGAGATGATATCATGTTCAAGAGTTCCAATTTATACTTTTTAAATTATATTTACCATAATTGTTCGAATTATGTGGATTGACTGTCAACAAAATTACCTTCAAAATTACTCTAAAAAATCATATTTATACTATTTGATTACGATTCTGATTGATATTTTATGTTTTATACCTCTATGTTTATTTTCGAGTGATATTTGAATTCAATAAAAATATTTAATCGATCTATATCATAGTCTATATTTAAATATGATTCTATTCTGGAAGTTTAAATTTTTTGATGGTTTTTTATGAAATTTTAATTTTAAATCTTTGATGGAATTTTAAGCACGTGTCTCTCCTGGCTAGCTTTGCATAATTCATATAGAATCGAATAGAATTCGGAGACAGATTGTGGTGCCTAATCATAGTGAAATCTAAAGTAACGAGTCATATATAAGCAAATCAGCCAGTACGAGAGTAAGATCTATGTGGCGCGAATGGTTAGGCAACAGACCAAATACTTATCATTAACCCACGTTTGATAATACCTGGGTTCGATTCCTACCAGAGACCGATCTCTCAATCATTATAAAGAGTGTTGTCGATATGATAAGGATTCGTACAATGCTCACGACATTAAAAGAGGGCTGCTCCTTACAAGGCATACAAACTCAAATAACCAAACCTAGCTGAACATTCAAAATAAATCAAAATTCTCAATTCACTTATAAAAAAATTTTAGATTTAATATTTATTTACTAGAATTATGAATTATAACGACAAACATCACAGCAATAAGGAAATGGAATCTTCTTTGTGCCATCCTTCAACTTCTTGCATTTATCGTTTGTTGTTGGGGAGCAGCTAAAGTAAAATAATTGAATTTAATCAGTCATTTATTAAGGATTATATCAACTTACTATTTAATAACGACAGAAAAGTCTGAATTGCACTTAACTCTCCTACATTTCCCGTCATTGACCTCTTCAGTGTCAGGCAGAAGCTTCAAATTATCATATTGACACATTTCTATGCACTGTCCAGTCGAACAATCTTCAATTTTTGCATCATGAACAAAACCGACTGAATTGGCAAAGTCAATAATGATAAGGAACACAATAAGTACCAAAAAGTTTGAAATTTTCATTTTAAAGCTGAAGTTCCTTGAAATAAAACAGTAAATTAACCAAAACACAAGATGCTTTGTCAGATGTTTACTATAAGAGCCTCAAATTTATACTAAAGATTCACCACAGAAAATTAAACAATTCCCATAGAGACGCAAAACTGTAAAAAAAAAAACTCGAAGAAAAAAATTTAAAATTCAGATTCAGACACAGATGAAACTGGTTCACAAATGTTTATTTTTAAAATTTACCAAACTATTAAGTTTTTTATTTTTTTTGTGTTGACTCATTCAAGATGCAAATTAAATACTGTCACATGTTATTTTAAGGTAAACAAAAATGGGTGGAATGGGGGATGTTTGTAAATGATGGATATCTTCAAAATGAAAGTTATGAGTCACAAACTCTTATTCCTTGATGTTTTTGAATTTCAAACAGGCACCGAACCTCCTCACTTCACATTAATACCACCCATCATTTATAAACAGCCCCCAAAAAATACAAATGAGTGAAATTTATGCTCAACGAACACAAAAAAATTAAAATCAAATTTCTTATCACATAAAAATAAATTTAAATCAAATTAAATCAAGTTCCTTCAAACAATTCTGACTGGAACTTCGAAGCAGATGAGATCGTGTCTACCAGCTTTCAATGCCCAGTGGACGATTGTTTGAATTCTTGGATAGATTGTCAACACATCGAATCTATTTTTATAAACATATCGTTGACCTGCTTGCAATGGACATGAGACTTTTTCGCCATTCTCATTGAAGATGCTGTTGCATGCACTTGCGCCGTCGACACCTATCCATGGAAGTTGAATGTTGTTGATGTTGGCTTCAACGTTTGTTGTGAGGGATTTGACTGGAATTAGAATTTGAATTGTTAATGAGATTCTTTAAGTTTTTGCAGAAAATTCTTGTTTGATGATGATTTGGCAGGTTTTGGAGCTAAAAATGAACTTGAAAGAATTTAAAGTTTGATGACTTGATAGCTAAGCTATTTGTTGCTATAAATGTTGTTTTGTTATTAAAAACTTGTTTTAAAGCCGAGCGGAAGATGGATATTAGGAAGCTGACACATCCATAAAAGCCATAAAGTATTCATAACGGATTGAATACAAAAGACTTCCGAACAATATGTAAATATGAAATAACTGAAAAGATTTGTTAACCGGTGTCATAAACAGCCGGTTAATGCAATTTTGTCAACAGAAACATAAATTAATAAGGTTAAATCATGTTTGGCATTAGACATGACTATTTTTTTGTATTTTCTCAAAATAGAGTTTTGTTCCGCTTGATATGTTATCTTTTGTTGTAAAATATGACGTAGTAAATTAGTAGCTACCATAAAGAGGCACAATATGTCATTTAAGGATGTTTACAACTTGAATTTTCGTCCCTAACCCTGTTTATCTTTATCAAATTGCATGATTGAATTATTTCAAATCCAAACTTAAATCTTCAAGATAAATTTTTGAACTTCAACTTACTTTCTCTGTCTGGTGTAAATTTAAGGACAACTTCCACTGTTTTGCCTCGTGGGAACTTGCAAATTCCTTTTTGACAGTTGCTAAGTGATACTTCGGTTGTGTCTAATTTTCTAAAACCTGAAATGAATAAAAAAACAATAATGGCATATTAAAATGTGTTCAGTTGCAAGGTCAGGACAGCATTAGTTTGTTAATATTTACTTCCTAATGAAAAATGAAAAAAGGAAGTTGAATATTAATTAAGTGATGTCGTGTGAATATTTTTTTGTGATTTTACAGCTATTATTGATGATTATAGATTTATATATTTAAATTATAGTTTAAATGTCTGAGGGATTTAAATGAGATCAAGATGTCAATAATGAGGATAATTTGCATTTATTAAGATTAATCGCTAGCTACTTAAATCTCACAATTCCAAAAAGCACTTAACATTCACCTATTTGTCATAAAACTTGACAACTGCCCGCGAGTAATTAAAAATCAAAGTTCATAAAATTGTACGTGAGAATGTTTATGAATTAGATCAGACACACATATTTGAAGGTGAACAAGATGTATCCATGCATGCTCGAAGCATTTCGACCTGTTTAAATTTTCAAGATCAAGAACAAGGTATTGACATCAATTTATGTCAATATTAATAAAACTGAGTTTAATAAAAACTTATGAAAAGAAGAACAAAACTAGATTATCACCGGAACTGTCTTAGAAGCAAATAGAATTTGCATTAAATTTCTTAGATAAACTTCCGTATTTCTGCATGAAAATAGATTAGCTTCAGTGGCAATAAAATAAATCAATCTTGAATTTGGTTCAAATTGGTCCAAAAAATCAATAATTTGCCGATAAGTCTTGTTCCAACCAAAAGCATGTAGTAATTGATTTAAATTTTTGATTGATGTTTAATTCAATATATGAACCAAACTAGCACAAAACTGTCTGACTTAGATCATTCAATTCAAATAAATTGCAAACTCATTGAGTTGCATGAAGTGTTTAGCCATTTGTGCAATGAAAGTTTCTACAAAATTTAGACAGTAGCCGAAGATACAATCAGCTACGGGCGACAACCACGAATCATAAGTGATCTGTGTAAACAGCAAAGTAAGCAAACATAAGTAAGTGAATAAATATTTGTAAATCGACAATTTTCTTGTTAAATGCAAATAAAATAAACTCGAGATATTTCTAATGCATTTTGCTGCATTATTGCTTAATTACTGCAGGCAAAGTTAATTTATTCCAAGAGAATAAATTTTAATATCTGGTATTTCAGGCCATTTATACTTGATTTTGTGTGAAAAAATATTTTAGGATATCAATTATTTGTTAAGTTTAAATCAGTCAACAATTTCAAACATTTATGTATGCTTTTTTTAAGAAATTCACTCATTTGAATTTATTAAAGTTATAAATCTTATTAAAATTGATGATAATAACGTTATTTACAACAAGCTCAATAAATCAAGATTAATTCAAGTTTTCTTTAAACATCTGAAAACGTAAATATTTTTTCTAATTCTTTAAATACCAAAAAATTAACAGCTGATGAAACTTGAAACTTTGATTATGAAATCTCAGAATGATTTTGCAAATATAAATTCAATAGCTTCTAGATTACATTTAAATGCTTAGTTCTGACTACACAAGACAAAATTCACGCAAAAAAGATCAGCTTCGTAATTAAGTTAAAGTTCAAACAAGTCAAAACAATCTTTAAGTTCTCATTATTGTTTGAAGGATGGGTAATAATTGAAAAAATAATTTGAAAGTCATTCATGACGTCAAATATAAATTGATCTAAATTGTTCTTAGAAGAGTTTAGCAGAAGTTAATTTCAGGAAGACTTAGTAATCTCATTAGTAATTAGATTTTAATGATTTTGATGGATTAAAGTTAAACTGAACCTTAATTAATAAAGTTGATAAATCTGGATCTTAAAGGTTATTTTTTTGATTTTAACTTAAAATTGGAATATTTTTGATTAAACTCGTGAAAATTAGTGATTTAAAAACAATTTGCAACACACAACCATCGAATCAACTTCAAAATAGTCTCGACTCAATCTCAAAGTCCATATATAATTAAAATATTATTCGCACATTTTAAATCGAGAATTTCACATCTAAGATTTCTCAATACCTGCTTTTAGTTGATACTTTAATGCCTAGCAATTAAATATTCCTAAACACTTTGTAAATATGCAACAAATTATTGTAATTTTCCAGATAAATATCCACAACTTGTTAATCATTTTAATTCACAACTTAATTGACATTCATAATCATTCACTGATAACACGTTTCAACATTCACTAAACTCATATTTAGTCATCAAAATTCATTTCAACAACAAATGCAAATTATTAATTTTTGCAATCCGAGTCTATGTACTGTTGACTCTTCACTAGCTTTAAAATTCCAAAAATTTACGTCATAATGGAAGCCGCAACAGACATAAAAAGATGTGCAGACAATCTCCGTATGAGTCAAAAAAAAATATACAATAAATTTCATGTCAAAACTCACCTCTACATTGCTTCGTAACCGTCTGCGCATCGATGAATGTGGAGATGCAACAAAGAATCATAAATGATATTAATTTTGCCATGTTTATGGAGTCTGTTTAAGGGGGAAGGGTTTGGAACTGAAAAGAGAATGGAATTAAAGAAGTTTTTTAATGAACTTTTTTGTAGATTTTTTTTTTGCAATTTTCTGAGTTTAAGTTAACGAAGTTTGGATGAATTCAAACTGAATCTTTTTAAATTTACTTACAAGTCGACTTTAATCTTTGGCAACTGAGCTTGTTAAGTGATTTTGCAATAAATAGGTCTACACAGTCACAGTTAAAACACACATTTTCCCTAATTTTAATCTTGATTCAAACCACTCTAACCTTAATTCTCTCGCAAAACTGTTTCAATTCAATCTTAAATTAATTTCCCAACAAATAAATCCGCATCGATTTAAACTCAAAATTAATCGCTTGACCGAGAAAAAAATTAGATAATTCGGCTAAGATATCCGCTGGGAGAGTATCTCATTTGTTTCTCTGAATTATGATTAAAAAAAAAAGATAAAAAGGTCAGTTACATAATTCTTAAATTAAAATTCACATTGCGTGTTTAAAATAAAATTGGGAATCCCATGTTGAGTTACGATGTATTTTATGGATATGTTTTGCTGAAGATTTTATTATGAGCTAAGCTTCTTATATGAATATGTAAAATTAGCATGAAAATCTAAGAGAATCAATAAAATTCTAATATAAAAAAGCTATTAAGTTTGTATAATTTTAGTGTAAAAACCTTTAGATCGATGATTTCAATATGCAAATATTTCGACTGATTTTAACAGTTTCTATATAAAACTTAACTTTGATTTGTAGCAATTTAATGGAGAAATCCAAAAGATTTTGTTGATTTTTTATTTCTTAATGATTTGTAACTTAAAGAAGCTTATAGAATTAACGGAATTTTATGATAAATTTTCAATCATAGCTAGTTTTAAGTAACCGGTGCTCAACTTTTATTTTTGCCAGGAAAAAATTAAATTAAATCAACCAAAAATTCAGCAAAGTCACTAAACTTATCTAATTTCAAATTTTTTTCATGCCAAACCTCTCAACATCCAACAATCTCTCTAATTTTCCACATAACTTCACCACATTTTACAGTTCAAAGCGAAGAAAATTTTCTCGTAATTGATATTTCATTATAAAATAATTTTAAGTTCCGTGGATTACTTAAAACTCAATTACATAAACCAAAAAAAAAATAAATATATGAACGACACAGTATGTTGCTTCACTTCTTTCCATGCCAAACGTATGAATTTTTTTTCAACAATTTGCACATTCATTTGTATCCAACAAACAAATTAGTCAATTAATGACAAAGAATAAAATATGTTACCTTAATTTAAACTTAATAAAATAAAACTTTATTTCTTCTGCTGTCGAGCTTAAGCGTCTGCCTTCGCGAGCTGATTAAGTAATACTAAATAATTGAAAAACTTGGAGCAGTGAAAACACTTTTGGCCACAACATTCATAGTGAATTAAACTCAACGATTTTTTTTTGTTCAGTTTCTCACTCTCTTCTGTTCTCACCTTACTGTCTCTGTCTATGGAAACACGTTTTTCTTGAGAAATACTCTATGCGATATTGTTGACTATTTTGAAAAGTGAGATTTTAAATATTTGTGAATCTGTTGCATCTAGCGGTATATTTTGAGTTTTTGGATATGGATTATTTGATAGGAAGAGTCTTTGACTAGTTTGAGTTAGTTCCGATGATTTTTCTGGTAGATTTAACTAGTTTTGAAGAGGTTACGTTGTGAATGAATACCGCTACTTCTGCACGTATTATCAAAAATTAATTGTTGGATTATGTTTGAGTATATGGAGCTAGAACATATCTGTGGGGCCAAGTTGTACCATAAGTTTATTTTAATGGTATATAAAATAAGAGTTATGGTCAAAAATTTGCGATTTTAAATTTTAAACTCTAAGAACGAATATATTCACACTTTTTACAGGTCTTAGGATGCAAGTTTTTTCTTAGGCTGGAAATTCCTTCTTTTTACAAAATTCTTACAATAACCCAATAAAAAAAAATCTCAAAAAACCTCATAAATCTACCAATATTCCTCCAAATCATCCAATTTTTCAATGTCGTCACCACAAAAAGACCTTTTTCAAGTAGATTCTTTGTTGTTCCATCATAAACCACAATGAGAACAACCATAAATTCATAACTATCCATACACGAATGTGAGATGAGATGAATAGGGATTGGGAAGTGAGTATTTAAATGCGATTGTGTTGAGTAGCTTACTTTTGCTTTTAATTTACTACATGATAATAAGATTGACGGCTTATTAATAATTCATGGTCTAGTTATTGGGAAATATTGTAAAACTTTTGTGTATTGTGTGGTTCTGTGAATTTTTCTAATAGAAATTGTTGATTAGTCGAACTTAGTGGGGAAAGAAATAGTTTTGTTGGAACTAAGGTTCAGACTGATTTGCTTGCACTTTGTGTTTTGATCAAATACTATTGTCTTATGTGATATTCAAAACTTTACTGTTCTAAACTGTTTAAAACCATTTCAAACTTTGAAAACAATGTATGTAGCTAAAGATTCTATTCCTTTAATAAGTGTGCAACTCAATATTCGCGAGTGTTAATTCATACGAAAGCGTTGTTTACATTGAATCTTTTATATGAGCATTAAGTGCTCCAGGAATTAAGGTAAGTGATTACAATGAGCTTATGCGTTCGTAAGTAAAAACACAGTTGTCGACCTTGGCTAATTAATTGTAAAGAAAACCTGTTGAAGTGTATGACCGGTGAAATTGTCGGCTTTTTTGAGTATTGAACTTTGTTGGTTGGTAGTTGTTGATGGTATAATAGAGGAATTGGAATGTTTTGGTTATGGATGTTCTGATAATTGGATGTTCATTGGATCTAGAGTTGGGAACATGGGATTCTTTGATCTTTCAGGACTTAGTCAGAATGATACAGGGCCTCTGATGCCTACTCTTTGATAAACCTCAAGTATAACTAAGAATCTAAACCTAGAAACTCTTTCTCAATGTTAAGCACCCCAAATCAACAATTCATCAACAAAGCAATACGAAACAACTGAAACCAAAAATTAATAGACGGCAAAAAGTACTTCCTAAGCTTCCTCATGCTTCACCAACTACCTCGAAATTCCTCAAAAAAATCATAAAACTTCTTTTTTGTCTAGAAAAAAAAAATCTTGCAGCTGACAAAAAATGTTCCGGCCAGAATTTTAAAAACTTCCTCACTTCCTCAAAAATAAGATATTAAGCAATTAATTGATATTCATATCCATTCACTCAAAGATTTGAAGGAAATGAAAGAAGAATCGATAAGCATCTAGAAAATCTGCTTTATCAACACTTAAAATAAATCTCAGTAAAATAACGCACTTACAAAGTTCAAAAAAATCCACCAAAAATGTCTCAATGGTGAGCAACAGAGTGAGCATTTACTCAAAACTTATTGAATTTTACCAAATTAAAGGAAAAATTAATATTTGCGATGCACAAACATTCTTAAATCATTCGCAACACGACACTATGTGCAACTCTAGTTAAGGTAAAATCAAACAATGTCAGTGAAAACATCAAAAACTATTGAAATTTTGAGCAAACAAAATCACGAAATTTTCAATCAGTGCTAGAAATTTCATAAATAAATCACAGAATCTGCAAATTGCATTAGAGTTGATTAGGTTAGATGACTTCTGGGAGAATATTAAAGTCATTAAGTGACATGACATTATTAGAATAATCACGTTGACATATTTGTGTAAAGAAGAAAAGCAAAAATTGCAAAATTATGAGAATTTCTTTTCTATGTTGCTAAAAATAGCAGCAAAACAAAAAATAAAAAAAAACCAGCGCAATTGACGGAGAAAAAATTCTCTTCTTGTGCCGATGTGCTTCCTGATATTTATATATTTTTGTGTGTCATTTCATAAAGATTTGCTAATCGATTCTATTTTTAATTTGCTAGTTTGGATGTGAGAAAAAAAAAGTTATATAGTTCTGTAGGATCAATAAATTTTTCAATCTAAAACTTCTCATTTCATTACTCATCGTTTCAGATAAGATTGTATACATTACAAAAAGAAGTGTTACAATATCGCAGTCTCTTGTATTTGTTTATTTATTTTATAATTATTTTACTACGGCTAAATAAGTCAGCATATAAATCAATAAAAACATAATTCATAAGAGATGTCAACAATTTACGGACGAGATCCACTAGAGGGATTATGGAAAGAGATTCTGGACCTCCATTGGAACTACCTCGAACTAGAAGAGAGCTTAAAAAAGATTGATGAACGGAAGAAGTTGGAAGGACGTTTAAGGGAATATATAAGCATTGTGCCACACGATAGAAAATTCTTTTTACCTGAAACGGAGCACGTACTGCGTGTGAGCATCACACAAATGAGAGATTTTTCGGCATTCAAAGGTGCCATTGGTTTTGAGTCAATTAGTCAATATGCAAATAATCTTTTTACAAAACCATGGCGGAAGGAGTATAGAGTCATTAAGGTATGTACTTGTTAAGTTCAATGACACATCATTACTGAGAATATTCTAAAAATATATATCATAAATGTATCTTCTTCATCTTTGTAGATGTATTCGGGATTTTATCAACATGAAATTAAAAATAATCTTCTTGACGCAGAGAAGATATTTATTGCAATGGGTTATAAGCTTATGCCAAATCAAACTCTCGTGCTTGACGGTCCAATATGTCCCGATCAGGTGACAAATGTTAGTCGTGATGCCCTTACTGCTTACGTTGAGTGTCAAATCATGAAGCAAGTCAATTCTGAACTGACTACACTTGGATTGGCAACGACATGGAATGATATATTTAATTTTCGAGAATGTCACATTGGTGACTCGTCGCAGACAATTAAAGGTTTAAATCAAATTTTACAATCACGTCAAATGCAAATACATGGTATTTTAAGAAAAGGTAATGCGTAGTCACAGTTTTTATTACTCATTGTTAGATCATGTGTGTGTTTTTTGCTGTTTATTGTCACTTATAAGTTTTGTTCCTGAGCGGCATAATGGGTTTGTGGGTCACTGGTCAAGATGAACACTATTTCTTACTAGTTTAATGATCCACAGACTGGTCTTTATTGGTTGAAGGGTGCAAACATCATCATACCTGCATCTCTAGCTACCAATAAAGCACATATTCATATTCATATGCCGCTCAGGCTCATTTTTATTATCTCAATACTCATTCTTATATTTTCTCGTACTTTATATTTTTTTAGATCCATATGCTTTGGCTCTTCCATCACCGCCTATGCACCATCATCAACAACATTATCAACAGCAAGCTCAAATTTGTAGTTCACATTGTAATATTCATCCGTTACAATATAATCAATCGTTACCACCTCCACCTCCACCATTAGCACAACAAAATTCATATTATCATCATTACAATCAGCCATGCACCCATCACATGCAAAATTATGTGCCACAACCACCAACAGCTAATTGCTATCAACATCATTTACCACATTCTAAATCATTAGATCAGTATGATGGTAAGATACAAGGAAATGGTAATATCAATCATCATCATCGTCTATCATTAGATCATAATTATAAAATGGCACAGCAATTACATCAGCAGCACTTATCACCGACAACTCAACAATCAATGCAACAGCAACAGCAGCAGGCGCCACCTCCATTTGATTATATTGATTCCGCCTATAATCATCCATATAATCAGCCAAATTCAAGAGCTCCATTACCTTATAATCTTTCATCAAATTTAGGTCATGACACCGGAGGAGGTTATTATCCACAAGATCAATCAAATCAAATGCCCAATCATCATCCGAGAATGTTCAGCACAAATGAATTTTTTCAGCAACAATTAATGCAATTACCAACAACTGTGAGTGACTATCATCAACAGCAACAACAACAGCCGTCGTATCATCATCAAAAATATTCTGAATCATCATCACCAGCGATTCAGGACGAGCTTATTTCTTTCACAAATGAGCCAATTCGAGTAGGAAGTAAAACGACCGAGGTTAAATTAAGGAGTAGTTTAAAGAAAAGCACCCACAGTACATCTGATAGCGTTGACATGGAACAAGAATTGAATGAATTGAGAGCACTGAAACGTGAAAAGTCATTAACGCCTGCAAGTACGAGCAGTGATGTGAAAACACGTGACGGTATCGGAAATTATCAGGCATGGGATTACGTCTTTCAAAACCTCGAAAAAGATAATGAGAAAAAGAGTAAAGTGAGTACGGCAGATGAGAAAATTGCAGCCGAATTAGAAAATTTAAAAATTAAAGCCAATGGACATGGACCTCCACGGGATCGTCTATCGTCTAACCACAAGAGCAATAATCGAACGTTAGAAAAGACTGGACAGACCAGTACATCAGTACAAACCAAACATAGAACAAAATCTGTTTCAACAACAACCGACACACAGCCGGTAAGCAATCATGAGCACAAGCGAACATTATCTGTGATGGAATGCAATCAAAGAATACAAATGCCATCGCCACCTGAATTGATTGTCGGTCCTAATGAGTGGAGCTGTCGATTTTGTACGTTTCTTAATCCAAATACGAAAAAGATTTGTGAGATGTGTAGTAAGTCAAAGGATTTTTTCTTTGATGCTGATAAGAATGCGGCCACTGCTACGTGTGTCTGAGATAAGGTTAAAAATCGTAAATTTTAAATTTACCTTTTTTGTTATTTAATTTTTTGGTTATTAACAATTTATTAAAGTTTTTTGTTTCTTTTATGAGAAAAAGAAAACTTGAGAATAATTTTTCTATTCTCAATGATATTACATGAGTGACTAGTGCAACAGTTGTGTGACATGAGTTAAGTTGATGAGAATTTTGGATGATTGCAGTATGACAGGTATATTCTTATAATTGATAGAGTCGTTAGTATGTCAAAGAACTTGAATTTGTGGAATAGAACTTTGTTCATGTGGAAATCGTTTGTTTTGTAAAGAATTTCCATGGTTCTGGCCCAAACCAACCTACAATCGCTACTCTGAGCTTCCTGTTAAGTTAATAGTAACTCAATTGACCAAAAGGTTCAATCTGACTAGTCTATAAGATTAAAACCCTCAACCTTCAATAAAAATCTGGATTTTCCCAAGATGAGTGTATAAATTCAAAAATATATCTAAAATCAAACCAAAAAAATCTTAATTTCCCGACATTTAAAAACCATTAAATCAATATTTATCTGAAAAAATCTCAAATGATGTAATCAATAGACAAATACACAAATAGTTCTACAGAAGTTTCGTTACAGTTTGACTGTCATGTCTTTTTCATGACACTATTTCGATAAAATAAGAAAAAAAAAGATTTGAATCTATAAATGATATTCCAAACTAAGCTACATCATATCGACCAGATGTTGAACATCCAAAGAATCAAAAACATAATTCTGCTGAACATTAAAACAACCGCAAAAAATCTACGACCTGATTCTAAAATGATTACACAACTGTTGCACCAAGAACACGTCACTCTGTCAAAAAAAAATATTTCCCTGTTTGAAAAACGCATAAACAATTTTTATGAATGAGATAATCCTCTTCCTCCTTGAGATACTGTGATAATATAAGTGTTTTTTTCGCGAGAATTTTTTTTAATTTTTATTTTTTTTTTCGTTTAATTTTTGCAAATTGAGAAAGAATAAAATGCATTTTCTGTTTCGAATGAATATAAATGACATACAGTGATGGATATCGCAATTGAAACTGTTTTCTCAGTCTATAAAAAAAATTAATTTAAATTTAAATGAGATAAAAAAAACTTTTTACAACGAGCTTCTTCAAATTTGCTGAGAGAAAGACAATTCGAAATTGATATCGAGAGAATGTTCATTAGTTCATTTACGATATGTGTGAGTGTCTCGCTTAGATAGAATAGAAATTGGAAATATTGAAAATGAAGGTCAAGATGAAATTGTTTAAAGAAAATTTTGAATTTAAAGAGAAAAGGATATTTGTGCATGATGTGGATCGGATTCCAAATTTTTGTATAGTTTATTTTTGTTAGAAAACTTGTTCTGTGTTTATATATTTTTGGTTAGAAGTTGTAGTTTTGCTAGGCTTAGTCTTACTAGGAATCCTGAAATGAGTAAACCTCATTTTTGTTAAGAAATACAAATGATTTCTATTAGTATCAGTCAATATTTTAAAGGATACCCTTAATTATGATGAAATGTTTGCTCCAAAGACAATATACCTCTAAAGATTAGTCTCTAAAGATGGTTTAAGATCAGATTATGATTAAATTTGTGATCTTAATCTTAATCTAAAGTTCAGAAGCAAGATATTTGATCTTTTGTATGAATTATCAACTCCTGGTTGATTTGAAGTCGATTTCATTTCAATTTGAAGTTTACTAGAGTCAACTTATAGTTGATTTCAACTAGACAACTTTAAACTCTTTAAATCATAATATTGCCTGAATAATGTATTATCTATCTTCAACCATACTTATTTGTCTAAGTTATTCTTTGTATAATAAATCTAGATAGTCAAAGATAATAGAAAACCTTGATAATATTATTTTCATCTAGATATGCCGTCTTAAACTACTTTAATAATATTTACTTAATAATTTATTAGCACCTATTCTATTACTCAATCCTCAAGTATTATTCGAGTAAGCATCATGCACAAATGTCAACAACTACTTCATCTGCTTGTTATTAATGAATTTATTGAAAGTTTGCACAAATTTTTATTGATTTTTGTATTAAAAAAATTAATTTTTTAATCGTTCTAGTCGTGAAATTAATTTCCCTCCCATTTATCTTTTCCTGATCATATTTAAGTCACATTTACATGATAAAATGTGAAGAGAAAGAAAGTTTAGAAAATTGAGAATAAATAATCAAGTTGTAACTTGAGAGAATAATAAATTTTTTATGGATAAAAAAATTGTTTTTTGAAATTCAAAAAAACATAAAAATTTATCCAATTGTTTCCATTTAAAAAGATAAAAAAATTAAAACCCAAAAAATGTTGTTTGATATCTTTCAGATAGAAAATTTGTTTATATATTAATTATATTTGAAAATCATATCTACAAAAATCTTCAAATAATAAAAAAAAATCTTAAAATTTTTTAAAAATGTGCAAAAATTGCACGCGTTACTAAAAAGTACAGCTCAAAATAACCTTTGAATAACATTTTATTTTTCAAAAAAAAAATAATAATGAAGAAGAAATTAAATTTGAAATTATGATGAACACAAAGATATGATAAATGATTATTATTAAAATTATTATTGATTATGATTGATATAGGCAATTGTAAAACTAAAAAACAAATAATAAAAAATAAAAATTTATTTAAAGAAGAAATGCAAACATTATAAAAAAACATTTGTTTTGTATTTTTTTGATCCAGTTTATTCATCTTATAATATATCATCTTATAGTTTTCTAGATATTGAGGGCCTTTTCAGTATAAGTCTTAGATTTTGTAAATTATTTGCTTATGTTTCATCTGATTCTCGTAATTTAAGGTTCTTATAAATGGAAATGCTAGTGTAAAGTTTACTCCGTAACTTAATGCATTTCATTCTGTCAAACAATTTGCAGTTGAATTACTTTAATATGCATCATTTAAATATTTCACGATACAAATGCAAAAAGGTGCAAATATATATTTTAATATTGTGCCAATTCCGAATAAAATTAAAAATTGTTTACGTAAATTGCAATTGAGGAAGAAATGAAAAGAATTTTTAATTACTCGTTGCAAATGTTTCAATTAAAATGAACTCTACGAGTGAGTTCAACTTTACAATATATTCTATAGATTGGAATTTAACTTTTTATATATTCTGGTCTGGGGACAGCTACCTACTCAGAGTTGCTAGTTTTTAAGATTAAATTTAAAGAAATAAATCAAAAAAACGGTTTAAAATATCTGAATGACACAAAGCATAGAACCAATGACCGAGTTCAAACCAGAAATCCGAGTTCAAACCATCAAATCTAACTTCACGCCAGCCTCACACCTTATTTCTAAGCTATGTGTCACTCAAGCATGTCCAACACTTTTTTCAAGTTCAAGTTCAAGTCTTCAACATTCACAGTCAATGTTTTATTTCCCTTTCAATGTAAAATCTAGTTCAATGACATCATGACATGTGGTGGACCATAACAACCTCCACTAAGCTCTAAACAAAATAGTGAAACTTTTTGATTGTATCCAAATTTGGACTTTAGACCATGACTAAATACAAATCAGTTAAATTTCAGCACCAAAATAATTTGAGTACCGAATAACCTTTAATTTGAAGAAAAATCTTAAAGAGAGTTTAAAGTCTTGACTCATTCATAACAGGTGAATGACTGACGAAAATGAGTAACTGACTTCTACAAGCACTCAAACCAACCGTATGTGACGTCATGGTTATGCATTAGACCATATAGCTGTACATCAAACTGTGCAATTAAACTACAATTAGTTACTGTAAAACATCGAATTCAGCTGCTGACGGACATAAATTATGTTAAGCGAAATATTTACATAGGGGAGACAGCGAAGACACAAAAAGAAAGACAGCTGGGAAGTAAATTGCAGAAATTAAATTACAAAAGAAGTCGCAATGTCTAGAGAATATTTTCTATTCTTTAATTTACTTCCTTTCTCGCTCTTTCCAGTTGTAAGTTTGTAGTGCTTCAATTGAGTACGAAGATTAAGAAGAGAATGAAGTAAAGTGGAAGGCATTTTGGGTGTGAGACATGATGTTAATTGATATATAATGAATTGAATAGTTGTCGTGACTGTCAAAATTTGACAAATCGTTAATTAGTATTGACAGATTAATTATAAATTTGGGAAGCAATTTGCATGTCATTAAGAGAAGCTTAAAAACTAAGAAAGAGAAAAATAAAATTGACAATTTTTTTTGCAGTCGTAAAAAGAATTAGATGTTGCGATTTTTCAAGGTCGCAATACTATTTTGTTAGGAATGGTCAAGATTTTTATAGTATTTCCAAGGAACAATGTAAAGAATTTTATATTAAGGTGTTTAAATTTAAATTCGAAATTTGAAATTTCGATACAGGGACAAAATAAACAGGAAGGATGTCCAGCCTCCCGTTCGGAATTATGCTTACTTTTTACCACTTTCAATTAACAGACAGGTACTTAGCTAAAACCCTGATAGCTGATTTGGTAAGAAGTTTCGAAAATTCAAACACAGCTTGAACCTAATTCTCTAATAGTGTAGCTTAGCTTACTTAATAGCTCCTCCTGTAATTTTATTAATATACAAGACAAAACGATCTGAAACTTCCTTTATCACAAAAGTATCCGTTCATAACAAAAAAATGATATATAAATTACCAAAGCTAGCCTGAAAAAACATAACTATCGATAAACTAACCACAACTCTTTCCAAAATCACCCCTTTCATTATTCCAATATTTACGATTGTCATCACAAAACACACAGACAGAGAGAATGTTGACATGTGCTTCCGTAAATATGCGCCGTAATCCTAGAATAGTCATGACTCTCATTAAAAAATTTTGTTGTTATTATATGCCAACCTAACCCGTATGCAATGCAGTGTCAGCTAATATTTTCTTATCAAAAAGAAAGAACAATATATCATAAAACTGGAAGGAGCATACAGGAAATTATTACAACTGTAACAACGCATTATGACACGTTAATGATCGCTTATGGATTTGTTTGGTTTCGTCTATAGCACGTCACATGTTTACTACATACACGTACACATAAATAGATTGAATGAGTGAGCGAGACGGGAAGCACACTTCATTCATTCATACAAAATTTTCTTACTTCTATGTCCATGTGAAATTCTTGTTCAGTCGAGTTTGCGCAATCTTGCGAGTACGAGTGGAAGGACTTTGGTTTTAAAATATTTTATTTTTAGGATTGAAAAAAATTTTATCAAATATTCTGGATTTATATAAGATTCGACTCTGTACATTGCGGCATTTGCAGCCCTAAAAGCCGGTGTAGTTCTTTCGTCTCAAGTCGATTAGTTTTCACGAGATTAAAATCGGATTTAAAGTAATTTTCAACCTTCGATAAAAAGAATAAAATTGAGGTTGTGCTTCTTTTGGGTAACATAAACACCGAAAAAAAAAAAATTCTCTCATCAGATACGCTCGAAAAAATTATTTGTTAAAAATAAATCTGTGAAGTGGATTTTGTTTAATTAGAGACTACACAGTGTATACAAAATAATTTTATATCAAGCCAAAATAACATTTTAACAAACTTTTTTTATTCTCACTCCGAGAGAGAATTTTTGAAAGAAATAAAAACAAAGCAAAAATAAATTTTGTCGAAGTCGTTTGAACAAAAAAATAATAATTTTCATTTTAAGTTTAGCATTTGAAGAGTGATAATGTAAGAAGTAACAACTCAGAGAAAATAAAATATTGAGAGCGAGAATAAAATAAAAAATTAAATTCTGTATCGTGAGTGAGGATAAAAAAAAGTGAGCAAAAGAAAAAAAGTCAGAAAATAAAATAAAAAAATGGCAAGTCATTTACTGAAGTTTTTGAAGCAGAATATAGTATCGTATTTACTAATTACCGCGACATTATTGACATCGGGATTGATCATAAACATCGTACAGGTGCTTTTGCATGTCTTCGTTAAGCCTTTTAATAAGCGCCTCTTTCACCACTGCATGTATTATGCTTCATGGACGTGGTTGTCACGTAAGTACTGACAGGCATAAATGCCTGCGATTAGAAAACTTTCTACGCACGTAAAAGGGGGAGTCATTTAGGAGTGATATGAATCTATAAAGGGTTATGGCAGTGATTGCCAACCCTTGTACCGCGGTATACGAGTTTGCCGTGAAAAAATTTGTGATATCCCACGAACCGTATGCTGTGTTTCGGTTTTGGTCGAGACTCATCACCAAGAGTGTCGTGGCACAAAAAGGTTGGACATCACTGGTCATTGGTGTTTTCAAGATATTGAATCTGATCAATGTCAGGAACCGGCTTTTTAAAAATTGGTTGATAATCCAGAATATCATTTTGTATGAAACTTTAGTGCACGAATAAGAATCCTATAAGTTTTTACAGCCTTTCTTTTAATTGTACATACCTGAATGTTCGAAGTTCTAAGAATTTTGAACAGAAACTAAGCCCAGATCCCTAAGCTTCCTCCAAAAAAGTACCTTTTAAATTTTTCCGACCCCAAAAATATTTGTGCTGAGTTACACACCTGACAAAACATCATAAGTGAATGAACCTTCAGAAATTTAAAAATATCCACTTTGCTCGGTAGCATTTACTCCGGAATTTATCTTTATTTGTTCTATAATAATTTTATACTGATAAAAAAATAGGTGTGTTAATTAATTTTACTACGATGTTTAACTTTCCGAAAAAAGTTTCGTATCAAATATCCATTGAGAATACTTGAACTGCAGCATGTAAATAAAGAAGGTCTGCAGAGACTCGAATAAAATCGAATAAAATCAATGAAGTACAGCTGATCAAGCTTCCTTGATATTGTCAGTTCAATGCAAAACAACCAAGTTGACAAAACTTTTAAATTCACCCACAATTTCAATAATCTTTGCTTCACCATTGCACATTGAACATCGAACTCACAACAGGAAAGTAACATGACCGGTTTATGAACATTTTGCATTCTTTATTTTATTTGGATGTCGCTCTCCAGACCGGCTGACCATGCGAATATCAGCTAATGACCGCGAAATGATGTAATCATTGAATCAGCTTTTTATGTATTGCATCAAAATGTTTTTAAAGCTAAAAAAGATTATAATCTAAAATTCTATTTTTTATTTATTATTTTAAAATGAAATACTTTTTTACAACTGAGCACATTTTTTATTGTGTGGAATAAATTCAATTTTTAATGGAAAATTGATTTAAAGTTTTAAAAAACAGGTTTTTTGCTATCCCGATCAGCACAATGTTTCGTCAGTTAAATGTGACGTCGTAGTGATTTTTACAATTTATCATAATTTGGGGTCGTTCATAAATGGCGATTGTCAAAAAATATAAATGTACACTACAACCCATAAAAACTGGACATAATTTATAAACGACCTCACCAATTTTCCAACCATAAATTCATGTTTGACCAGCAACTTCCAATCCTATCCCATTCATCCATCAGATTCATATCTGCTAAGTAAACATCAATAATCTTATCGATCTCCTCACTTATAAGTAATTCTAGTAAAATGCCTATATCAATAAATTTCAAATGAAGGATCAAAATTTTATGAATCACGAGCATTTAATGTTGGGAATCTATGAATCTTAAATTAATTATTCACCCTTTGTTTGGTCATAGAAAGTTATGAAAGCTTGCATTACTTTCTGCTAGAAAATTTCATATTTATGACTATAAAACGCAATTTCAGAGCCGAAACTGGATTATTTTTCGGGTTTTATCTTAAGTCTAGACGATCTTGGGATTTTTAAGTTCTGACTTCATTCTAAAAATGCCTAGATGTTCCCGCAATAAGTTTTTACTCGTGACTTTAGATAAACGTAATCTTTTCGATATGTGTCACATTTCAAATCCCTTGCTACGTTGTAAATGGAGCATAATTGATAGCTACTGATAAGTGATAATTTTATTGTTTGGAAATCATTTGCTGAGTTTGCAAAACTGGAAAGGATTAGTAAGGAATGTTGTGACATTTATTTTATATTAATCAACCCGAACAACGCAAGTATGTGCCCTATTGACTATAATATAGTATCCTGAAAGACAAATTATTGTTATGGTAATGAATGTTGTGGTAATGTCCATGTATGTCGTTTAAAGTATTTAGGATACAAAAGTTAAAATTATAGTATTATTAACTTAGTAATTGTGGCTTTTGGACGTTTAAAAATTTAATATGGGTCGATCAGAAATGACGTCTATCAAAAAATAAATTTTTACGCTCCCTTCCTTTTACCCTTTTCAAAAAGTTTGCCACAATTCAAAGTTCGTCATTGACGAACATGCCCCACTGCTTGAACAAGTCACGAATGTTGCGAAGAAAAAAAAATTAAAAGCAACACGTAACTCCTCTACTGCATAATCTACACAAGAAGAGTACAAAGAACAAATCTCATATTCAAGGTCAATCTAGGAGAAATCCATGAACTCAGAGCATAGAAGCTTCAATTGATTCTTTGTTCAATAAAGAATTTCATTGTCGAACAAAAAAAGCTTCCATTTTGACCGAAAACCTTCAACTAGACATTCAAAACAATTTCCAAAACCAACAAATTTAATTGCAGCCAAAAAAAGAGTAATCAAAACAAATTCTTGCTGATTATTCCTGAAAAATAATTTCACCCATTCAAAATCAGTGTAATTTATGCCGAAAAACAACTCGTGTGACCTTCTACCATTTAATCAGTGCTGCTGATAAGCGTTTGACATAATTACGTTCTACTCTGCGAAAGGGTATGTGGAGAACCAAAGCAGAGAAGATTCTTATCGCTTTCGTCATTAAAGTCAACGACATTACTCTTTGGACATACATAAACGGGGATCAATCGTAATTGATGGGTGTTGAAAACATGATAATTAGATTACTAAGGTAGTTTTTATCCCATCTTGAACCACTCAGTAGATGCTATTCATCTCAAAATTGAATACTTGGACCCGCTCTTAAAATGGTTCAGATCCGGTTCATATTAAAAATATTGACATCACTTATAAATGACTCCTGACAGGGGCGGAGTGATTACCAATTTTAATTGACCCCGTTAGCCACACCCCCAATCAATTGCTTATCTTGAATGATCCCATAAAGTACTCATTAATCTTATCTCTCTCATTATAGAAGCTGTTTTCGTCATCGACATCTGGTCAGGATCAGAAATAATAATCTACTGCAAAAAGGAAGACTTCAAATATTTCGGTAAAGAGCACAACTTTACGCTTATAAATCATTCATATGAAATTGATTGGTTAGTCGGATGGTTAATGATTGAAAAGTTTGGTGGCCTTGGATGTACGCGAGGCTTCATAAAAAATGCAATCAAATACATTCCCATATGTGGATGGTTCTTCGGTCTAGCCGAACATGTTTTTCTACTCCGATCGTTCGATAAAGACGAGAAAGTAATTGAGAAGAATATTTCTGAATACATGACCTATCCGAATAGCACATGGATTGTCGTAACAGCGGAAGGGACGAGATTTACAAAAGAGAAACACGAGACGTCAATAAAATTTGCGAAAGAGAAAAAAGTTGAGCCATTTAAGCACCACTTAATACCTCGTCCAAAGGGTTTTAATACATGTATTCCAATCCTTAAGAAACACAACTGTCCAGTTGTTTATAATGTACAATTAGCATTCGATAAAGATTCGGATGTAAAGCCTACATTAGGAAATTTATTAATGGGAAAGAAAGTCACAGCTCATATTTATATTGATAGAATTCCAATGAAAGATGTTGAGCCGACATTTGACAATCTTTATGAAATCTACAAGTCAAAAGATGCATTGCAGGATAGCTTTCACAAATATGGAAATTTCTATGAAGGACGAGGATTAAAGGCTGAAGAAGGAATCACAATGCATCCGCGTATACCTGTTCTTATAAATCAAATTTTATGGACTATATTTGAATTAAGTTTTATGGCTTATTGCACAGTTGAGTTAATTCTTGCCGGTAGATTTATACTGTTGATAACAATCACTGTTAGCGTCACAGCATTGCGTAAGTATTTGTGTTTGCTTGGGGTTAATTCAATAGTGACGTCAGTTAACTTAGTAAAATGCTTTTAAAATATTATCTTTGCTAAGTTTGAACTAGTTAAGCACAGACTAGTCCTTAAAACATCCAAATATATATGACGTCATTAACGAACAACCCCTTTTCTACTTCATTAATATTTTAATACATTCATAAATAAATTGATTATTTTTTCCACCTTTTCCTTTTTACTTTTTAGTTTATGTCATGTTACAGAACATATTACGACACTCGAAAGTCAATAAGGGATCACAATATGGAAAATCGCGATGAGGAAAAGTCACTAGATTGAGGAATTTATTCTCCAAAGATGATATAAGAAATTGAATTATTTATTAAGTACATGAACACAATTATGATGGCTTGAATTTTTAATCAACAAGTGACAATTAGAATTACTTGCTTTAAAATATGTACCATAATGCACAGCAAAACCTGAATTTAAATGTTCGTAGAACATGAAATGTGGAATGAATTGTTGAATGAATTGCACTGTCTATAAATGAATAATTGCTCAAAATTGATAGCAAGCTTGAAAGGGAAAAATTCAATGAAGTTACCTCACTTTTTACCTACAGTAATAAAAAAATTTATGGAAGTACGCATATCCCACAACCGTAAAAACTTCTCAGGATATTGACCAAATACATAATTAACCGGACAAATTCAATTTTTAACGAAAAGCCAAGATTTGATAATGAAAAAAGTGAAACATGGAAGTTATGAATTTTGAGAGAAGTAAGTTCTTGCTATGAACTATCGAACAAATTATTCAATATTGATAAAAATCTTAAAAAATTTCTAAGTTAAGAATTTTAAAATTAGACTACATGAGGCTGGTTTCAGGGAATGTTATTATGATATTAAAATTTCCTGGGTTGATATAATGAGTAAAGTCATGAGTTTGTTAAGTTTTGCTAAGAATCAAGAATATGAGCTGCTGCTATCTATCATAGCTTTTAAAAATTCAAACATATCTTAGAAAAACAGTGCTGTTCATTATTGTGTCTACCGAACGGTTTTAAAAAGATTTTTGGAATATTATTCGCGTAATCATGCAAGTTAACCTAAATCTTTAATTTAGACCTAATTTGATATTCTTTTATTAGACATTTAATCATCAAAATCAATAAAATATCAGAAAATATAAAAATTTGATTCTGCTGCAAACAAATAAAAACTTAAATTTTAAAATAGTCAACAATAAACAATTTGTTCCACATAAATTGAAAGTTCAAAATTCAATCATCGGTTTTGCTGTAAACAAAAGAAAATTTCAAAGAAAAACAAAATTTTGTGATTAAAACAAGTTAATTAGTAAATTATACGAAATAAAATAAAAATTTTGATTTAGAATTTTAATGGATGTAGTATTTTTCTTGTATTGCTTAAAATAGGTTTGTAGGAGCTCTTTACCTTTATTCTAAACTTATCCTTACAGGAACAGGCCTTTCGATTTCAAGGATAGATTCTCTGCACGAAATAAAATCAACACAAACGTTGACAAAGTTGTTAAGTATTTCAAAAGATCGAAGGTTCGAGACTTTCCTGTTTATCAATAATTGATAGAAAATCCAGGATATACCAAAAACTTAAAACATAAATCAAATATTTCTTATGACACAGTCCCAATAAAATAAAGTATTTTTGATAATTACTTCCAATTTTATGTCAAATTCTTGAGTCTCAAATATTTATTTTTATTAGGGTTGAAAAAGACAAAGAATTCTCGACTAATAAAAAGACTAAGTATAGACTGTCCATTATTTAATCATTAATATGTTTCTAAAAATATTTTTCCTACTCCAATAAAACTTTATTGATTATTTTCAAAAGCATTTTTAGACAATAATGATAACACGTGTGTCATAAATTTATTCAACTGATAGCTTCTCATGCACACTTAAAAATAGAAAATCTGCGCAAAATTTCAGATATAATTTGATCAATAAAATTGCTACAACTAATGCGATAACAAAATCGATAATTATTTCTGGAAAAGTTGTGCCAAGTCATATTTAGATAAGTCTTTAAAGTGAACATTTTGCGTATTAAAAAAAAAGCTCACGTGGAATTTTTTGTTGATAAAAGAATGACATGCTTTAGATATGCAAAGGAAGGACACTACATGATTTCACTTACAGAGACTGTTGATGCAATAAGCAGCATGTTTACAGCGTTTTATTCTTAACAGGTCAAAAAGTTATTTTATCATAAACTACTTTAATATTTAATTTAAAATCTGTCTTTGGGATGGATGATTAACTTACAAACAGCCTAGCCTGTTCGAACCAAATGTATTGAAGGATAATAATAATTTTAATATTATCGAAATTAATTGATTATTATGTTAATCAAATGCTCATCAACATCATTGAAACGACGTAGTGTCGACTTAAAAACTCATTAGAATCATTGACTGCACAGATATCCTTCGAATTAGATATCATTAAGACGTCAACTTAGTTAATTGATATTAGGAATTAATCAATTTTCTATCATCAAGTCACAATCTTAGAATAACATTCTTATAAGAATATCTAAATTTACTCAAGCTTCAAGATAAAAATAACGCAAGACATAAATAATAAACAATTAATATGAAAATAAAAACAAAATTGTCTATTTTAAGTTCTTATTATTTAGACATTAAGCATTTATTGTCACTTATTCAAGTTGTCCTTACGATATCAAATCATAAAATTTTTATGATGATCAGCTAATGCCTAGCCACTAATGATAATCTTAATGCATTTTCTGACGTCAAGGAATGGAACTTGATTGTTTTTAAACATTGAATTTAAACTCTTTGGGAATTCAAATTACCAACTCTGTTATTTAAAGATCAACACACATACTTAATGAATCTTCAGATCCATCAAATTCTTTACTCAGAGAAAATCAAATAAACTCATCAAAACAAGCTTCTTTCTGATCTCCAGAAAAGAGAGCTTTTGGAATAAAAAATTTCAAATTTATTGAGAATCTCTCAAATTTATTTTACAGCAACACAATCACAAATAACATGAGTATAGTTCCACATACATATGAACATATAAGTTAAATAACATATGTAAATTCTCTCATATAAAAGGTATTCCTCATTTTGAAGCTTTATTAGTTGAGTGCTTTAACTCGGTATAAACAGATCGTGCGGTAGCAAAGCTATAAGTGACTTAATCAATTTTTTTAAAAGAAATTTAAAAAAAGTCTGACGATAAGACGAGGTGATTTAAATAAAAATAAAAAGCAAGGAGTTTCAGCTGTGATTTTATTGAAAAATTGTTTTTGTGAATAAAAAGGTGAAGTTGTCTAGTGTTGTGTATTTAATAAATTGTGAGATTTGTGATAATAAAATATACAAATTGTGAACATTTTTTCTGACTTAACTTTTTGTGATAATACCTAAATATTTGAAAAACTTCAAGATGATTGGAAACAGTAAGTAGATTTGTATTTTATAAATTATTTGTGTTTTTGATGATATGACATGGAAATTATGAGGCTTAATATTCAGGAATTATCTGAGTCTTACTATAACTTGCTAATTCTTGACGTCAAAATTCCATATTTGCAAACCCATCTTAAGCATCTCAATCTACATTATTTAAATCGCTAGAGTAAAATTTGCATTTCGTGTAAAATCTACCAACTGATAAAACCTAAATACCTCATCATATGTGGAACATGAATTTATAATTAAATTAAAAATAGATCAAATAATTTATTGGAATTCCAAAATAATCTAAACATGTGCCTCAAATCAACGGTACTTTAAAAAGCACACAGCATGCAATTAAATAACCTTAATCTTAGTTCTGTGTAGATTCTCTTAAATTCTTACTTTTTTCTACAATATTTTCTCAATACACGACATTGAACCTTACTTTTCTAAGTGCTGGATTAATAAACTATAATAAATAACAAGTTATCGTTGACAAGTCAAGACAATACAAAAGAAACCTGAAATTCTCCAGTATGACTAGCAGGAAATCTTAATAAGTTAATTATTTAAATTGACTCTTTATTGATCAATTAATGCTAATAAGATCGTTCAATTGAAGTAAAAGGATTTATTTTTTACTTGTTGGGAAATCCCATTATGTGATGAAATGTCAAGTGATTCTTAAATTGAGTGTGTTAATGCCCACGTAGAACTTGAGGGTGGGGAAATATTTGAAAATAGATTTAATAATGTTTGGGTATCTTTTGATGACGTCAATCTTTAAAAATAATAAATTATCAATGATTTAAGACAAAATGTTAACTTTTAAAACAAATAAATCAAAGATCACAACAGAATCGCATGAAACTTAATGACACACAGCACCAGACATGCTTGAAACATATACAAATTGTTTACATTGTAAAATAAACCGTAAAAAACCCCAAATCAGGATTTTAAGTTAACTGATTGAAATGTTGACATAAATTGATGCCAAAAAATAAAACTCGAAACTCCCAGAACTAATAAAAACAACATTGATGGCACACGTGAAAGTAATTTGCGTATAAATGGCCACACTGAAGACGTTTGTACTTCGTACGAACTTTCTACAAAAAAATTAAGCATAAAAATAAGCTTTATTTTTCAAAAATCTGATAAAATAAGAAAATTCAGTCAAAAATAGTTTTAAAAGTATAAAATTAAACCAAATATGGTAGCTGATTAGTAGCATATATTAAAATAGTTTTATTAATCATGAGTGAGCTGAAATCTTTGAAAATTTCTGCTGTTCTTTTGCAAAAAAATTAAATCAATATTTAGGAATTAATTACATTTTCTTCATGGACTATTAAACATTTGTGGAATGAGAAATTCATCACGGTTTGGTTATCAAGAATTCATGTTTTTTCTAGAACTGTATTTAAAACCAATTTTGAGAAATATGAAAAAACATAATTTTTAATCAGAAGATCATGCACATGTGGTCATACGGAGCTTTAGAAATTGTATTATATTGAGATTAGCATTTTCAGAGATTGTTCTGAATAAAACTATATTTAGATTAATCATTTTTAAAAAGAATTCATTTATCAGCATTAACTTAAGGAGTCGTTTATGAGTGATCAAGAAAATTCTGATTTAGTATGTCGCAATAGTTTACATCTTTAAAGAGTTTCTTAGAACTTCAAAATTGTCTGATTTCAAATATTCCTTCCACGTCCGTTAGAATATTCTCATTTAGTATTCATTCTACAACTTTAAAATAATTATTTTTTGAGGGAAAACCCGAGAGTTTTTTTGAAAATGAATTAAATTTTAAATTGAATTTTGTGGCTTCATTGACTATTAAAAACGTGATAAGACAATTTTGCGACTTTACGACCTTTATTGTCTTCTTAAATTACAAAATGTTTTCTGAAGGTTTCCATAAGATGGGCATTGCTGAATATTTTCCTTGTAAAATTTCTTGTTTATTACGAAAATCAACAGCTGACGAATAAATTTTTTTTATCAATTTGTAATTTTACCTGATAACAGGTATTGATCTAGTTGAACTTTATCAATAATTAATGAAAATACGAAAACAAAAGAGTCGCAAAATTCAGTTTAAAAATAAATCTGAGTGAGTGAAGTCAAGTTAAGCTGTTCAATTAGTGAAGAAGATATAAGTGAAGTTGTTTAATTTAATTTAAAAACAAAAAGTGACAAAAAACTAAAAAATGTTTATTTTACGAATGTTAAAAGGTTGATAAAGTTTGTTTTTATGTAAAACTAGATGTTAAATTTTTTTTTCTGGAAATCGTCAGGGTTATTTTTGGCGAGCGATAACAATGACCTAGACTTTTAAAATGTAAAAAGTTTAGAGTTTGATTAAAATGTTTTGATTTTTGGGAAAATATTTAACAGTAGCTGACATTATCTGAATCATACGTGCAAGAAAATTACTTATATTTACCAATCTGATACCTTAAATCCTTCCAATGATAATACTTTAAGTGATTTAACCGCAAAATGTCAATAAACCAATTTATAAGAATTTTAAATCGCCGAGTATTTTCCTTTTTATTCTTAAATGATCAAACTAAAACTTCAACTACAGCAAACAAGTTTTAAGATTGACAGACATTGATGACGAATGTTGAAAGAACTAATATATGATAATTTGTTTCCATATTAATGAACTTGTCATAACAATTTGGATTCTTTTAGTAATCTTTCATTGATACACAAGCCAAAAAAAATGTTATCGAAATTATTTCGAGGCAAAAAATGTAAGCAAATATTGAAATTTTGGTTAATGCTTTATCTGTGAAATTTCTGTTCCGCAAATAAAACGGTCGAGAGTTTTTTGTTAGAATTAATTGAAATTTGTTTTTCCAATAAATGTCAACAACTCGTGACTCTAAGTTTTAATGTGAAAATTGATTTATGGATGCAATTTAAAGAAGAACTTAAAAGTAAACCGCATCAGTGGGATCAGTTCACTTAAATTTTTTATTGCTCAATGTCACATTTATCTCTGTTATAATAGCCAAGAATAATAAATGCTAATAAAAATTAATTTTCGTCATTGATATTTCAAGTAATTGGGGATTTCACAAGATGTTCATCAGACGTGTCAATATTTAAATTAATAACTTTTGTCGTAAATATTTCAATATCATGTACATTTGAAGGCTTGTTTTGTTTTGTGTGAAACTTCATATGACATTTGTTTATCTGTGGCTTTTTTAATTTCTTTTTTAGGTTTAAGAGTTTAAAAATTGCTGATTTTATGAAGTTTGGCTTTTTAAACAACGAAATACATTTATAATGATCATATAATTTTCAAAATACATATTAAATTAGAATTATGGAGAAAAATTGATGTCAACAAAGAATTTGAATAGGTTGTACGTGAAATTAAGAAATCAATTCGTAGAATATTTGAAGAAGTTTATTTAAATTAATTTCAAGTGTTGTAAATAGAATGAACAGTAAGCATATCTTGTCTTAAAGTGATTGTTAATAAAAGTGTGTTTTATTTTGATGTTAACGCTGAGAAAAAACGATTTAAGTTTGCAAAGATTTTAACATTTCAAAAGAGTTTCAAAACAATTCTTAAAAATCTATGGGTTTCCTTAAAAATTGCTAAATAGATAGTAAACATCAGCACATTAAGGAACTTTCCAGTGATAATGCAAACTAAAGCAAACAAAGCCAAAAATTCACAATACATAACAAATGAATTTGCTTATCAATTTCAAATAAATGTTTACATCGTTCATATCCTCCACGTTTTATTTTGATTTTATACAATATTTACCTTCATACAGTAGGGTTTTCCCATAAAGTTAAGTAAATAATTCACATTTATAAACAGATAGCAATTGAAAATTTAGAAAAAACAAAAAGTGTTAAAAGTATTCATAAAAATGAATCGTTTAAGTTTTATCACTAGATTCACCTAAAACCCGTCTCTAATGTTGTTAAACGCGGTAAATTCTGTAGCAAAGTTATGTGATAAGAGCATTACATGCATTTAGCTTAGAGCGATGAAAAAGCAATAAGTTTTCAGAAATTATTCGCTGAATTTAAATTTTGTAGAGCTTGTCAAAGATAATCGAAATTCTAAAAACTTCGTCCCCAGTTACGTCCTTAACCTGCACTTTTCCTTGACAGCCTTGCTAAAGGACACATTCATACTAGACACCCATTAGCCAATAGCTACAATCGTTTACTAATACTTTAGAAATTCCTTATGATAAGAAATTTCATATGTTCGGGAAAAGGTTTCATAAAGTTTAAACCAAATAAAGATCATAATCTCAGTACTGATTGCTCTGGCCTTAATTTATAATGTATTGCAATAATTCTTGTGAAACTCATGAAAGTAATCTTTCAGCCTTTGTTATTCATTTGATGGACAAGAATCGTTCAAAACAAAATTTGCATTTGAAGCCGGCTTAATTAGCAAGTAGCCAGTTCAAACTAATTGAAAAGCTTAAATTGAATACAAGATGAACTCACAAACATTTGAATAACAAAACAATTTGCCAAATGAGTCACCCAAAAAAAGTTTCACAATTTTTTATCATGAAAATTTGCCCTAATTTTAAATGCTTATTTATTCAAGTGTAAAATTAATTTCTCACACACTTCACATGTCCCTCAAGTTGAATTAGTTCAACAAATTTGAAAAAAGCTCTCAATGTGATCATCTGTGGTGAAACTCTGTCTGCCATCATGCGGGAGTTCTGAGAAGTAATTTTCTGTTTACGAATTACATTTTATTAAAGAGACCTTAGATATTTTAAACATTAGTTTTTACATGAAATATTTACACTTAGTTGGAAGCTATAAATCACTAGTCGTTGAAAAATTGTCAGGTAACATTGAATGGTGTAGATTATAAGAGAAATAATAGGAAAATAGGAATTTTTGGGAAGAATTACAAAGAATATTTAAAGTTTGATTTTTGAGAGAATTCTAGTAAGATTTTTGGAGATTATTATACAATATTTTCTTAATTTGATTGTTAATTCCTTCAAATCAGAGATTAGAGGTAGATTTGATCTAAATGATGTCCAGCAATCATTTTGTAAAGTCATAAGACTAGATCAAACATTAGAATCAATCACAATTCTATTTGTAAACATTGCGAAATATCAAAACAGCTGACGTATTGATACCGAATAATCCATACACAATAAATGACTAATTTCAATAAATTCCTTCTACTTTGTTCCTATATCTTATCAGTTTTTAATATAAATACCAATTGATTCATAAACAAATACAAGAATAGTAAACACTTTATGACTCAAAATACATAAACATTCATCTACAGTTACAAATTGTGAACAAGTTGTTCTCTCAATAGTCGCCGGTTCTCTCAATTATTTTTTTGTTTCTCAAAAGCGAATTCTTTTGTATTCTTTTTCCATTCATTAAAAATAAACAAGGTTCGGTGAGATCATCCAAAAATCCATTCTGGGAATTGACGCTGTTGAAATTTAATTAAATTGAAATTTTTCATAAATTTCTGTAATCAAAATTTACCAAACAAATCTTAAAAGTCGCTGTGCGTTAGTTGTACAAAAATCAATGTTAAGCTTTACAGTTGTTAGTGACTCATATCATCAGTTTACACACGCGTCAACACACTCTCAAATAAAACATATTCTCAAATAAAAATTGTATAAATTTCCATCTTTTTTCAGTATTCCTCTCAGTTTGTACTTTAACTATCGCTCTAACCGCAACAATGGCATCTCCAACAAACGTTGATCAGCAATTTGCTAAATCAGCAAATTTATTTGCAACTGAACTTTATCAGGTAGGTGGAATTAAATTATTTGGTTTTTTGTGGGTCTTAAATTGGTTAAGTCAAATAAGAAAAAAAAAAATTGGAAATGAAAAAACTTTATGCATTTCTTCGTTGTTTCCAAATACTTTATTCACATGAAAAATCAAATGATTTGTGAGTAGCTTGTGTCAATTAGTCTTCTGATATATGATCTAATAATAACTATGTATATTGGTGTTATTTGATTCCTTTTAAATTTGATTTTTTAACTTGAATCTTTTCAAAACCAAAACATTACTCATAAAATTGTCAGATGACCTTGCACAATAAAAAGAATTTTCCTGGGATGTTTCATTAAACTGTGAAATACATGCTTTAATTACTCCCCTTGCTTAATGATTCATCATATAAACAATTCCTTAACAAAAAAATATTCCTCATTTTCCACAAAACAGAAAACAATCGAAGGTAAGCAAGGAAATGTCATCATTTCACCAGCCTCAATCCAATCAGCCGTGACATTAGCTATGTTCGGAGCAACAGAAGGCAGTGACACAAGAACCCAAATGATGCAAGGAATGAAATATCCAGAACAATTCAGCGCAAATTCAATTGCTGACAGCTACAAAACTTTCAATGAAAATGTTGAGAAAACAAATGGCTTGAAAATCGGTAAGTTGTGGCAGTAAAATTGAAAATTGATCTATTTTTAACATTAATCTTCTAATTTATAGCCAACAAGGTCTACGTCATGGAAAATTACAGTGTCAAGCCATCATTCCAAGAAGTTGCTACCAAGAGCTTCAAGTCTGAAGCACAATCCCTGAATTTCGCAGCCAATACAGAAGCAGCAAAATCAATTAATGGCTGGGTTGAAGATCACACAAACAACAAGATTAAGGATTTAATTTCACCAGATTCATTGAACGCTGACACTAGAATGGTCCTTGTCAATGCCATTTACTTCAAAGGATTCTGGCAACACCAATTTGACAAAAAACAAACATTCAAGGCTCCATTCTTCCTTAATGATGTTGATTCCGTTGATGTTGACTTCATGAGAATCAAGAAACATTTTAATTATGGCGTTTTTGTTGAACTTGATGCCACAGCACTTGAACTACCATACAAAGATTCTGATATCACAATGATGATCATTTTGCCCAACAAACGTGGTGGATTGGCTGCTTTGGAGAAGAATTTAAATAAAGTTGATTTCAGTGAAATGTCCAACAGAATGTATTCTCAGGAAGTCAATGTTGAAATTCCAAAGTTCAAGATTGAATTTGATATTAAATTGAATGAACCATTAAAGAAGGTAAATTAGTCGTGGATATGCAAATGGAGGTCAAGGACGTCCATACTTCAGAGGAATGTTCCAATTTATTTTTAGAAAAAAAATTTCACATCCATTTTCTCTTCCAAAACTTAGATGGGTATGACAAAGATGTTCTCTAACGAAGCTGAATTCAACAACTTGCTTGAACAGCCAGAAGACTTGAAAGTCTCAGAAGTTGTCCACAAAGCATTCATTGAAGTCAACGAAGAAGGTGCTGAGGCTGCTGCAGCAACTGGTAAGATTTTGATGAAATTTTTTAATAATTTTTTTGTGTTTTTCTTTGCCTTCTCACCTATTTTTCTATTTCTGGGATTTACATTCATACCTAAATGTGCCTGTTTTTTGCTTGCATAAAATTTTAACATTAATGTCTTTTTTGTTATCTCTTCTATTCTTTATTGGATCATAGCTGTTAGAATTATGAAGCGAAGTCTTCCTATATTCCATGATTTCACTGCTGAACATCCATTCATATTTATACTTAAGTGTAAACAAACGAGTCTCGTTTATTTCGCCGGTAGAATAAGTCATTTCGATGAAGAAATGGAGACTCACGATGAGCTTTAAAGAACAAATTATGTGCATTAATGTTACCTTAATGGATACAATAATAAAAATTGAGAATCTTCGATCTACAAACTCCACTAAATTATGAAAATTGTCGTTTCTTGAGAGCATTCATAAAAAGCTCTGAAAAGCTCCAAAAAGCTCAATATTGTATCCGAGATTCAAACCCGAAATAGAATCGTTCTGTCACTTGAATATTTTCAAAGCTATTCCTTAACTGTCATTTTTTTTAACACCTGTTTGGATTTAAAATCTATTTAAAATCTTTTAGAATTTGAAATTGTGATACGCTGCATATCGTCATGTGAAAGTCTAATAGCCGATAAGCCATTCATGTACACAATCATGAATGGTAGAGATTTACTTTTTATTGGACGATTTTCACATCCTATGGGATCATTAGTTCATCATATAAGCGAATTTGAAGCTGAGAGTATTCATGAACTTTAGTAAGAATTCTTTTGCGAATTTTTAAAATGCGGTTTTGGAAGAAATCTTTAGTTTTTGAGGATTTAGGAGTGGGTATAAGTCTATATATATAGAAATCTTGTACATATGACATTTGTTCTTTAAGTTTTTATTTTACACCGTTGTACATAAAGTTACTTTAGTTTTTGAGAATTGAACATGACATTGGAGTTGTTTACTAGGTTTTGCTAACTTCTCACACCATTATGTATGATATTTGCATGAATTATTTAACATATAAAGACATTCATATCAATCTCATTTGCTTGCCTTAATCGAACGAATGCTTGAATTTTTGACAACAACTTTTCATATAACTTCACAATTTGCGCAACATTAAAAGAAATTCCTTCTAAATATTAATCTCATTAATCTAGGAATAACAATAATGCTATGCAGTTTTGTCCCAGAGACATATTTCCAAGCAAATCAACCATTCTTGTTTGTCTTGAAATCGCCATCTACTTCATTGTTTGTTGGACGTGTGTCAAACCTATAAAAATAGCAGGCGTGAATTAATTAATACGTATTGTTAGAATATGAGGCTGTTACTCAAATAAAAATGCTTTAAAATAATATTTGGCTTACTTTCTGGGGAGTTTTAGACTTTGAAAGCTCGGATAAGGGGATTTAAAGGTCTAGTAAGATAATAATGTTTGAACGGCCCAGCCTTTCAGCTGGAGGCACTGAATTAAGTTTCATTGTGCCCAAATTTTGAACTCATAATGAAATATTAATAGTTTTTGACATGAAAGAAACTTCAATGTGTCTTGTTCGACGTTTTAAATTAATTAGTAAGAATGAAAGCTTTACTTAAGATGCTTCAATTTCGTTCAAGCAGGTTCAAGTTTTCTGTAAACTATTATAACCATTTGTAAATTGTCCATATCTTAATGACCTGTCAAAATATTAATTTATAATTCTTCCTTCTTTCAACAATTATGCTTGTTAGGAAATGCCTAATTGAAATGGATTTTGAGAACTTTTTGTGTCGTCATCCATTTTATTTCGTCATCAAAAAGTCAAAATTATCTCTTTTTGTCGGAAGGGTTAAAAACTTTTGAATTAACTGAACTGAATGATTTTTTAATGCAATTTAAAACTATCTCTTCAGTATTTTTCAAACGCATTTACTCAATAAATAACTTCATGACCAAATATTACTGTGAGATTAATAAAAAAATATTTTCCAAATTTATTAATTTTGACTTTAAAGATATCAATTTGCTTTTGCGTTATTATTTGTAAAGCCAATTTTCTACTATGAGAGTATTTCAAGCATGATTTTTATTTATTGCAATAGCTTTTAACGACTGTGCTTAAATTTTCAAGTTTGTTTAAAGATTTCAATTAAATTACTCAAAAATTCTTCCTTTTTCCAGCTGTTTTGATGTCTATAAAGAAATGCGCAAGACACTCTAATATCTTTTCATGTCGCCATCCATTCTTCTTTGCCATCAAACAATCAAATTTATTAATTTTTACTGGAAAGGTCGAATATTTCTAAATCATCGATCAACTTTTCTCACCAGCTGTTAAACGCTAATTATTATTCAAATCCATTTTGCTTATTCTTCTTGCAGTTCTTATGTTGAAAAAAACATGCGCATTCAAAAAGAAATTCAAAAACTTTTTGTGTGATCGTCCATTCTACTTTGTCATCAAACAATCAGAATTGCTATTTTTTATGGGAAGGATCAAAGTTCTTTGAATCATTTTGTAGCTGTTAAATAGAATTTTTTTAAAAGAACTCAAATTGCTAAAAAAACAAAATAACTTTCAGCTCAAAATTTAAAAAATAAATAGATTTTCTCCCATCAACTTTTAATCTTTGTGTTCAAAATTAAATAAGAAAGCTTTTAGTTCTTCAATTTTATTGTTCTACTTTTGATAATTATAATATCGCCCACCTTATTTCAGCTGTGCTTATGACTTTAAGGACCTGTGCAATCAGAAAGAAGATCATAACTTTTTTGTGTCGCCATCCATTCTATTTTGTCATCAAACAATCAGATTTGGCATTATTTGTGGGAAGAATTCAAAACATTTAAATGATATAAAATCTTTTGCTTAAAAATTGTGACGTAAAGTGAAATCTATAAAATGTATGCTTCATATTTTCTTATTGAATCTCTTTATTCGATAAATTGTTTTCAAAATATTATATTCCAATTTCAGGTTTAATTATTAAATTTCATTGTTCAAGACCTCCCACAAAATTTCAATGCAATCGTCCGTTTATGTTTTTATTAAAAAATTCGTTTAACGGAATCTTATTTATTGGAAAAATTGAAAATTTAATTTAAAAATTTGTTTGTATCAATGTTATTGCATGCCATAACTTGTTGAGATTAATAAATAAAATTCTGCAAGAGTTTATTTTGTATATACACTGAATATAAAGTTTTCAGAAGAAGTAGTGATAGATGGTTGTAGATGCTTAAAGTATTGCGTTTTAAAACAGCTTTAAGCTTTAATTTACAATGAAAAAAGTAATCTTAATAGAAACAATGAGTAGCTATATAATTTATGATATTTATAGGTTTAATCGTTATGGATTTCTGCATAAGACCATTCAAAAAGTTCAAATGTAATCGACCATTTTTATTTGTTTTGAGAAACAAATCTTTAGGAATATTATTTATTGGGAAAATCAAAACTTTCGTTTGAATTAGTTTTAACATTAATAAATTTTTTCAAAAAACTCTATTTTACTGTATATAAAGAATTCAAAATCAAATTATTTATTAATTGCTTATTTTTAGCTTTTGTCAGACATTTGAACAATCAACTGATATTGATAGTAAATTATAATAAAACAATTATTCTAGGTTTAAAATTCAGAAAATACTGCAAGAAATCATTCATAAAGTTTGAATGTAATCGTCCATTTATATTTCTATTGAAAAGCGCATCTTTAGGGTCATTGTTTTTTGGAAGAGCAATGAATTTGTAATTAAAACTTTCATTAAAAATTCTTGAAGATTGTTTTATTGTTAATATAATTGAATTCAATAAATGTTTCTAAAATACTAGGATTGAAAAATATACTGTTCTGTAAATATTATTAGTATTATCGGATCTAATCAATTTTACTGGGGTCAAAACTTATAATTTCTTTAACATACTGTTAGATTCGTCTATTAGTAAATGAGGAACCTTATAAATTCTTTTTGAATCAACTTATCTATATTATATTCTCATTATTGATGCATGCTACGTGAAATGTGGCTTTTACGATTGCATTTCTTATTTTATTCTTGAAACTATTGCTGTGAAAATATTTTTGGTGATGGATCTGAATCCTTATTATTTAAAGTCTCTATCTCTTTATGTATCAAATATTTCTATTTACTACAATGTATATAAAGCTGTAAATGTCGATAAATTATTTGTAAAGTTTCCATAGACATAGTTTTGGTGATAGATGTCATCAAAAAAAATTTGAAGATTTTTAATATTTCGCTTTCTAAAAATTCTTTACAGCCATCAGAGTAGTTGCCTTTAGTGCTATAATTGACGATGATACTGAATTCATCGCTCAGCATCCTTTCCTATTTATAATTCACAAAGAAGGCTCATCCTTATTTATTGGACGCATTTCAAAATTTTGAATATATAAAAACAATTAAAGATTATATTTTGTATTGATATGCTTAACCAAAAAAGGCTTTATAAAGTAATTTTTCTAGAGATTAAGGAAATAAAAAAATTATTAATAAGATAATACGCAAAACTTGACAAAATTAATTGAATTTTCAGCCCTACTAATAATTGGAATGTTTTAAAATGTGTTGCTAGCTGAGTAATACTTTAACCACGTTATTAATAAGGATCTGAGTATTACTTTAACCACGTTATTAATAAGGATAAAGACAGTATAAGGACCAAATTTCTACTTTGAATAATTAATTTGGAATTTGATGGGTTAGAGGTCAAGAGTTTGACTAAAGTAAGGGCCTGGTATTGTGCTTATGAACTTTAAATCAAATGAATCATGTAGCATCTCCATAAAGTTTACAGATAATCCAAAATCTGCATGATATGATGATTCATTGAGCAAAACATTGTTAATAACTTCACATTTTGATAATTTGGGGAAATCTATATAACAATGTTTGCTAAACATTCCTTTTCATGACACTATCTTCAAAGTTCTAAATTTCAACTACATTTGCATGAACTAGAATTCAATTATTTCTAAATTCTCATTACAAATTCTACTGAATACCAAAACTCATCTTACTGTAACAATATTTCAGGAATACAGTTTATGTTATTAAGCGCAGCCCCAAGAAGGTCACGTCAATTCCTTGTGCGTCATCCCTTTTTATTCATGATTATGAATGAGGATTCAGCTCTGTTCATGGGACGAGTTAGACGTGTTTAAATGTCAATTATGAGATTAAGTTTTAAGTTTTATGAAGAATAAAGCTACATTTTCCTGATATTCTCTATCAATTCAAGTTTATTAAGTTTTATGATTTGCATGAACTTTCGCATGATAAGGTGACTCTTCGGGGCACCTAGCATGAACTTTCAAAAATTCTATACTTTTGATTATTCTTTTACAAAACTTAGATATGACACTTCATTAAATAAAATATTTTGCAGGTATATATTTTGTACTCTATAGTGCAGCCGATGACCCCGACTTTCTCGCACGATATCCATTTTTATTCATGATAATGAGTGGAAATTCAACATTGTTTATGGGACGAGTTAGAAAATTTTAAATGTAATTTCTCAAATAATTTCAATTAATAAGGAATAAATAAACAGTTCTTAAAGATCGTCATTGAGTTGAAGGCAGCAAGGTTTGATATAAACACAGTTAAAAGTTTTAATAAGCGTGAATATCTAAATTTCAAAAATTAGTAGCTAAATTGAAAATTGAGTAGATAGAAATTTATGGGAAGATTAAGCTAAAGAACATCATTTTGAAACTGTCAAATCTTATAAAACCTTCTAATTAAACTCGTTTGTTGCTTTGAAAAAGTGATAATAATTAACCTAGATATTGTTTGGCTTTTAAAAACAATGGAACATTCTAATCTGCAATAATAAAACTGAATTTTTTAAAAGAATTCTTTATTTATTTTAAGCTGATTTTCGCAAAATGTTGAAGTCAAGGAAACGATCGAAAAACTTTCAAGCAGATAGCCCATTTATTTTCTGTTTAAGGGAAGAATCAAATGTCTTCTTTATGGGAAGAGTTATTGATCTTCCTAAAAGTTTGTTGCCTGATTCGGAAGATTAAAAAAGACCATCAAGAGAAGAAATAAATGATCCAGATTGGTCAGATTTGGTTGATTTGGCAATATAAAATAAACTATTTTATCAAATCTTCGTAATGTTTGAGTTAATAAAATTAAATAAAATAATTTTGTAATGTTATGTCAATGGAGAAGTGGAAGAGAACTGTAGTTTCGCACTCTTGGTCGTTCTAATCTAACAGTTATTTTTCAATGAAATCGAAAAATTTTTTTTCATAAAAATTCCTAAACCTTAAAAATCTTCATATCCATTTATTTTTCTAGGTGTCCAGATTGTCGCTTTATCACTCGTCCGAACTGCTAAATTTGCAGCTAATCAACCATTTACTTTTGTCATCAGGGACAGTTCCACGACGTTGTTTATCGGAAAAGTTGCTAAATTTTAAGAACTGCAATTATAGCATGAGTCATGACTCATGTCCCACTCATTATCCTTCATTTTTCTGAATAATTTTTTGTAACAATAATCAAAATTAACTGAGTGAATAAATTTAGTTTGATCTCGAAGCATATGCATAGCATCATCGATTAAAGATATTAATACTTTTTCAAAAACTAATTTTGGGAATTAATCAACCATCTACTTATTATGCTAAAGACTTAAACGGTTGCATTAAAACAATTCATTTTAACTGAGACCAGATTTTCAAATTTTAAATCTTAAAATTATACAAAATTTTTTATCTATTTTGTTGCAACATAGGTGTAATCATTCATGGTCGGTCAGGTAGACCAAGAGCACTTGCTGTTAATTTCAAAGCAAAACAACCATTCGTATTTTGCATAGTGCAAAATAAAGCAAACTTATTCCTTGGACGAGTTAAAAGATTTTAAGTGATCGAAAAGACTTTTTTGTTGTTTGTCTTACAAATCTTGAACAAATTTATAATTTTTCTCCCAAAATTACCTCACTAATATTTTTTAAAAAATATATTATATGCCGATTTCTGAAAAGAATTTGTAACAGTCAATGATAAATTTTATTTAACTTGGATCTTAAAAAAATGTTGTTGTCTGCACGAAAATTCGAACTTTTTATGTAATTCAATCTTTTAATTGTCATGTTTCCACAAGTTTAAAATAATGATTGCAAGTCTATTAATTTAAATTAATGTTGATAAAATAATGGTTTGATTCATTTTCTCTATTTAGGTATTTTATTGAATAAGCAGCTTGCATTAATATCTGACAATCGTTTTTTTGGAAACCATCCATTTCAATTTGTAATTTTGAAAAGATCATTTGTTTTATTTCTGGGAAGATTCAACCATTATTAAGATAAACAGCTCGCTAACAGTTAATCAAAATATTTAGCTAAGTTTGATGTTGATTTTTGTTTTAAAATGCTGTAATTGCTTGTTATTGGTACAAATCTAATCGATTTTAACCTTTGCTGAGTTATTGAAAATGATTTGATTTTATACTTGTCTGCCAACTTTATTCATTTAATGAACATTTACTTTATTGTTCAACTTTATACCAATAGATGTTGTCTTTGCTAAATGGTGCAGAAAAGAAAAGTTTCGTCAATATTCAGCAAATCATCCGTTTTTATTTGCATTAAATTCTGATCAACTTTCATTATTCTTTGGAAGAGTCAATATGTTCTAATTTCACAATTAGATGCAACAATTCTTCTTTGAACACTTTAACTATCACAAAATTATGTAACTAAAACAATCTTCAAACAATTTTGCATATTTGGCACAAACATTCATCAATAAAAATTGGAAAGATTACGCTCAAAATTTCACATCTCATTGTAAATTAAAAAAACTTTCTTACAGTGAATAATTAATAATTTCAATTTAATTTCCAAAATATTATTCAGCTGTCATCATGGGTCTGTCAATGGCTGCAATTCCGAAACAAATAAAGTTCATCGCCAATCGTCCATTTATATTTGCTCTGAAAAACAAAACTTTCACACTGTTTATGGGAAGAATTAAGAAGTTTAAAGATTAATTCCCTGAAGTTTAATGCTACATTGGCTATTTTTATGTGAATTCTTCGATAATTTGACAGCACTACAAAAATCAAAATAAACGAACATTAAAAAATTTCAAATCTTTCAACTATTTTTTTATGCTTTCTCGAAATCAATTTCTAAAACTTTCAAAAAGTCTCAATCTAGAATTCTTAATTTTCAAAAAAAAAAAACTTCCAACAATTCAAACAAATCCAATTACGTCCGATTAAAGATTGATCAATTCAGAAGTTTCGAGAAAGTATAATATTATTTGAGTTTTAATTGCTAATGATATCTTTATTGTCTCAATTTACTTCCTATACATTCTATTAAAAATCATAAATGCATCCTTAACTTCCTAATGTCCTTAGCTACAAAATATGAAACTTAATTTAATTATTTTTTTCAATTTTACAACTGAAATAGGCATCATAACTATCCTTCGAAGTGCAAAAGGCAATGCAATTCAATTCCAAGCAAATCATCCGTTTATATTAATGTTGAAACAAGGGCCAACTTCTTTGTTCATTGGAAGAATCATTAGATTCTAATTTTATCATTAAATGCAGTTCATTTTGTTGAGTTTTTTACACTTCACTAGTTACGAGTCTATGTAAAACAAGTATGACTAAAATATTGCACAATTCATAGATTTGAAGCACAAAAGTTCATTTGAAAATTGGCAAGATGTAATCGAAATTCTGCACCTCATTTTCATAATTTTTTGATAAAGAAATATTTTACTAAAATAAAGTTTCTTTTTTATTTCTAAAATGTCCTATAGGCGTTGTAATCATGGTCAAATCAGCAGGTGTAAATGAATACGATTTTGTGGCTAACCGTCCTTTCATATTTTGTTTAAAATCTAAAACTTCGAATCTATTCTTAGGAAGAATTCGTAAATTTTAAGATGAATGTTTCATAATTTTAAATCTTGTGCTGTAGCTTATGTAAATGGTTATTTAATAAAAGTTTAAATTCACATTTGAATCTCATTGAACTTCTAAAGATGTAATTAACTAGAAACAAATTTATGTAAAGCTTATCCATTCAAATTTCAAACATCAATAATCTGGGATTTATAAGTCACTAAGTAATCTCCAAAGTATTAAATGTATGCATTTTCAATAAAGCTTTTTCATATCGTACCAAGATTGGATTTTTAATTGATAATTCTTTGATCAACACTTTTTAGATTTACTATATCTTCGTCGAATGATTGAGATCGATCTTGTATTCTTCAGTGTTGATCATCCATTTATGTTCCTAATTAAAACTTATGATCTGGTTTACTTCATGGGAAGAGTGAATTATTGAATGTTTTAGAAATGTTTAATTTTAAGTTAATTTCATTATTTTTGATACTGAGATAACCAAGATGATGTTATCAAATGCTTGGGGAAACATGAAATGAAAATCTTTGTATTATTAAGTTATTTTTCTGTAGACTAATAAACAACTTCTTTCTTAATTAAATACCTCTTTAATGTTTTCAGAAACTCAACTTAAGTGAGTTATGAATATTCTTAAATTAACAATAATAAAGTTTAATTTTATATACTAAATGACTTTCTTTATTTTCCTGTTTTTATTAAAAGAGCTGAAAATGATTTTTTTAACTTTCAGAATTCTTGATTTAATTTGTGCGAGATTTTTTCTGCAAATTAATATTAGAAGAAATATCCACAAATTCCTGCTTTTAAGTATTAAAATTTTAATTTTTTTTCACCAGGAGTTTTTATCGAGTTCCACATCCTTGAGGACATCAAGTTTGTAGCAAAATACCCGTTCTTCTTTGCACTCCTCGACTCACAATCAACTTACTTCATGGGACGTGTAACTAGTTTTGGAAGTCAACATTCAAACCAACGATTATATGTAGGAAATTTGGATAGATCTTCGTTCACTAATGCTCAGGAAACACAGTACAATGTTTAGATGTAAATTTACAAATAAATTAATTAAATAGTTAAATTTTTGTAATTTATAATTAATTAACTAAGTTGAATAATAAGCCATAAAGACATTTTTAAACAAACTTTATAAAGTTCCATATATTTTACAAATTATACAAATTTCATTAATTCCATTACTAATTACATCTCTGAAGTCACATATCCCATATCTTTCAGTATCAACTCACTTTCAGCAGCTTTTTTCTGGCAATTCATCATTACTGAGCCATTTTAATTAGCCTTTCTGCAACTGTTTCCTTAATATACAATTTTATCATTCATCAGAATGAGAAGCAGAAATAGGCGTGAAAATGTTTACTCAAATGACTAGAAAGTTATCAACGTGAGTTCAGTAACGTCTTATCAATTGACAATTTTAAAACAGACATCCTTCGTCATTACACGTTTTAGATACAACTATTTGTCTCATGATGATATTCAAATTTTTTTTCAATTAAAATATGAAGCCAATTTGTATTGGTATGATCAATATAAGGAACTTCAAAATTTGTTACCGGCACATTCAATTTTCAACTGTTTTCGAGTTTATCTCAAGTGAATAATACAAAAATTTAAAAATGTGGAATTGCTTTATAATTGTTCTCAGTGTAAGTTAAACTTCCTGTAATTTTGGCTTATTGAAAATTGGTTAAATTGGAATCAGAGTTGGATGATTTGAATCTGAGTGACTTTTTGATTTGATTCAAAGAAGCTTAACTTAACTTATTTCTGTTTATCAACTCTGATTTAATCCAAGTGTAGCTTCATATTCAATAAAATTCTCTTCCATAATCAGTTGTTCTGCATCACTGCTCATTCTCAAACTGAAGACAAATCTGTTATCATCATTGGATCTGGTTTAAGTGGATATGCAGCAGCCAGAAGATTAATTGAAAATGGCTTTACTGACATTAAAATATTGGAAGCTCTTGATCGTACTGGCGGTAGAATTTATTCAGTTCCATTTAGTGACGGATTTGTTGACTTAGGAGCTCAATGGTGCCATGGACAAACCGGAAATATCATTTATGAAATGACATCTCCTCATTTCGCATTTGGGTCGACACCATTTGAAACTGTTGATCCATACTTTAGATTTTCTGATGGAAGCTTGCCTGAACAAGACATTTATGTTAAACTTTATGGTGAAGGATATAAAATTATTCATTCAATTGACAGAGTTACAACACCAAATGTACCATTCGGAGATCTGTTTATGCAAAAATTTAATGCTGTTCTTGCTACAACGACTTACCAAAATATTAATCCAGAAGTTGTAAAGTATGTAAAAGCTGAATTAGTTAAGAACGTTATGGGATTCTTTGGTGCCAACTCATGGAACGATATATCTCCAAAAGTCAACAATGAGGAAGAAAAGGCTGGTGGAGATCAGCATTGCACATGGAAAAAGCAAGGATTCCAAACTTTCATCAATTATCTTACAGTAAGCTACTTAAGTGCCATTTTAGCTTCATTTAATTTTCACTCCACATAATCCACAGAAAAAATCACCAAATCCATCCGAAAATTTGAACATTGACGCTAAAGTCATTCTCAACAAGAAAGTAACCAACATCCAATACAATAAAGATGATGCAGCTGGCCAAGTCACAGTCAATTGTGCTGATGGAACTTCATACACTGCAACCCATGTCATCGTCACTCCAAGTCTTGGATACTTGAAAGCACATTACAAGACTCTTTTCACCCCAGCACTGAGTGGACCAAAGGCTGTCGAAATTGAAAGTAGAGGAGTTGGAAATTTGGGGAAATTCTTCATGAAATTTGCTACACCTTTCTGGGTTTTGGATAATGAACCTTTTTTGGGAATTGAAGGAATGTGGTTAGATGCAGATAAGCAAGCAGCTATTGCAGACGGAAGAGAATGGTTATTAGGAATCGTTGCAGTTTACGGTGTTGAATCGTTTCCTGACTTGCTTGAAGTCTTCCTCGCTGGAGATTATGTTGGAACATTTGAAAATACAGACACTGAGAAGGTCATTGCTGATATCACATGGTGGCTTGAGAAATTTGCTCCATACATGAAACCAGTTCCCAGACCATTAGCTGTTGCTAGAACTAAATGGATGACTCATGAATTCTTCTTGGGATCTTATTCCTACCCATCAATGGCTGAAGAACAGAACAATGTCAGAACATCTGATCTTGCTGCTCCAATCATCAATATTGATGAAAAACCAATTTTGCTGTTCGCTGGAGAAGCAACGGATTCAAAATTTCCAAGTATGGCACATGGTGCTGTCAACAGTGGCTTCAGAGCTGCAACTGAAATCATTGAATATTATCAAGCTTAAAAATTTAAAATTTTGTAGTTTCGCAAACTTAATTTAAATTAATATTCAAATCTCTTTCAGTGATTAAAATATTAAAAATGTGTGGAACATTAACTTTACAATGAACTTCTTACTGTAAATCAGTCGTTAAAATTTATTAGTGATTATATTGATTTCTGCTTAATTTGCGATTCCATTGATCTGTATCACAATAAAAACTTAATGTTCGCAATAAAAAAATGTATCATTAATTAATGAGCTTTTCAGTTAAAGCTTCCATGTAATCAATTATTCATTTTACCTTGAACATAATCAATCGAATATGAATATTTTATCAGTTGGAATCTAAAAACACATTTCCTGGTTGCTCACTCAACCTTGATAACAACATAATTTACATTTTAAATACTTTAAGGGAACCATATTTTGTAAACAATCGTATGCTCAATGCTACAAGCGCTACAAACTATAAATAATATTTTAATAACTCGTCAGCAGCTCTATAGCCACTATTAACAGCACCATGAGCATTTGACGAATACAATTCATCTGTATGTTCTCCAGCAAATAAAATCTCAGGTTTCTTTTTTAAGTTGAATAAAGTTTCTTGTAAATCTTTTGTGGATATATTAAATTTCCAAGCATTAACTGAATTAAATGAATAAGATCCCATATAATTTGGATTAGTCAGCCATTTTGTTCTAGTCATTGAATTTGGACGTGGAAGTTGCTTCTGTAGGAACTTTTCAAGCAGCCACATTGTGTCGTCAATGATTTGTTCATCTGGAATTGTTTCAAATTCTTTCATGTGTCGACCAGCAAGAAGGGCTTCAAGAACGTTTGGGAAGGCATCGACTTTAGCGAATGCTTGAACATCCAACAACCTGTTAGAATAATATATTATAATCTTGACTTCAAACTGTATTCAAATACTTACCATTCCCTTTTTGTTCCTTTTAGTTCCTTCATATCTTCTTTTGTCCAAAGAAATCCATAAGCTACCCAATTTTTCTCATTTATCGGCCAGAAAGATTGATCAAATTCAAGAAAAACCTTCCCAATGACTCCATATCCCATATTTTCGATAGCTCTTCTTAATGTAATTGGAAGTTGCGGCGAGAATAAAGTTCGATGTTGATCCTTTAACACACCTAAAGAGCCTGTGAATATTATATGATCTGCAAAGTATTTGTATCCATCAGCAGTTGTCACAATTGGAAGTTTGTTTTCATAATTTTTGGTCCATTGAATGTTGACGACTTTTTTGTTAAGCATTATTTTATCAAGAACTTCTTGATTGTCTTGCTGAGAAGAGATATTAGATTTTAATTTAGAGTAACAAGATGGAAAGTCACAGATTTATTAAAACTTCTTATAAGGCATTAATGAAATCCGTTAAATCTTTACAAAACTTACAATCAAAAAGTCGATAAACTTCTTAAATCCATCACGTTTCCATGTTAAATGCTGAATCCCTGCATTATGACCAGAAATACAATGCAATGGTGCTGACAAATCTTTCCATGTCATCGAACCATTCCAAATATTCATTTCCTTTTCATAAAAGTCAATCATTTCATTTGTTAATGAATAATCAGCTTTTGCTCTTAAAGCTTCTTTTTTAAAGGCTGACTTGAAGAATTCATCAACACTTCCTTGAAATTTGGACATTTCATCATAAGATGAAAATAAAATTTTAAATGCTGAATCTCCTAATTTTTGGCACATTTCTTGATCAAGTGTAGCTCCATCAGATTGCATAAATGTCGGATAATAATTGTCAAATCCAGTTTCACCAAAGTCATACTTCCCATCAACCATTTCGTAAACTGAATTGTTCTTTTCTCCATGCACCCACTGTCCACCCAAATCCACAAATCCATCACTAAATTTTACACTATGAATCCTTCCACCAATTCTATTTTCAGCTTCTAAAATCAGAATGTCATCATATCCATTCTCAATTAACCTCACTGCTGCTGATAATCCACTTAGTCCAGCACCAACAATTATTATTTTTGGATTCTTTTTTAAGCTTTTTGCATTTATGACGGTAATTAATGCAACAATCACTAAAATTGAAATTTTCCTTGACATCGCGATTTTTTGAACAGTTCGACTTTATTTGTGAACAAGAACTGAGGCTGCTACACAGTCTTTTTGGCTTTTTATACACAGCGAATAGCTTTTGTTGCATAATTCAGAACCCTTGCGAGACTAGCTAGCAAATTGCTAGTCTTTCTGTTTTACTACTTGCAATTTACAAATTATTATTAAAACAACTTACTGTTAATAAATTACACTTGCTACTTACTAGCAAATTACTAGGAAATTACCATGTAAAATGTTTGATCAAATCTGCTTAAGTTCGAATCTTACGAAAAATCGCCAAAAAAAATCGTCGTGTATATGACTCTCAATTAATTATTTATCTTCCTCAGGTTTGCGTGCGAGTCATGGGCGTTAATCAATGTTCGACTTAATTAAATTAAGTCTTTCACTTTTTTCATAGTGTTAGTGTACTTTAATTAAGTACACACTAATACTTTTACAATAATTTACACAAATAAGAAAAATCAAAAGAACACGTGGAAATCAACGGTTATATTCATTTAATTTTTTCAAAAATTTGCTAGTAAATTACTAGATAAATTGTAAGCGAATTGACTAGTCAATTAGCAAGTGAAAATTCGGGTCTTTGGCGAAGATTTGAACTTGGATTTTGACTAGTAAATAGCAAGTAGCAAATAGAAGGTTATCCAGTAAATTACTAAGAAATTGCTAGTAAATTTCTGCTAGGGGAAGCATATCATGCGGGGAACTATGAATATTGATGTCATTTTATTGTGTTACTTGACACATCTTCATTCAAGTTCTTGAACCATCATCACGAAAATAAAGGCAAACTGCTATCTTGCCGGGGATTTGAATTAGAAGATTGAGTATCTGTCTTAAATTATTTTTCACCAAACTTGAATGCTGTTGATTTATTTTTAGCTCGAATTTCTGGCGAAAAAGATAACAAGCTTATAAAATACTTAATTTTGGAGGCTGACCATTTACTTTTTATATGGAGGAAGATCGTTGAGGCATTGTCTGTACAAAAACATGTAAACTAGATAAGAAATGGAATTAGAGTTTCGAGCAAACCTCATAATTTCGTCATCTAATGTGCAAAAGGAAATGAAGCATGATAGAATATTAAGCTTCTATATAAAAACTGTGGATATCCTGCAATACATTCAACTCAACCAAAATATCAATTTCAATCAAAAAACTCAACTGGTTTTACATAAAACGAATTCTTTGGATTTGTTCATTTTCTTCGATTGCTATTGTTAGCCTAGATCAGTGTCTGATAGTTTTAATAAAGTCGAAACAAGACATGCTGTTGAGAATATATTAACGGTCATTTTATATTCAAATTATGTATGCAACTATAATTAGTTTATTTCCCCTTGAACAGTTGTAAACCCCTTTAATGCCTGTATTTAATCTGTTTCTAATTATCGAACAATAAACATCTTGTTATTAATTACAAATCTGTGAGGAGTCTTTAATTAACTTTATTAATGAAAGAACATTCTGATTACCAAACCAACACATGCATATGATTAGAAAATATTTTAAGCTGCATTTTTCTGCTACTCCTTAATGTTAAAATCAGAGTTTGAAAATAAAATGAAAATTGCTCTATTTTGAAAATAAATCAAAATGAAAATTATGAAAATTGCCAATTTTGATCAAAGCAATTTTGCAATTTTGTCAATTTCAGAAAATTGCAATTTTGGAAATTGTTTATTTTCCAAAATTGCAATTTTGGAAATTATCAATTTTTATTTTTGTGACGTCATAAATATTTGATGAATAATTTTGTATGAAAATTTTCTTCTTTTTAAATGAATTTTTTCTTCAGAAAAACAAAAGATACAGTTTATTTCCTGGATGTTGATATTCGTTTTTAACTTAATACTTGCTAATTCCTGCGTGTTTGATGCGTTGTTCCTTTAAGTTTATTTTAAATTAAAGGTACTCATAATCATAATCATAATTATAACTTAACTCCTGCGTGTTTGATGCGTTGTTCCTTTAAGTTTATTTTAAATTAAAGGTACTCATAATCATAATCATAATTATGATTATGAGCATTATGAGTACCTTTAATTTAAAATAAACTTAAAGGAACAACGCATCAAACACGCAGGAATTAGCAAGTATTAAGTTAAAAACGAATATCAACATCCAGGAAATAAACTGTATCTTTTGTTTTTCTGAAGAAAAAATTCATTTAAAAAGAAGAAAATTTTCATACAAAATTATTCATCAAATATTTATGACGTCACAAAAATAAAAATTGATAATTTCCAAAATTGCAATTTTGGAAAATAAACAATTTCCAAAATTGCAATTTTCTGAAATTGACAAAATTGCAAAATTGCTTTGATCAAAATTGGCAATTTTCATAATTTTCATTTTGATTTATTTTCAAAATAGAGCAATTTTCATTTTATTTTCAAACTCTGGTTAAAATTATTATTTCTTGCATTAGTCTAGCTCACACAGCTTAAGTCTCCACACGTGATCCTAATTTTATTCATAAAACTTAACAATTTCATCTGCAGCTCTGAATCCACTCCTAACAGCACCATGAGCCATACTTGGATACTTTTCATCAGTAGCTTCGCCAGCAAAAAGCAAAATTGGAGACTCGTCTGCATTCAAAATTGATTCTGCGATATCTTTTGGTCCAATATTTGCTTTTTCTGCATCCATTGAGCCATATGAATAAGCACCCAAAAAATTGTCATTTGTAAGCCACTTAGTTCTTGTCATTGCTTTTGGTTTTGGAAGTGATTTGCTTAAAGATTTCTCTAGCAACCACATGCAGTCTTCTGTAATTTTACTGTCGCTAAATGTTTCAAATTCATTCAAATTACTCCCGCCTAGAAACACTTCAAGTAGATTCGGGAACTGATCCACGACATAAATTCCTGTAATATTGATCATCCATTCACGATTTGTTGACTTTGCTTCCTTTTTATCTTGTTCCAACCACAAAAATTCATAAGCTAAGAATGGTTTTCCTTGTTCTAACCAAAATGGATGTTCAAACTCTAAGAAAACCTTTCCAACAGTTCCAAATCCATAATTTTTTATTGCCAAAATTTTCTGTTGAGGCAAAGCAGGTGAGAAGAGACTTTCGTGATATTTTTTCAGAACACCAAGACTAGGAGTAAAAATGACATGCTTTGCTGAATATGATGATCCATCAGAGCAAGTTACAGCAACATTGCTAGTTTCATCTTTGGTATTGTACTTGATGTTTGTTACTTTTTTGTTCAATTGAACTTTGCTTTCTATGTTTAGGTATTGTGCGGGGTTCGGTGCCTTTTTCTAAGGGAAGAAAGAAACAAAGAGGTAGAGGTCATTATCTTCTTGCTTTCAAATTTCCTGTTATTCCTTAATGTCAGTTTTCAAACAAACTTACCGTTAAAAAGTTAAAGAACGTCTTAAATCCCTGCTTCTTCCATGTCAAGTACTGATTGCCTGAAGCTTTGCCCTCCTCAGAATTCTTCTTAGCAGACAGATCGTACCATGAATTTGATGCCGTATAGCCATTGTAGTTCCTTTCAATATTTTCTTTCATTAACTCAATGACGCTGGGTTCAATGTTCTTAAGCTTTGAGCTTTTAAGCGCTTTGTCAAACTTTTTGTTAAATGTTTCTCCTATCGATCCTTGTGGATCTTCCAAATCATCAATGTCATCAATTATTTTATAAGCTACATCAACAATTTTCCTTATATCCTTTTGATCAGTTTTAGTTCCATTTGTTAACACAAAAGTTGAATACATTTCCTCAAAAGGTGTCGTACCAAAGTCAAAATTATTCCTTGTCATTTCGTAAATTAAGTTATTTTTTTGTCCATGAACCCATTGAGCACCTAAATCAATGATTCCATCACTAAAGCGTACTGAGTTAATTCGCCCACCAATTCTGTTTTCAGCTTCTAGGATGACTATATTATTAATATCATTGTCCATTAGTCTACGTGCAGCTGCAAATCCACTTAAGCCAGAGCCGATAATGATGATTGGATTGTCCATATCTGATGCTGTTGATAGTTGAAGGAACTGTGAATGTGAAATGAAGCTTAAATGAAGTAAACAATCCCAAACTTCATAAATGCTTTAAGCTTTAACTTTGGACAGATAAAACCAACACATCGATATATTGAATGGTATAATTGACATAAGCACTTAAAATCAATAGTTTAACCTTGACAAGCTTATCTAATTATTTTAGAACTATATCAACATTTTTACGGAATTTTTGGAAGTTCCCAAAATTCTATGACTTAAATACAAATAATTAATTACAGTAAGGATGAATGCTAAGCGACACCACATTATGAATCTTGTAGCTTCTCACCAAACTACGATAAACTTTAAAATGAGTCAATAACAACTGAATAACTTCCTTATATCGAGTTATACCCATACACCTGCTATTATTATTTTGGTAATGACATTGATCATTATCTGCCACACACATAGACAGTGATTATTATTATTAAGCCTAACGCAAAAAATTTGTTTTGATTTGGTCTGCAAAAAGAGTTAATTTTAATAGCTTTTAACTTTTATTGACTTATCTACCGGCTTTTTATAATCACGTGCTTAGAAGAGGAACCGGCTGTAAGGTCAAGAAACTAGTTTCAATCCATCACATGTGATTAACGGTCAGAATTCAAATTTTAAGGGGTACGAATATCATGTAAACAGTCGCATGTGACATGCATGAACCAAACAAATTACAAAAGTCCTCTAGTTATTGATAGAGGAACTTCAGCGCATTTTTGACGCAGCGATCAGTATTTGATTAGCAAGTTAAGGCGAATTAAATAGCAGAATATACTGCGATAAATCGATAGTAACGGAGCTAATAAAAAGGAGCTGGTTAAAGTTTTTCTCCGGACGAACGAACAAAGTGTATTATTAAGCTACATTTTCAAAACAAGTTTCATAAATTCGCTAAAAAGTCATGAGTCAGTTAACAAAGCAGCAAATTAAGCGATATAATCGGCAAATTATAGTTCCGAGTATCGGAGTTAAAGGACAAGTGAAACTATTAGATGCTAAGGTAGTGATTGTTGGTGCTGGTGGCTTAGGTAAGGAGATTAATGCTTAAAAATGAGAAACAACTTATAATGAACTTTTTATTAAGGATGTCCGGTTTCAAGCAATTTGACTGGAACTGGAGTAGGTAAGTTTCCACAATCCAACCTTAATTACTATATTTAATAAATCCGTCCTCAAATAACAAAAGGAACAATCGGAATTGTTGATTATGACGAAGTTGAGGAATCAAATCTTCACAGGCAGCTATTGCATTATGAAAGTGATGTACTAAAGAATTCTAAGGTAGATTCTGCAATAAATAAGCTCCAGCAAATGAACTCATCCATCAAATTCATTCGTCATAATATTCTCATTAATTCATCAAATGCTTTTGACATCCTTAGAGACTATGACATAGTTGTGGACTGTACAGACAATGTTGCAACTCGTTACTTACTCAATGATGCTTGTGTATTACTTAAAAAACCTCTTGTATCAGGTTCAGCTCTTCAATTGGAAGGACAACTGACAGTTTATAACTATCAAGATGGTCCATGTTACCGCTGTATTTTCTCAAAACCTCCTCCACCTGAAACTGTTCAAAATTGTGGCGATAGTGGTGTAATTGGTGCTGTAACAGGTGTTATTGGATCTTTGCAAGCAATGGAGGTTGTTAAAATTATTATGAATCATGAGAATGTCATGTCTGGAAAGTTGTTGCTGTATGATGCAGCTATGTGTAGTTTTAGGAACATTAAATTGAGATCCAGACGAAAAGATTGTGAAGTTTGTGGTGATAATCCAACGATAACGAAATTGATTAATTATGAGCAGTTCTGTGGCATGTGTGCGATGGATAAGAATCCAAATCTAAAGATTTTATCTGAAAATGAAAGGATGTCAGTATCTGATTATCAAAATATCACAAATGATCACCTGTTGATTGACGTTAGAGCTGTAAATGAGTTTGAGATGTGTCAAATAAAGAATTCTATAAATGTTCCTATAAAGCAACTACTTGCTGGAAAGTTAAATGATGAATTATTGAATGAAATGAGACAAAAGGATGTTTATGTTGTGTGTAGGCGTGGGAATGATTCACAACTAGCTGTAAAGTGCCTTTCTGACAAGTATAGCATCAAATCAAAAGATCTAATTGGTGGATTATACAAATGGAATGAGGAAATTGATAATAATTTCCCTCTTTATTGAGTAATTAATGTAATTTACATAAATATTAAAGTTTAATCAAAATCAGTCATTAAATCATTGCAAAGCTCATTGATCAAGTTGATGTTTCGAAGAAGTCGTTCCTTCATTGCTGTAAAAGATATTTTTGTAATAAATAAGTTTAATTAAGTCGATTAAACCTTACAAAGCAGCTGATTTATTTCACTTGACATTTTATTTTGCCATTGAATTTTTTCTTCCAGCAATTCAAGAATATCTTCGTCAAAGTCCTCATCTGAATCCATTGATTCCGTCTCCGTAGAATATGAATCTGACAAATCTTCTTCACTTTGGAGCTGATTAATCTCTTCCTGACTCATTTTTCTTAATTTTATTATTTTTTGGCGAGGTTTTGTTTCTTTTTTGTAAACTTTGTTTCAAAATTTAACGGTGCATTTCAATTTAAAACGTTGAGTACTAAAGACTTTTAGAACAAAAATCTAGAAGAATATTAAATTTAAAAACAAATCCCCGCAGTAAAAAATGAATAATTACAATAACTTTAATATAGCTGTTTCACAAGCATTGCCAGTCCAAAAAACAAACTACCACAGACTACAAGAGAAGAATTCAGCATTTGGATCTATCAAATTTATCCTGGAATGCTGTCAGAAACTAGAATGTAAGTAAATTCATATCCAAATATTTTTGTAAAACAAAAATGAATTATTTTATAGTAAAGCCATCAACATTCGCGCATGCAGCATCTATATTTCATCGAGTTTATGACAATCTAGGTCGTGTAGATTATGATAAATTTGCAATAGCAACAGCATCAATATTTCTAGCAACGAAAGTTAATGAAGATCCAATAAGGCTGAAAGACCTGATTAATGTCTCGCAAGTGACTCTCAATCGACAGGATGCAATGAATGAGATGACAAATAATTCATGGATTCTGTCAATTCGTGATACAATCGTTCAATGTGAGATGTTCATTATGCGAGTCCTGAATTTCTCGCCATTCACACAACTTCCACATCCATTTCTACTGAATTATATTAATACACTTGAGAATTGGCTCCCTAAAGAATGGCTGTCTATAACACCTCTATCAAAATGTGCTATGTCATTACTACAAGATTTCTATTACAGCACAAAAATCATCAAATATAGCGCAGAACAAGTAGCTACAGCAATTCTAGTCTTAACGTTTCAAATCTACGGTATTAAAATTCCCTTAATTGATGACTTTGACAATTGGTATAAGCTCTTCAGTCCAGACATGAAGGTTGAGCTGGTGTGGGAAATAATTGAAGAAGTTTTAAAAGTATTTGAAATCGAAGAGAATTTAAAAGATTTTTTGTAATGCTCAATAAATTATATGTCATATGTGAATGTTCTGTGTATTAGTCAAGCGTATTTGATAAAATAATTATAGTGTGTCTTCATACGATGATTCTACGTTTGTGAGAATAACAACAATTTTACGCAGTTTTTTAAGAGAATATGCTTGGATTTTTATTGGCTCAATGTCCCTAAAGAGTTTTCAGCAATATTTGGAATAGTTGTGGATCAGTAAGATCAAAAAACTTAAATTTTGCAAAAATCCAACAGATCTTTTGAATTTAAAATTTAACGGTTTTCTTGAGATTTGAAAAATCTAAAGTTCAAAATTTAGTACAAAAAACTGTTTTTTGAACTTTAAAAATTTGAATTTCTGAAAGCTGTTAAACTTTTCAAATCAAATTACATTTTTCCTACAAATGCGCTCTTTTGATCACTACACCAACATGTCCAATCGATCAATCTTTATCTTTGTCTCAATTTTATCTTCACGGAAAACTCAAATGTGAGCATAAAATAGCGAGATTGAGAATATTCTCACTTTAGTTTCTTTCGAATTGTGAAATAGCCATGAAGTTCCTTAACATTTTTGCTGTTTTTCTGATTTTTTGTGTGATCGACACACATTCTTTGAAGATTTTGGGGGTCTTTCCAACGGGTAGCAAGTCACATTTTGCCATTGGCAAAGCTATTGTAGATGCCTTACATGATGTTGGACATGACATAACTGTAATGTCATCATTCCCACAGAAAAAGACGAAAGAGAGGTACCGAGATGTTGAATTTTTGGAAATAAGGGAGAAATATGAAAAAGGTTGTTTGATACTTTTGGATATCTATTGAGGATGAGATTTAAATATTTCTTTACTAATAGAAATGAATGTCAGTGCCTTTGATTTTGGGAAAATGCCCGTGTTTATGATGGTCTCTATGATGTCTACATTTGGTATGGGTGTTATCGATGACACGCTCAATTACGAAAGTGTCCAAAAGTTTTTAAAAAGGAAGGAAAAGTTTGATGTTTGCATTGTTGAAATATTCTATATGGAAGCATATATGGTGAGTGTATAGATATGTCTGACACGGGTTTCAATATTCTCATCAATACGAATCAAACCTAATATTACAATATATTCATAGGCTATGGCTGAACACCACGACTGCATCCTAATAGGCTATACAACATTCAATGCTGTTGGTGCGATCGATGAAATAACTGGAAAGTGAGTTACTTGCAACTTTTTATCATTATTTTGAAATTCATCTATTCCCTTTCCTTATCGTCCACAGTATATCACCAACATCTTATGTTCCAATGCCTTTTTTGGATTACATTGATAAAATGACGTTTATCGAAAGATTGTGGAATACTGTGTATACAGCATATGAAAAAATACTATTCCACGTGCTTGAAGTTCCCATTCAGTATCGTATCTATAAAAGACACTTCCCAGATGCCAAAAAATCTTTTTATGAGATGATTAAAAGTCCAGCAATTATCTTTCAAAATAGTCATGTCAGCACATCATCACCACGTCCATATCTCCCAAATGTCATTGAAGTTTGTGGAATTCATGTTAAGGCAGCTAAAGCTTTACCAAATGACTTGCAGGAATTTTTGGACTCAGCTGATGAAGGCGCTATTATATTCTCAATGGGGTCATTCATTCAAAGCAAAGATTTTCCAATTGAGAAAAGAACTGCGTTCCTTAATGTCTTTGGAAGACTAAAGCAGAAAGTTTTGTGGAAATTTGAGGAAGACATGCCAAATAAACCAGATAATATTAAAATCAGCTCTTGGTTGCCACAAAGAGATGCTTTAGCTCATAAGAATGTCAAAGTGTTCATCACTCACGGTGGTTTGTTAGGAACAACTGAAGCTATGTATGAAGGAGTTCCACTTTTAGGGATTCCAATCTTTGGAGATCAAAAAATGAACATGAACAATGCAGTAGCTAAAGGATATGGACAAGTCGTTAATTTCGATGACATAACTGAGGAGAGAATTGAATCAGCCTTGACGAAATTACTTAATGATCAAAAGTACTTTAATACTGCTAAATCATTGTCTAAAATATTCAACGATCGACCTATGACCCCTCAAGAGTCTGTCGTTTACTGGACAGAATATGCATATAGACATAAAGGTGCTGAACATTTAAAGAGTGCAGGCAGTGACTTGTACTACTTCCAGGTGATTTCGCTGGACGTTTATTTCGTGTTATTTCTTATTTTTATTGTCAATGCAATGATTGACTTTTATGTTGCTCGATATTTGTACAGAAGATGCTTCCGTAAAGCTTCAGGGAAGCAGAAGTTAAATTAATTATATTTAGTAAAAACTGTAGATACATTTATAAATAAAGATTATATAATGGAAATAATTATTTGGAAATTAGCTTATATCTTAGCTGGATATGGCCAGCAGTTGATGTGATCTAGATGCTTAAAAATTCATTTTTCATGATCCAGTAAGTTTCCGTTACCTGCTTATTTGAATTATAAAAGTTGAGTACTAAGAATTCAAATGAAAACCGTTAAAGAATCTAGCACCAATTCCATTTATTTATGTAGATTTTCAATCATGTTTCTGAAACTAGACACCGATGTAGTAAGCTTAGGATACTCAGAATCCTAAAATTAAAGACATGACATCAAGCAGTGCCCTTAAAACCATAAGATATTTTAACGACGTTTAATAATTCAAATTCATTGCTAAATTTTTTTTCCACATCAACAAAATTTTTCAAAAAATTTCATCGACAAAATTAATTAATTTAAAATTGTATTATTCGTGTGTATTTTAGTGTAATAAGTCTCTTACTGTCTTATTAATCGTAAGGTAAAGAATTGAGTCCTGTATTTACTTTATTTAATACATTAAAAACATCGTGACAAAGAATTTCGAACGAAAAAAAAAAGTGAAAGTATTGAAAGAAATTAAAATTGCACAATTACCTTTCTGATACAGATAGATATAGGTCAATTGAATGTATAATTGAATAGCTGATATGACATCGCAACATTTTGACGACGGATGGGATAACTGGGGAGAAGATTGGGGATCAAATCCGAATGAAAGTAATATTAACAACAACAACAACTCACTTCAAAATTCCCAACAACTTTCGCAAGTATAATAACTAGCTCTTTATTCATTATACATGATTCGCTCATAAATATTCCGTTCTCTTTTAGCCCAATCAACAATATATGCAACAACAGCCACCTCAATTAACATCGAATGCTCCATTATACTCTCAATATCTATATCAGCCACAACCAACTAATGTAAGTCATGCACAGACCATGCAAACTTCTCAACAACAAAATCCATTTGCAAAAGCTCCGAATCCATCGCGTGCACAGCAACAGCAACAATATCCTGGAAATCCTGTAAATTTCTTTAATCCAGCTCAATTTAGTGATTCAAATGCGAATAATAATAATAATTTGAGTCAATATCCCACGAGTCAACCGTCGACATTTAGTTTTGTGCAGTCACCGATTCCATCGTCAACTGTAACAACATCATTAAACTCATCTAATCCTCAAACTGTCCAATTTGAGTCGGTCAATAAGTTTCAATATCAAGAAAGGCATGATAATGTACCTCAGAATCAATATTCAGTACAGCCACAACAAGCTAATGTGACTTATTCGAATGATCAGACTTCTGCAACTCCAACAATGCAAACTTCGCAGCCAATGATCTACAATAATGTTAATCAAGCTAGAAACATGCCACAGCTAGAACAATCGAGTTATCAATATTCTCAATGGAATGATCAGCGTACACAAAGTAATGAATCGGCTAGTTGGCAGCCAATACCAACTTATAATGCGAATCAACATCAAATTACACCGATTTTGAATCAGCCACAAATGCCTGTAAATTCTAATCAGTCTCAAATACCACCAAATCCATCAGATCAGCAAAATTTGCAGGCACCACAAGTTAGACAGCAAATAAATGTATCGGCTAGTAATCAGTCGATTCCATCGTCTTCTGGCTTTTTCCCAAGTCATTTTGATGCACCTGTTAAAGATGAAAAACCGATAATTCAAGAGCCACAAGTTCCTGAAATGTCAGTTCCTCAAATTCCAACATCCAATCAATTTTATCAGCCTAATGTTGAGAATATTCAAGTTTCGTCTATTGAATCAGCTCCAATCCCTAATTTACCACCACCTCCTACATCAATTCCACAAATGCCGCCTTTACTCCCAACATCTATGGTTATACAGCAGCCTAAAAATCCAATTAATGAAATTCCTTATCCTGAAAATCGTGAAAGACTTGATGATCAAGTTACAATAACCCAAAATCATCCTGTTCCAATTTCTCAATATGATCTTTTTCCGACTTCTCAAAATAATCCAGCTATGCCAATAACGACTTCATCAATCGATAGACATAATTATTTAGTCACAGGACAATTGGCACAAGAAGTTCCAGCATTTAGTCAGCATTCAGTAATGCATGAGAGTTCTAATGAGAATTTACCACCACCAGGATTGTCTAGAATGGTTGTTGGCGAGCCAGAGAATAATCAGGCACAAGGACAGTTAATTCAGAATGATTTATTGCCACCAAGATCTAATAGAATGGTTACTGGAACTGAAATGACTCCAACAAGCTTTATGAACTATCAAAGACAAGCTGATGGAGAAGTTTCACACGAACCAAGCATGCAGCGTCAATTGCCACCATTTAATGTTAGTCAGCAACAAGTTCCACAACAACAAGAAAGAATAGTTGAGGATCAACAAAATTACAATATTAGTGACAGAAATCTTTATTTAGTTGCTGGTGAAAGTGATGCAAATAGTCAACGTGTAATTACAGGCGTAGAAAGTGACTTTAATGCACCATCATTAATTAATCCACTCCAAAATTTGCATATTGAGGATGATGAAGATTTCGTTAATATATCTGTAACAAATATGTCACGTAATGTTGATGGCGATGGAATGGAAGAATTACATTTACAGAATCAAGCACAGCATGCATTGGATAGTTCACAGCAGCGTGAAGAGGAAATTGAAGGTGCTAATGACAATAATAATGAATCTAATGTAAATCTACAGCCAGTCATTGAAATTCCATCGATTCCAGCAAGTATAAATTTGAGTGAACAAAATTCAGACATCCGTGAAGATATTGAAGGTGCTAATGAGCTTAGTGATCCACCAAAGCCACCACCTGCTGTTTTTGAAGAGAAAAGAAAGTCTATTGATAGTTCAATGAGAACAAATCAGAAAATAAATACAACAATGTCATCTGAAGACAGTGAATTGAGGGAATTAGAAAAGAATATGAAGCAGAAATCAAGGCGCAGCAACAAGAAATATGATAGTGATAATGACTCAGAAAGTGCTAGTTTAGATGAATATAAAAAGGATAAATCTAGAGATAGATATGATGATCGTTATAGCAAAAAGAATCGTGATCGAGTTCGTGAGGAACTAGAAAAGTATAAGAAACGTGAAAAGGAAAGGAGGTCTGGTGGTAGAAGGAGAAATGATGATACAGATGGTTCAAGATATGGCGATTCTTCTAGAAGACGTACTGATGATGAGGATGAAGATAGAAGGAGAACTAGAAATAGAAAAGAAAAGAAAGTTGATGATGAGGTTGATGACGATGATAAGGAAAAAGAGAGAAAGGATCGAAGACAACGAGATAATCGTGATCCTAGAAAAAGTAAGATTGGAGATTTTTTAACGGTTTTCTGATATTTGAAATTTTGAACTTGATTTTAGTACTAATTTAGCGTTTTTGGGGGACTTGAATTTTAGCGGTTTTTTGAAATTTGAAATTTTGAACTTGTTTTAGTACTAATTTGACGGTTTTTTGCTTATTGAATTTTAACTGCTAATCTGAATTTGAAATTTTGAACTTGGTTGAATTAATAATTTTTTTTCAAATTTTGAACTTATTCAACTTATTATTAACGGACGTTTTGAGCTCTTTTCCTTTAAAAATCATTTGAAATTAATAGTGACGACCTAAATTCCAAATCACTAGCTACAGCAACATCTTTTACAAATCTTTCTTACTCTTATTGTGAAATTTCCCCACAATAATTATACATTATACTTTTAGAAGACTACGACTATGACGATAGAAGAACAAGTCGAAGGAGACGTGAGAAATATTACGATGAAGATGGAGCATATCCATCGGGTAGACGTAGTCATAATGCATCAGATCGTGAATATGAAAGAGATTATCGACCAGGAAGAAGCTCAAGAGGTCCCTATGAGATGCAAGGCTATTATCAACAACAAGCGTATCCATACGATCAAAATTATTATTATCAACAGCAACAGCAGCAATATTCAGATAAATTGCAAGCATGGCTTGAACAAATTCGTCTAACGAATCCACAAGCTTATGAATGGTATAAAAATTATTATAGTGGAATGCTTCAAAAGCCACAAATGCCACTACAGCCAACAATGGACGATCTTGGTGGTTCCTTGAGATCTGGTTACAATTCAGGCAGCGAGAGGTATTTATGGATGATTTTAATTAGTTTTTGCCTTTAATTGCACGAGATATGGCTGAAGTTTTTATTTTAACACAAAATTATCTATGATTTGTGCATTTTGCTCACGTTTTTTTCTGCTTTTGTTTTTTTTTTTATTGTTTTTTCATAATTTTACGTGTGAACTTTTCATTTTAAAAACCTGTATGTTCGCAACTCACGATTAATAGAGCAAGCACAAGCCGATTTATGAGTGGAGGCATTGTCACAAATCCATTAGGAAGTCTAAATTCGTCATTTATTGATAATACGAATGAATATCAATCATTACAACAATCATATCAAACGATTGGAAAGGATTACAATCAGGCATATTCATCATTAAACAATTTTAACAAATATGATATGTATGGTGACTTAAGGTGTGCAAAAATTAGTATTAATACACGAGCAGCGCATTTTTGTGCGAGTTTTGAGATTGAAATGATTTTGTGTAAATTTTAACTGAATTTTTGGAATTTTAAAATTTGTAGCGTATTTTTGAAATTCAAGTTTTCAGTACAAAATTTGTACCAGATTTTTTGGAATTCAAAATTTGAACCTCGATTTTGAATCTAAAATTTCCGTTACTTTTGATTATCTTTTGACAACACAGCAAAAGTGCGCTCAACATAAAAATTTTTATTATTTCCTCATGAGCTAATTTAATTATATTTTGCATGACAATTCTTCATAAAATTCACTTTAAAATCTAATGAAAATTCTAATAAAAAACAATCCTTTAGAGCTAAACAACCGGAAGTAGCTGCTGCTCGCATGACACCCCAGAAATTCCAATGTCTTCATGGCTTTGTCAGATTATCAAATGGACTTATGATAACAATCGACACATTAAATGCTGATGATAAATATTTAGTTAAAGTTGATAATGTCCCAATTTATGATAAGACACGCCGACTGTATCAATCCTATCCAGGACCGTTAATTAGAGGCGTATCACATAAAAAGACAGTCATTGAATTTTGTGAAGAGAAATTAAAACAAAGTTCACATTTAGAATCAATTCAACGTGCTTCCTTTACATTATTATGGAGCTATTTAATATTGATGATTCGACAAAATGGATCGTATACAGAACATGATATTGCTGAGCTGTTAATGAAGAGCTCGGAAGAATATAAAGCATATGATTTAGATGATAATAAAAGTAGTGCAAATATCAATAATGAAGTAGACGACGAGAATGCAACAGATGTGAGTGAAAGTGAAGAAAATGACGCGAGTGAACATCATTCAAATTCAGCAAGTCATCAGCCAACATCACAGTCAATTTCAGCAAGTTTAATGACTGAACATGTTGTTCTCGATAAATTTAAAAGTTATTTATTATATGGAAATATCCACGATGCACTTGATTATGCGACAGACAATAATCTTTGGGGACACGCATTGTTCTTAGCATCAAAAGTCGATAGACGGCAGCATGCAAATGTTATGTTAAAGTTTGCTAATAAATTATCATATAATGATCCACTCCAGACGCTTTATCAAATCATGAGTGGACGAATGCCTGCGTGTGTGACTAATTTCGATGAGAAATGGGGTGATTGGAGACCACACTTGGCTATGATTATATCCAATTGTACAGATAAACCAGATTTAGTTAAACGATCAATTTTGGCTTTAGGAGATACTTTGGCTAGTCGCGGTGACATTTTTGGATCACAATTTTGTTATTTGTTAATTGATCCACAATTCACTGATTATAGCGATACAGGATTAGTTAATGGAAAGATTGGATTACTTGGTACTAGTTTCCAGATGCAGTTTAAGGAATTTGCTACAGATGAGTCGATTATTATGACGGAAGTTTATGAATTTGCGAGAAGCTTAAATACTGAAAATTATTTTATTGCGTCATTGCAAAAATACAAGTTCTTGCTGGCTTCAAATATGCTTGATTATGGCTTAAAATTAAAGTCTTTGCTGTATATGGAACAGATATCAAAATGTATCATCCAACAGTCACAATTATTTGAAAATTCCTTCATCTCGAAAGTTTATTCACTTGCTGATCGCTTAAAATTCTATGATCCAGTTATGGAGAAGCTTTATGAGGATATTGATAATGTAGAAGGAACTGAGGATCAACAATGGTTACAGGAACTAGCAAATGTCCTTCAAAATGAAACTGGATCTAATTTCACTCAACAATATGTTCCTGCTGATGTACAAACTGAAGCTCCTTATAATCCACTGGATTATCAACAGCAACAACTTGTCCAGCAACCTATATCTACGCCTATTTATGATCCAGTAAGTCAGCATCAAACTCCGACTCATATTCCGACGATTCCATCGCAAACTTATGAGGAACTGGACTCAAATCAGAGTCAAATTGTTTATGAGCAGCAAAATCAAGTGCCTGTAACGACTTATGACCAGAATGTAGGATATAGCAACCAATATAAATTTCAGGATCAACAGCAACAGCCGATTCAAAATTATCCAAATTATAATCAAAATGTAGGAATGCAGAATGATGGACAGATTAATGAGCAGATTCAGAATACACAGCAAGGATATCAACAGTCAACTTATGACCCAAATGCTCAATTGGGCTACCAGCAACCTTATGATCCAAATGCTCAATTAGGATATCAGCAACAGAACGATAATGGATATGGATGGGATCAGGTAAAATATTAAAGTTCAAATTTTGATTGTTGATTTTCAAATATTTTATGACCGTTTTTTCAAATATTTTTAAACCGTTATTTTTAAAATCCATAGGCAAAGCCCACAATAACAATGGGAACAGCTCAATCTCATAAATTCGATGATCCACAGTCTCAAGACAAGTCAGATTCAAATGCAAATAAAAAGGATGATAAAAAGAGTCCAGCAAAGAAGCCTGAGCCCGAAAAAGCTAAGAAACAGGCTCAATCAGGATGGTTCTCAAGTCTGTTTGGATTAAAGAAGGGTCCAAATCAGATGATCCTTCCAGATGATAAAAATCCAGCTGTAAGTGCTGTTTTATATGGAATGAGTTTATTTTTTAATTGAGTATTGATTTATTTCTAGATTGTGTGGGATGAAAATACTAAAAAGTGGGTCAATAAGGATGGAGAAGAGGCAGAAACTGAAAGCTTTAAACCACCTCCAAAAATGGGAGATATGGGAATGCCACAGCCTCCTCTAATACAACAGATTCCTCAAACTATGCCACAGCAACAACAACAACAACAACAGATTCCCCAACAGCAATATGCTCCTCAAATGCAACAGCCTGTTATGACACAACAGCCTGCAATGACTCAACAGCCTATGATGAATCAGGCTCCAGTTCAAAATCACGTTGCTCAAATGCCTCAACAGCAACAACAACCACAGCAAGTTAATCAAAATGCTGTAGATCCAGCTGGTCCATCAGTTCCGTCAGCTCCAAACATGTTTAAAATGCAAAAAGGCAGAAGTAAGGGTTTGTTGAATTTTTAACGTATTTTATTATTTTGAATTAATAACGTCTTTTTAAAATTTAAATTTTTTTTGTTCAATTTTTGAATTTATTTTTACAGTTTAATTTTTGAATTTCATTTAACCGTTATAATTTGAATGATTTTGTTTTTCATTTTAGATTTAAAGAAATCTTACGTTGACATATTGGGAAATGCAGGAAAGACTGTATCTCAACCGAAAGAGCTTGCTCCACAAATGGAGATGCAATTCTTCAATCCCGCAGCTCAGCCACAGGTAAATTACTAGCTATGAGTTTACATTTAATGATGTGTAATCTTATGCCTATTTCCAGGGAATGCAATTTTATAATCCAAATGATTTTCAATAAGATGCTGCAACGAGCTAAGATAAATTCACATTAGATATTCATTTTAATGAAAATTATCGACGAATATTGCCCTGAAAAATAATAATAATTTATACAGGATATGAAGACAAGATGAAGATTATTATTATTATTCTGTATGTAATTTCAACTTCAACTTCTTTTAATAGAAATTAAGATAATCATCTTCTTTTACATAAGAGAACGAGTATAAAAAAAAATACTTGGAATGAGATGACTGATGCTGGTGCATAATTTTTTGCTTAATGTTATTTTTTTTTGTTTGATTCGGCACACAGCACTAAGTGCTTATCGGGAAATATTAAAATTCGAGAAAAATTAAACGATATTTTATACATAAATACGATTTAGATCAATTCGATCGAGGATATATATAAAGAAAATTGTGTTTTTTGTCGGTAAATTTGGGGGACTTTGTGAATGACGTGTATGAGGATTTTCTGATTGTTTGCTCTTTTGCCACCAAGTTAAAGGTTAAATCATTTCTCAAGGAGTCGATTAGGACATTAAAAATCAAATTTCATCTTAGACGTCGTTGACGAACTCCCCCTCGAAAGTAAAAAGTTCTTATTTGTAGTCTAGCTAGGTAGTTTAATGCAATTGTATCATGAATATATGCAAAAAATATTATAAATTGGGGGCTGTTCATAAATGACTTCTAACATTTAAAATACCTTTTTTTGATAGACGTCATTTATGAATAGCTCCTTACTATTATTTAAAAACCTACTATAATCAAATTTATGTTTCAAACATTATTTTATTACACATGGTGATTGATTTATCATTTAAATGCTATAATTTTATGAGTTTAACAAACTCTGTTTTTGTGCTTTCGTCGAGGGTGTGTTAAAAGTTGGTTCTGAATTTGGTGACTTTTGTGATTTTTGTCTTTGAAAATTGAAGTTGAATAAGAACTAGTTTGGGTCTGACCCTATAAAAACCTTAGACACACCTCTGACCTTTAACGATGCATTCAGAATGAAAATTTAAGAAATTTTCTGTTACTTTATAAAAAAAAAAATCTATTGTAGATGGAATATTTTCGCTATTTTTTTGCAATTTTTCTTTCAATTTCCTCCTTTAGCTTTCGTTAAGTATTAACAAATTTATAAGTTAGATCGTCAAGGTTATTCAAATTATGATGGAAATGATTATGGATCATGTTAGTTATTATTATTAAAAAATTCCTTTTGTTTTGTTAAATCCATGTTTGAACACAGTGAATAATGGAAAAAATAAATTAAAATAGATTACAGTGAAAGAAAATATTGGATAATTGCTTAATTTGTCTTATTTTCAGGTTGATTGAGATAACGGTTAAAATAAATTTGAAAAATTCTGCGACAAAAGAAGCTAAAAATGACACAAAAAGATGTAGAAAATTTTGCATCAAAATTGTGTTCAGAAAAAAGATCCAAAAGGTTTTGCATCAAAATTATGTTCAGAAAAAAGATGCAGAGTTTCGCATCAAAAGTGTGTTCTGAAAAAAAAATGCAAAAATTTTCGCTTCAATATGTATTAACAGAATAGATGCAAAACGGTTTTACATTAAAAGTGCGTTCAGAAAAAAGACGCAAAAGACTTTTGCTTCAATGATGAAAAATGCCAAAATGTTAATAAAGTTGATGCAAATTTTATTTACAGACGCAGACCAATTCGAACACTTCGCTTCTTGAGTTTCAAAAAAATGAAAATCAAATGATGCAAATATTTTTAAACCTGAAAAATCCGTTAAAAATTCAAAAACATCTTTTTGCTTTATTTGTTTTTTATTCATTATAAAATTTTTGACTTAGGGGCCATTCACTTATTACGTAACGCTTTTAGGGGGAGGGGGGGTCTAAGATTTTGTTACGGTTCAAACAAGGAAATTTTTTTTTCATACAAATTTTGTTACGAGGGGGGGGGTCTAAGAAGTAATTTTTTCGCGTTACGTAATAAGTGAACAGCCCCTTACAGGTTTTTTTTTTCATTTTTTTATCATATTAAATCTACATAACTTAAATAATCTCTATAATGTGTCACTCATTTGAAGGAAAAAGGTAGTTTAAAATTATAATTTTTGTTTTTTATTTATTAAGAATATTTTAAAGGAAAGGATTTGAATTTAGGACTGAATTAAGATTATTTTTAACTAGAAAATAGGGTTAGGGGGCCACGAGACACTTAAGGCGCTCTAATGACATAGATTGAGCAATTTTCAAGCAAATTTACGCCAAAAATGAGATTTGTAATTGAGTGTATTGAATTAGGGGTCATCCATCAAGAATGGAATTTTTAAAACCTCTCCACCTTTGACACAGCTCTAGAGTCTCTTATTCTCTTTAAATCATTCATAAACGACTCCTAAGTCAGTTCCAAAAGGTGTCATAGACCCCACCCCATCCGATATAAGACATGTGCTCACATATATTCCAATTTGGAGGTTCTTTTCAACAAACTTAAGAATAAATTTTATTCATAATTCTCGTCTATCTCAAAATTGAATTTAATAGTCTTAGAAAATGTTTGCTAAAATTAAGAAATATTGACTTATTAATCCACAAAAATCAATTCCATAATTGTGAAATCAATAAATTTGTTTTTAGTATAAAAACATTGCTTTTGTTGACTGTCCATAAAATAACTTAAACTTATTAATCTTGATTTATATTTACAACCAAATTGAAAGGAAAATTTAGAGTAAATGAGGAAATTTCTCCTTCGTGTCATCATCATCTGATTCCTCATCACTGGAACTAGGAGGTGTCTCGAGTTGAGGAAGTCCTAAGTCTAAGTATTCTTCATTTGCCGTTATGCTTAATATTTTGTCCAAATCCTCGACAATTTCGCAGAATGTTGGACGTTCTACTGGATTCCAGTGCTGCAAACGGAATTAAAATTGGTTTGATTATTTTTTGAGGTTAGGGTTGGTAGATTGGGATGAAGGGGTGAATGTAGGAATTTTTTGAGAGGGTGTGCTGATAAAACTTTCAAATAATAAACCCTAGGGGGTCGTTCACTTATGACGTCCATCAAAAAACCTGATTTTTAGACCCCCCTCCCCCCCTCTGTCACAAAAATTCTATAGAAAAAAAATTTCCATTGTTTGAACTGTCACAAAATCCTAGACCCCCCTCCTCCTAAATGTCGGGCGTCATAAGTGAACGGCCCCTAGACCTAATTTTGAACCTTTTGTCTTGGATTTTGAATGAATTTGATCTCCAACTTCTGTTTTGAGCCCCCCCCCCCCCCTCCCCTTCAAACTTACTTAATAACTTTGGCCGCCCAACTCCTATAAATTTTTCAAAAATGAAAAAAAAACATTACAGACCGCCCTCCCTCCCCCTAGAAACACCCCTGCTACCAATGGTTAATTAAAGCTTACCCAGCATTCACGCATCAGCATATATCTAAGGGACAAAAAATAATAATAATTAAATTAATGGCACATGGCAGCTATTAAACAGCACTCAATACTCACATGTCAATCGAACATAATGCAGGCTTCTCCATTCGATCGCCTTTCTTCAAAATCTCAAATAAATTCTTAACACTCGGCACACTTGGATATGGAGTGCCACCTAATGTCATTATTTCCCATAATAAAATACCATACGACCATCTATAGACCCAAAAATTATAAAATAATTAATAAAAATTTATTCAATAATTATGCAATTAAAATGCTTACACGTCGCTTTGTGTGTCATAAACTTTATCAAACAATGACTCGGGGCTGGAAAGAATAATAATAAATTAATGATGATCATGTGAAGTTGGTGATTTAATGCCTACCTCATCCATTTGACAGGTAATCGGCCATCAGTAGTCTTCCTGTAATAATCTTGCGAGTGAATATCGCGTGCTAATCCGAAATCTGTGAGGGAAGATAGATGATAATGTGAATAGCTGCATAAATGACTATAATTTGCAATAAAAAGTCATTATGGAATGGGGTTCGTTCACTTATTACGTAACGCACTAGGGGGGAGGGGGGGTCTAAGATTTTGTTACGCTTTGTTACAGGGGGGGAGAGTGAACGAGCCCATGGAATTATGATGATTTATGTGATTTTGTTGATTAACGGTTTTTGAGATTTCAATAGTCAAGACACAATTTAATTTTAAAGTCAACTTCAAGTGATAGAAATTTTAAATTTCAAATTACGGTTATAATTTTTTCAAGAACTTAAACTTAGAAATTTTAGTTTTTCAACAGTTTATAAGGTTTACGTGCACTTAAGCCCTCAATTCTTTTTGAGACATCATTCATGAACGACATGTTTTTCATTTTCTTGAAGAACCTGATATCTCGACGCTTAAAATTCGCATAAATCCATAAATTCTTGCTTAATAAAATCAGCAATCCATAATTCATCTTATAATCACGTTTCAAACTACACAAATCATCATAATTTGCAGTCATAACGACTCTACCGCATAATAAACACAAGTAACAATCACCATACCTGCAATTTTCATCACAAAGTCATCAGTAACGAGAACATTTCTATACAAGATCAAACAAAAGAAAAATTAGACTTAAAACTTTCACATATTTCCAATTCTTTACCTAGCAGCTAGATCTCTATGAATGCATTTCCGACTTGCTAAATATTCCATGCCACGTGCAATTTGAAATGCAAATGAAACTAAATCTTTTTGCGTTAATGCCTGTTTCTCTTTCTCATGTGGCGTGTCTGTGTAAGCATTTGGTCGATGTTTACGGAGGAAATCTCTCAAATTTCCGTGCGGGGCATATTCAACAATGACATAAAGTGGTCCATCTTGCGAACAACATCCGAGTAAATTAATTATATTGACATGTGTTCCGATCATTTTCATCACTTCCATTTCGCAAACGAGATCTTTGACATCCTCGTCTGTATGTCCTTCTTTTAACATCTTGACAGCTACAACTGTGATTTGTCCCGCCTTCATAAGGCCATGTGCTTCTGCCATAACGACTTTACCGAATGCACCCTCGCCCAAATTCTTTGACAACTCGAGTTGACCACGTGGAAATTCCCAATTAAGATCGATCGGAAATTCATATTCTGATATCATGTTTGGATCATTTGAATTGCCTGCCATTGCTGTTCGATGCTTCTCGATACGTACGATTGGCATTTGCTATGGGATGAAAGATGATTTATTAATTAATTGATACTTCTTAGAATTATTGTGGATTAATTAATTTTATGGATCAAGTCTTATATTTTTAGAATTATGCTATATTTAAGTATTAAATTAGCAGCTGCAACTTTCGTTAACGATCATATCACGTTGAAAACACCGGTTCTCGTCAGATCCCCGAAGTTAAGCAACGTCGAGCATAGTTAGTACTTAGATGGGTGACCGCTTGGGAACACGCTATGTGTTGTTGACTTTTTTGCTACTTTTTTATGATTTTTTATTTTTTTGTATGATTTGGGGGTTCTTTCATAAATAATGTCGATTAAAAATAGTTTTTAAGACCCACTTTTTCACAAAGCTCAAGTTTATTTCACTCATTTATTGAAACAATCTAGTCCTTTGCTAGGACTATTGTTTGGATCTAGTACTAGATTTTAATAGATTTTTTGTTCTAAATCTAGTACTTATAATCTTTAAACAACGAGAATGTACTAGATTTTCAATAAAGCATGTCAAAAATCAACCTAGAGCTATCTAAGTACTAGATTTATCAACTGTTAAATAACACAATCTTACCAATGTTTCTGAAATTCCTGGAGTTCCATTATCAATGCATGGCTGCACAACAATAACCTTCTTAGTCCATTGATTGACTCTTTCCATTTGCCTCTGCAGCTTCTTAGTCTTTGTGTACTTCTTCCATACAAATATGATGATAATCAAGGCAAGCAGGAAGAAGAACATCAAGCATATCACTAAAATTCCATACAACTCATTCTGTTTGTGCGGGACAATAGATACGCCAGGATCAGGCGACGGAAGTGTCTCAACAACTGAAAGATAAGCACTTGCGTGTGTGCTGCCTAAACTATTTGCAGCTATGCATGTGTACCAGCCTTCATCAGCGAATGTTACATTTTCTAGTCGAAGTGTTTCTGACTGTTCATCGTCATGCTGGATGTGAAAAGTAAATTATGAGTATTTTGGTCGAGTTTGATAATTTTTGAGGAAGTAAGTATGTTAATAGAATTATTTTAGGGGGAGATTAATAGAAAATTAGCTTATATGTAAGTTATCAGAGTAGCTACACACTAAATAGGAGTGAATTAAGGAGGTCCTTATCATAGCTTGACTAGGAACCTCCTTAAACCTACTAATGATGTTCAAGTCCATCAAAAAGTGACTCCTTACCCTAAATACACCCCAGCAAACTACAATAATAAGTTACTCTATATAAAAATTGTCGTAAGTCACATGCACATGCAATTTGAGTAAGTTATTCGTGTTAGTCCTCCTTTATATATTCACAGTTTTGTCCATCACCTTCACAGAAAATTTAGTTCCATTGCAATTTAGTTCCTGATCAACAAAAAAACAAGTTCCTTTAATCCAATTTATTGATCGATGTAAATCTGAATGAATCTCAACCACAAATGTTACATTTTCACCGATCACCGCAGTTTCATTTTTGAGGACAGTCTTAAAGATTGGAGCATGATTGACTCGTTCTGAAATTGTAAGATTTAATGGGGTTTTGGAAGAGATTGATTAAAAGTTCACAAAATCCAACACCAAGAAGATTTGGTTTAAATTATAGAATAAGAATAAATAAATAAAATCATAGAATTTAAAACAGAAAAACTCATCACCAATAATTAATAACCTGGGAATAGCCTGTAAAATTTAACGGATAAAAAATATTTGAAAATTTCTAAAACCTTACAACAGTAGCAAAATTTTACAAACATTTGTATGGTTCTAAAACTTTAATCCAACTTACAACCAATTTATTTTTGCCAGGGTTGCGATACAAGCACCTTAGCACAGGTGAGAACCGTTCATTTCCTTGATAATTTGCGAGGTTTTATTAGAATTTGTATGGTTTTGCTAGAAAAACCTTATAAATGATCAAGAAATTGTAAGGTTCTCACTTGTGCAGAGGTGCCTGTATCGAAACCCTGATTTTTGCATCTATTGAAATTTTTTGCATCTATTGAAATTTTTTGCCTCTTTTAAGCAGTTTTTGCATCTTTTTGACAATCTTTAATCACTAGTTTAATGCGTTTAAAAGTTTCAAATTTTGAATTATTTTATAGCTTTCTTTAACAAAATCTTTTTCTGTCCGTTAAACAAACTTAACAATAACTGTATTAAAATATGAACTTATACCTGCGATCCTCTTTACTTCTATTGTCAAATTTTTCCTATGTTTTAAATAATCCTTGATAAAATTTTTATATTTCGAAATCCCAAGTCCCAAAAAGCAAAACCTATCTTTTTTGTAGTACTTTGCAGTCCTAGTGATGCAATCTAGTAAAAAAATAAATGACTTAGTGCTATATGTGCATCTAGTGCTTCTTTTAGTGCCATTTGAATTAGTGGAACTGTGAATTTAATTATTTTGCAGCTTAATATTGTTGATTAATTAAAATTCTGTTAATTTTTGACATTTTGTAAGCTTGATGACCCTAGCTAGACGTTTAGAGAACCTTTCTAGGCTACTGAATTCTCAAACCTTTATAAATATCCAAAATCCTTATAACTTAGCTCAACTTAGTCTGAGAACTAGTTTCTATCAAGTTCATTGAAATTTCACGAATTATATCTCAAAATAGCTTGAAAAGTCTTCAATACAGCTTGAAAACCTCTAAACAAACACATTAAACTCCTATCACTGTCCTAAATATCCCAGAAAGTAAACATAAATAAAGCAAAATTCAAAAATCTATAAATCATCATTAACACCACCATTATCAAAACTCAATTATCTAAATACAGAAAGAAAAGAAAAAACCAAAGAGTAAAGCAACGAAATGAAATCGGAAGTAATTTATCCATCACCAGAAACATTTTTAAAAAATTTATTATCACCTCAAATTTAGAAATGTTTTTTGGAATTGTTGCATTAGTCGTGGAATCTGTTTTAAATTTCGCCCACTCAACATGTACACCGAGATCGGATATTAATGGACATTCAAACATGACGGTAGAGTTTTCCAGGACGGTTTGATTTCGCGGGAATCCTTCGACAATTATCGGTGCAGATGGGTAGCGATCTGAGTAGTTTGTTTAATTAATTAGAGCTTGTTTGAATGATGTGTAACTTATTGGGTGTGGATTGGAGTTGGTGTGAATTAGATCAGACTGTAAACAGACTGAAAAGCCTCCAAACCCTGACTAAGAGTATTAAAACTCAAAACTTACAACCCTACTAGCTATCAACTAGCTTAGGAGCAAACCCAACGTTACATAACATCCGAACAACCCCAAACTTATGATTTATATTCTCTCTTATAATTAATCTTTTTGATCTTCTTACCGCTAACTTCCACTTTTGATGTGAAATTTATACAATCATGCTTATTGCAGACGATGCACGTATAATTTCCACTGTCGGCTGGAATTAAATCTTCAAGAGTGATTGCCATCTTGTTGTATTGTACGTGACCTAATTTCCTCTCAATTGGAACTCCATTTTTAATCCATTCCCATTTTGGCTCGGGATTACCTTTTGCTGGACATCTGAGCTTTATCATGTTACCTGACGGCCTTAAAACTATATTGAGCAATGCATTCTTGTCTTTAAAGTATGGAGCATATTCAGTTTGATTGTCTTCATGCTCAACATTACTTCTCTTCGCTAAATTTGAATTTGTTGTAGAACTAAGCAATGTCGTCAGTAACTTATCGGAATCAATTTGTTCATCATCAACATCATTGTCAGGTGAATCATTAATCACATGTGTAGCATCTAAGTCACTATGAAATTTTCCTGGAAGAGATTGAAAGTAAAAAGAGGGAAATTGTTATTAATCAACACCAGAAATGCTAAGTTACATTGCATTTACAATGTGTGGAAAGAAAAATGTCTTTCAAAGTTGGAAGAATCACATGCACACAGGAAGTTTTGATGTTTTAAAACAGGAAACATCAACCGTACGTTCGTTGAATACTATAAAGTGTATTGAGACTTTTAATGTAATGAAATTTATCGAGTTTATATGTGACAACCTCTAATTTGATTGAGTTTATGGATAATGGAACGAGACTTTATTGGAATTGGGACTAATTGGATGTTAAAAATTGTGGAATTTGCTGAATAATTAGGTAAAATTTGAGTTTTGAATTTATTGTTTACAATAGTTTTTTGCATCTCTTTTGCATCATTTTCGCTTCACTTTTTGCATCTTTTATCATTTTTTTATTTGCATCCCTTTGTTTGTATCTACTTCGCATCATTTTTGCTTCACCTTTTGCATCTTTTTCGCGTCACTTTTTGCATCTTTTACTTCAAAATTCAAATTTAGAATAACCGTTGGACTATAAACCTGACGTAATCCATAAACTGACCTTTCCTTCTACATATTTTCGTCCGAACTAATTTACAATTCTAATTATAACAAATCGTTCCGAATTGGAACTTAATCTATTCTATCCAATTAACATATCAAAATATTTTCTACAACCGCTGCAGACCTGCAAAACAGATACTAAGTGTCTCCCCTTTCTTTTCATCTTCCCCTGTCTCGTCTGCTGCAACATTTTAATTGTCTATAAATTTCCATTTCTATTTAAAGATGTACATGAATTTGGAATGCAGATTTATGTATGCACTAAAGACACATAAACATCACATGAATGATCCCACACGATCTATTGGCCATATATATGTCATTACAAATTATATTTGGAAAATTTTATTGCTTCTTCTAATCGTCTGGCGTGTGTTTAAAATGTCTTTCTTTAATTCTAATTGAGTTCATAAATCTTGATGACTTTTTTTTGGGGAAATAGAGAAGAAATTAGAATGTTGTTGGAAATGTTGTTCTATTGGGAATCGGGAAATAAATCACTGTGGTTTTATCTTAATTATGGGAATCTAATTTACTGCTGATTATGACCTTTTTGACTTGATTTTGATTTTACCGGTTGAAAATTATTTGAATTTTTAAAAAAATTCTAGTCTTTTTTTTGAAATTTTAGAATCCGTTACATTTTGAATTTTTAAAATTTGTTAGATTTTGAATATTTAAAAGTCGTTAAAATTTTTAATCCATTTAAGTTTTGAATTTTGAAAGTTCGTCAATACTTCCTTCAATCCATCAATCGATATAGCATGTTTGGACAATATCCAAATATGTCGGCAAAATGTCACAAATCACTCAAAATAAAAATTCACAACAAACAAACAGCAAAAAAAAATTCCTTTTAATATTCAATTGAGCATGCGATCGTGAACCACTGCTCGCTCGTTTGATCACAAAACAAATTCAATGCGAAACTGCTGACTTAACGCAGTTCATAGTCAATTAAATTGTGTCCATATGTCGTTTGTATAAAATTTATTAAAATTCAATTACGCAAATAAGAAAGCATTCAGAATCAATTAAAAGTTATGTTGATGTATTAGAGTCAATAAGAGTTGGAATTGTTAGCAGATGATAGTTTGATTGAGAAAGTCATAAAATGGAATTTAGGAGATTTTTCGCTAGTTCTTTTTTTTGGGGATCGTAAATTTTAAAGTCAGCAATGTTGTTAATGTCTGTTTTGGAGCAATGTTAGGCTTGGTTCTTGAATTGAGAGTTTCTTTAGTGATTTTGCATTAAACATGAGTTGTAAGGCTTGATTAATTAGCCAAAAAGAACAAAGTATCTTAATTGGTCTAATTGAACTTCATACTCGTACTTATTGGTTCAAATCTCATTGAATTTGACTGCCAAATGTGAATTCTTCTTCTGTTTCTTGTACAGCAATTCCTACTGATCACGATCATCACAAACCGTTCCTATATAAATAAAAATCTCATCTCAATTTCCATATAAAATCCACAAAACCAAATTTAATTTGTCAAAAGTCTCAAAATAAAAATTGATGAACTCTCAAGCCTGTCGAAGAGTTTTCACACAAAATGAATCATTTCATAATAATTCTCAGATTTATTTTTAATATTATTGACTTGTGAAGGCTCAATAGAAAATAAAGCAAAGAAAATTTATTGTGCCAGTTGTCAAAATGTGTTCATACATCTCTGCTTTAAGTTCTGTTTGACTTATATTTATTTTATTTGCAAGAGAAACAAAAATATAGCGGCAATGATGATGATGATGATCGGGAGGAGGGAACAAGATGAGAAACAGAAGTAGCATAGAAATTAATTAAATTATGAAAAATATCAACAAAATCTCCAGCGGAAATTGTATTTTTCAGTGCATTAGCATTTCCCCTTTTTATGAGAAATCACAAGAAGACTTTTTTTTTGCATCTGGTGCAACTGCAGTTTACTTCTAATTTTTTTCACATGCCAGAGCCATAAAGATGTGACATTTATGTCTGATGTGTATCTTTCTTGAGTTAATTATATAAAAATAGTCGTAAAAGGAATATTAAGTTGGGGTAGGTGAGGTTAATAGGAATGACTAAGGAGCATTTTCCAGTAAAAACGAACTTGATGGCTTAAATTATTCGAAAAATAATCGTTCGTTGTAACTTAATCTATAACCATTGTCCCCTCCAAACTCATCCAGACCCCCTGAATCACTGACAACCCCTCTACACTGATTCGGTACCGTCAAAACTCATCCTTGAAGTGATGACACCAAGAAGTTCATTCTTAACTAGAAGGTTAGTTTAGCGACAGCCAGACAGACGAAGGGACTCAGCTTAAGTGGGATCAACCCTAGCTTTTCAGGTTAACTTACTAAAACGCAAAAACAAAGAAAACGTGTTTTTACATTTTCTGATTTCACCCCTAAACAGATAAATAGACATCCAGGCAGACATACAGACAAAACTTCAACAACATCATCACTTCATGTTAAAAACGAGTTTTTTTTATGTTTAGAAGGTAACAGAAGCATAAAAACCACCATAATAAACACTCAAGTGTATCAAATACACTCCAACTCATAATATCATGTTGCATGAACCCGCACTGATGCGACAATATCAGATGCTGGAACAGAAATTTTACGTAATGAGACTTTTTTTTCTCATTTAATCTCTAAAAATAGACACAGAGGAATTAAAAATGAACATTTTTTTTTGGTGGAAAGTGTAAGAAAGAAAAGGAAGAAGTGGCAATAGCAGGAGGATCGATCGCGTAACACCGACAGGAAAGAATGACAAGCGATGAAATTAAAATGAAACGTGATCGTAGTTATGATGTTGATCGAGTGGATGATATTTATCAAAAATGTACTTTTTGGTTGTTTTTAAGCTGCTTCCGTTGATTTTCTTAGGATTCCGTGGAAATGTTTAGATGGAAAGGATATGAATCAGATATCTTTTTTTGAGGAATTTTATAATAACATTCATGAGATTAACAGTTCAGCTGGTTAAATTTGAAACTTTATTAACAGAAAAAAAAAAACATTTTAAAATTTTCTAGTCATTTTTTTTAATTTCGTGATTTGGAATTTAAAAACCTGTTAAACATTTAAAAATTAAAAAACCGTTAGAAATTCAAACTTTAAATAACCTTAAAATTTGAAATTTGAAAAACTGTTCCAAATTTAAATTTAAATTAACCGTTAAATACAGCTTTCAGGTTTATTAAAATTTGTAATTTTTTAAAATCTACAACAATTTCCCGAATGAGAATATCTTCCATATTCGTCATAACTTACAATTTCCACAATTATTACTCATATGTTATTGATTGAACTCAAGAAATCTTTTTCTTTTGATGTGAGATTTATTTAAAGATAGCGACAAACTACTGAACAAAATCGTCTTTATATAATGTACTAGCTATGAACATTAGGGGTTGTTCATAAATTACGTTCATCAAAAAAAATGAAATTTCTAGACTCTTCTCCAATCTGGTTACAATAACTTTGCTTTCATAAAGAAGTGTCAGATATCACTAAAGCCTCCCTTCTTCTCTAATATAAAACATCATTTATGATCGACCCCATTATAAGCTACAAGGAAAAGATATCATTTACATATTGTGTTTATTATTACACAAGGCACAAACATTGTTTATATCTCAATTTCTCCATTTTCATGGTGGAAAAAACCTAAACAAAAAGCGATTAAATCATATAAAGCAGATGATGGTCTTCGGCTGATGCATTTGTGAAGTTTTTATGTTGAATGTTATTTTATTAACTGCGCTGTGTTTTGTTCGGGGTGATTAAAATTGTTATTAACTATAACTAGAATGATCTTATTCTTAAATGACGTTTAACACACCGAAGGATGAATGTGATGGGGCTGAAGTAGCCTTTTAGTACTGCAGTCCCTTTATTGCAGAGGTTTGGATCCTTAAAAATCTACTTTTAGAGTCTAACCTATAAAATCATATTACAGCTTCATTTGAGTTCAAAAACTTCTCAAAATCACTTCCACTTCCAGTTCTGAACTAATTACTCAAGTAAACATCCAAAAAATTAATCGTAAAATTTTCAGGTATGGAGGAGAATATTTCCAAGAATCAATTACTAATTTCCCAATAAAGTGTACTCTGGCTTGTGAATATAAACGATCTCCGACTTACGTTCATTCATAAACAAAGATGTCTTGCAGATTTACACCAAAAAGTGTGAAAAAGAAGAAATTTTTGAAATGCTTTTTAAACAATTTTTTTTTGAGTTTCTAGAAATAAATTTTGCAGTGTAATGGAACTGACGTAAATATAAAGGAACTTCAAAAATTTCTTCTTAACTCCTCACTTGACTCTTGATTCTTTCCAGATTCCCAAAAACACAAAATTATTCCTTAATTTAATCTACAAATTCTGTTTAACCTATTAAAAATCATCTTCAAGTGCAACAGACACTAAATCCTCCTTTTACGGGGTTCAAGATGAGAGAAAAGAAGACAAGAAAAAAAATAATAATGATCATCTGGTCGTCGCCGTTTGTCGCACTATGGAAGTGATCTTTGGCATATATTTAACATGTACATTCTCATAAATTTTCTTACCAACGACCCCGGAATGAGAGGAGAGCATCATGATGTGCATTATGAATATTCGACAGTAACGAGCATTCGAACATTTTTATTTTATTTTCTTTTGTATGTTTTTTGAATGCAGTGGAAAATTCAAGGTTTGGATACTAATGTGGGAATTTTAAAGTTCATCTGGTACTAGCTACTTTTTCAGATTCTCTATCTAAATAGCTCATCTACTAGCTTTCTTACTAGCTTTTCTACTAGTTACCTTACTAGCTTAGTACCTTTTTCTACTTAGTAACTACTATTCTAGCTACTTTAGCAGCTACTCTCCTAGCTATTCTATTAGCTACTCACCTAGCAATCCCTTAATAGTTACCATTTTTCTACCTTACTAGCTACTATCCTAGATGTTCTATTAGCTACTCTCGTAGTCTTACACTACTAGTCTCAACCTCATAACTAGCTACCCAAATATAGCCAAATATCTTTCAAAATAAGGACCATTCAGTATGGTTTTAAAAACTATAGATCAAGTTCTTATTTTAATAATTTTGCATTAGATACTTAAATCTTAAAACTGAAGAGTATCGCTCAACCCAATGCAAAATCAACTTAATTATGAAAAGCATTGATCGAAATTCTCTTAAATGCAGACAGGAGCCAAGCGAGTGTCCCATCCTTTTACAAATCAACAACTCGAGAGCATCCAAGAGAGAGACAGAGGCAACACAGCAAAGACAACAAAAAATTTTGGCCATGGTCATAAAAAAAAGGAAGAAGCATCAAGAAAGCAGGGCACATTGCTTTATTTTTTTTTTTAATATTTATTTGGAAAATGTATGCACACGTGTTGCACAGATGGAAATTTACAAATTTATGTAGGCATAGCATGTATGTGTACACAGGCAATAAGGATGACGATGCAGTGTGTGCGAAGAAAAATAATGATAATGTTGTTCTACATACAAAAAAATACAACACAATTCGAAATTTGAAATCATTTTTTTTTCAGGCAGGCTCAAAACATCTTCTTTGTCTTAGCTTAAAAATGAGCAGCACAAAAAAAATAATGAAATTTTTTTATAAGATGTGATGACTAATGTCTTACATTTTTTATGTTTTTTGCATAAGTGATTTTTTTTTTTATAAAATTATCTCTTGCTGAAAAATATACATGCTTACGGACGTTACTTCATGTGTCACATAATCGTGGGAGTTGTTGACTTACAATCGTTGACAAAACGCTTTTGTAGCAATTAAAGACAGTAGACAAGGACTTGAGTTGCCAAAAAATGTTACATAAAATGTGACACTAAAATATAATTTAATGTCCGTAATTTACATGTGTCGTGTTTGGGAGAGGGAAGTAAGTTTGCGTGATAAAAATTGTTGCTTTTTTGATAAAACATTTAAATTAATTGAGATAATGATGTAATCTTGCACATTATATGCTGTTATGGTGGCAGTTGTGATAATGTGACATCATTAAGCAACAAAGTGTCTTGTAATATGATAATTTTGGGAAAGGCATAAACTTAAGGATGCAGATGTAAGAATGGATTGTTTGGGATTTATAGAATATTAAGGAATGTCAGTTTGGATTTGCAATTACTAGTATTTTATCATCAACCCGAAAGGCAAAAGTCAGTTCTGCGCTCAGCCGGCATGACTCTAGCATGGTGCTGGCTTCGATTAAAATCCAGCACCATCCCAGAGTCACACCAGCTTAGTGCCAGATTTCTGATCGATTAACCGAATTGTGTCATTCGGGCAAGGGCGACAAGCAATTTAGCCTTATTCTTAGATAATTGAAAATCACAGTTGAGGATCACAATTGATCTGTAAGGTCATCGAAGTAAAGTAAGTAATTGAAAATCACCAAAGATCAAGGCGGCAATTATCCTGAAAAACAACATTCAAATATTTCAAAGATCATCCAAGAACAATAGTTTAAAAATTGTCATAATTCACTATCAAAAGAGTGAGAATAGGTAATAAATGTCCCAAAAATCAAACAGCAATAAAATGCACAAATAAGAAATGTCAATTCAGTAGCCAATAGAATATTAAATGTATCATTAATTCTCTTTTGTTTGATGCTAACTACACATCCGAATGCAGTCGCCAAAATAATTTCAAGACACAGAATATAATGCATTGAAATTAAAAGTAAAGATGAAATCGAAAGAGCCAATGGACTTTTGAAAAATCTTTCGTGCATCACATAAATTTGCATCGAACACGAAAGGCAGCAATCAGAAGTAATGAGCAAATTATACGATTCAAAAATTTGTCAAATTTATCACAAAGTAATTTTTAAGCGTCGACAGATAAATTTAGCAAGTCATATTAAATGCTTGCTACAGGTTTTGAACTAAAATATTTAAATTATAGTTTTATGGATCCAGCCAAAGAATTTATGGTCACAAGTGGGTATAAAATTTCACGAAACTACATAAAATTAATAGATGGATGCAATATAAAAATTATTAGAATTATTATTATTGTGATTGGGTGTAAATTATGTATCACGAATCTTAATTATGGATCTTAAAGGAAATTAAAGACTTTTTTGCAGAAATAGACATAAAATATTTACGATTGATAATTATTAGAATTCACATTTTACTTCTACACATTTTTGATATCTTAGAAAATTTTATGTCTAATACGTTGACATAATTTTTATCACCTGGACGTTGCTGTTTTGAAAAAGTGATATTGTTTGCTTGTTCATTAAAGAATTCCAAATTATTCATTCACTAAAGTTTTTTTGTTAAGCTTCTCGTGTCTTCCTTAAGACATTATTCTGAGTTTTATTGATTTTTTTTGGATGTTTGGTTCTGTGGTGTGTAGGCAAGGCATTAATTGGACTAGGTGTGAATGATAATATAAGCCCACATGCTAATTATGATCGGAACAGTTTCATCTGGAGTCAATTTTGTAGAAAGTTCTTATTCTTTTTATTACTGAATTGAGTTTTTTTTGCAAAGAATTGAAGTTTGTATCCAAGTTGCAAGTAGTTCAGATCACTCTATAAACTGTAGGTCTAAAGAGTGTGGTACAATAGATTCTTTACAAAATTTAATCGCAGTGCCTCTAGTCCTTTACACATTATTATTGTATCTATCTAAACTTCATTTTTATCAAATAATGAGTCAAACCTTGTCAAACCTTTGAATAGGCGTAGCCAGGAGGGTCTTGTTCTAGGCCGTGTTCTCCTGGCTATGCGCCTGATAGTTGTAACTTCCTTCCTTTTGGTTAACCCTTCAAAAGTCCGTTGCCTCTTATTCAAGTTCAAAGTTCATCTCAAAATGACATCCCAAATTTCCTGATTCTCATGTCTTAATTTAAAAGTAATTTCAACTTCTATCTTGATAAAAAAAATCATTTTCAGAATTTTAAGGATCGTCCACAACATTCAACTGATCGATATTCCATTGCCAATTCAGTATTAAAAATATTCATCCACAAACAGTAATTTAACCGATGCCAGATATTAGCAATTCCAATTTATTTTATAACTCCAAAACTCAATGAAGATTGGGAATTGTTTGATAACTTCTTCGGGAGCACTGCACACCTTCATTAAGTCGTTACAAGAATCAGTCCACAAACAAGACTTCAAATTAAAGAGCAGAATAAGAAATTGCAGTTGAAAGATGAATTATACCCCAAATTACTCGAGAATGCATCAATGATAACAATTTAAGCAAACATAAATTGTACATATTTGGAAGCCTGCAATGCGAGATGGTCATAAAAGGTAATTGATTATAAGAATTTCTCCTTCTTTCTGTACAAAGAAATTGCTTTTATCTCAATAAGGAATTAATGTCATCGCATCTTTAATTAAATCCAATTTTTCACCTCTTGAGGCTGCCGAATAAAATATTTTGTTTGCAGTTCCAACATTGTTTCGACGTTTTCGTGTGTTTGTTGATCTGTCAACTTCGTATCACGTTCAGATCGTTCTTTAAAGGGTTGATCATAAATGACGACATTAAATAAAGGATTTTTGGAACCTGCTTAATAAATGTTGGCACAAACAAATGTCGGAGTGTTGTTAACAGATTCAGGACTATCAACATCATTTACGAACAACCTCCGTTAATAAATTTAACGATAATTGACTCAGCCGAAAAGAGTTTCATTTTCGCTCATTCTCAAAAAGTATTTGCGAAAAGAATGAAAAATATGAGAAATGAGAAAGCATTTTTGACAATAAATTAAAATAATAAGCAAGAAGTATGTATGTAGTATGCATTATATGCTGAATTGTGGGTGGAATACAAAATTTGAACAAATTTGAATAATTAAATTCAGAGTTGTTATTAAAATTGAAAATTGTGTGACTGAAATCTTAAGTTTTATGAGGATTATTAGTCAAAAAGAACGTTTTAATTGTTCTGAACATGAGCTCAGTCAATTTTGCAGTGTTAAGTGAGCTTACGTCATCGAAGGCATAGTTTAGGAATTTGGCAATTTCATTTCAATTTGGAGAGGCTATAAAAGTTATTGCGATTTTTATGATCAAATTAAAGTGTATCAAAAACCGGTAATTAAATCTTTTCGGTTGTCTAACAGTGTTGGTGGTTTAGGGAACTTATAAATTTGATTATTAGGAACATGTTTTTATGAAAGAATCATTAAGTATGCAGAAGAAGAAAGTTTAATATTGATCAGAGTTGATTACTTTGTAAAAACGCTTAGAAATATTGAATTTGCCTGTTAAATCTTTGGTAATAAGCTTAAAGTGATATGAGTTCCTTCCATTAATAAGTTTTGGTTCTAATCAATTGAATTAGTTCTAGTTCACAATAATCAGTAAATTTAACTAAATGCGACCTAAAGGTAAACAAAGGGAAGTGAAACTTCTTTATCTGTTTAAATTTAAACCTTAAAAGTTCGTTAAAACTTAAATCAATATTTCTTGTTCCTTTTTGTAATTAAAAGTTGAAATGGATTCCTGTAAAGCTCGTCAAACTTTGACTTCTCTTACTTCAACTCTGGAACATCCAAAAAAATAAAATAGGAAGAAGGAAACACACCATTCACAAAACACACAAAAAAAAGAAATTGATGCACTCACCAGAATTTCTGTTCCTCCGAAATCCATTCTGTGTATGTTTGCCATGCACTTGAATTATTGCAATGACTATAAGAACTAAAAATATCTTAAAAGTACTTTTATTGCACATTTTTCTTTCACTCTCTTGAAAATATTTTTATTATTTTATTTTTATATATTTAATTTTTTATATTCATTTGACACAGGAGAAAAGGCGTCCATCAATCGCCGTCGACACTTTTTACTTCTGTTTGAGTCTCGCTTTTATTGACACTACACTTGATGAGAGGCACTCATACTTTTCTTAT